ACATAGAAATTTGTTTCATTTGAATGAGTTATTAATTAGGCCACAGCGGAACGAAAGTTCTGAATATTACATATTATTATAATTTATATTCTCACCTTTTCGAGAAAATGGGGTTACTCGTTCTTAGTCTGATCAATAAATAATTTGTTATAACATCATAAACATAGATAACACACAGCGCACAAGAAAAAGGAAAAAAACAATCGGCCAAGTTTGACATCGAACGTGCGACCACCGGTCCGGATGCTGACGCCCTAACCGCACGCCCACGGATGGTTATATCCTGAATTAGTGGTAAAATGTTATTATATTGTATTAATTTTTTTGTAACATTTTGCCATATAGGGGAAAAACTTAAAGCGGATGCGTACACTACAAGTATAAGAGTGTATTACTGTGTAACATTAAAATCATTTTAAAAATTTCTTTGAAATGATGTCATCAAATTGTCGGTAAGTATAGTAATCGAATCCATCGGAAAAATGGCCACTTCTATGTTTTCTCGACGTTTCATAACTCCTAGATTACGAAAAAAGTAGTTTCCTGTTTCTGTTTGTCTACCTGGCGTCTGTGTCGATTTTTATTGGACACACAATCTTCGAAACTACTGGGCCGATTGCTATCAAATTTTGTATTTACATTACGAATATCATTTTAATCAAATTTTTTTTATCAATTTTTTTTAAATCAAAGTTATTCAAAAAATTGATTATGTTATCTCAAAATTTTGCCAAATAAATTCCTTCGAAAATGTGCAAAATATGATCAGACTAGGTTATGATAGGCATGATAAGTTTTTAATCAAAATATATTTTAGTTATCCTGAAATCTTGGAGATGTTTTAAAGACGGTTTACAGTTATGATAAGCATGATAAATTTTTAATCAAAATACATATATTTGCTCTTCCCCTCCGAAAAATGTATGAAATCATCTCAAAAGTTTGCCGAATAAATCGTATCTAAAATGTGCAAAATATGATGACTCTGTTGTGATTTATTATTCCATTCATATTTTTTTTATTTACATATACAAGGTGACTCAAAAAAATTAATGAATGCGTGAATTTATTTTATTGATTTAATCAGGAAGTACAAAACCGAAAACTTTGAAATCTTGGAGATATTTTAAAGTTATCATAAGTATCGAAAATTTTTGATCAAAATGTATTTTCTCATCCCCCTTAAAAAATTGATGACGCCACCCCAAAATTTTACTGAATAAATCCTATCTATAATGTACAAAATATTATGAGTCTGTACTTGTGATTGATCATTCCATTCGTATTTTTTGGATTTCCATATACAGGGTGACTCAAAAAAATTAATGAACGCGTAAATTTATTTTATTGATGTAATCAGGAACTACAAAACCGAATGCTTTGAAATCTTGCAAATGTTTTAAAGTCATCATCAGTATGGAAAAGTTTTGATCAAAATGTATTTGCTCATTCCCCTGAAAATTTGATGACGACGCCCCAAAATTTTGCTGAAAAAATCCTATCTAAAATGTGCATAGTATGATGAGTCTATACTTGTAATCTATCATCACATTAATATTTTTTAGATTTGCTTATACGGGGTGTCTGAAAAAAATTAATAACTGAGTCAATTTATTTTATTGATTAAATCAAGAATTGCAAAACTGAATATGTACTTTGAAATGTTGACGTTGTGAAGTTATTGTAAGCATGTTAAGTTTTTAATCAAAATGTATCTCTTTATCAATTTCAAAAAATTAATTACGTTATCTCAAAATTTTGCCGAATGAATTCTTTAGAAAATGGGCAAAATATGATCAGACTATACTTGTAACTTATCATTGCATTAATTTTTTTAATTTGCTTATTATACAGGGTGACCAAAAAAAAATGTGAATCAGTCAATTTATTAAATCAGGTGAAACCTTCTCGGGGGCCCCAAGTGTCTTTTTTAAGAAGGTGAAATTTTCTTTTTTGTGACTACTGCCTTCTATATTGTTTTTACTCCATAGAGGTTTTCACGAAAAAGTAATATTCCGCAAAATCAAATTTTATATTTTTTCAGAGAAGCAGTATTTGCTGGACTGTACTTCAGAAGTGAGGGAAGTTCTGTCAAAATAACTTTCGACCAATTTTTTAGATTTGCTTATACAGGGTGTCAATTTATTTTATTGCTTTAAATCACGAAATGCAAAACTGGCTACTTTGAAATCTTGCAGACGTTTTGAAGTTATTGTAAACATGGTAACTTTTTATTCAAAATGTATACGTTTATCAACCCCCAAAAAATTAATTACGTCATCTCATAATTTTGCCGAATAAATCCTATCTAAAATGTGCAAAATGTGATCAGTCTATAACTCTATACTTGTAATTTATCATTGGATTCATGTTTTTTAGATTTGATTATACATGGTGACTCAACAAAATTAATAAAGCAGTCAATTTATTTTATTGAATAAATCAAGAATTGCACAAGTGAAAGAAAAATACAAGCTTTGAAATCTTGCAGATGTTTTAAAGTCGTTGTAAGTATGGTAAATTGTTAATCAAAATAAATCTGTTTATTCTACTCAAAATGTGCAAGGGGATGCTGAGTCTCCCCTAGATCTAGACAAGTTATAATTAACCAAATTACAACATCGAAAATCAAAATAAAATAGAGTGTTTTATTCAATAAGCGGAAGTCAGAGCAATAACAAAGTCTGGACCGTCGGCATTGTGATCCGGTTATTACAATTCGTAGAAAACATCTTTTAGTTTAGTTTCTGTTTCACTCTCACGTCTACAGGTTGATAACTGTTATCGCTATTTGTCTTAAATTACGAGTACAATAAATGATTTCAGTTCTGTCTCCAGTCGCACCTCTGTTATTACTAAAGACGGGCAAAATTAGTTGGCTCCCACTACTCATTCTCATTGCTAGCCCAGGGTCGCGCGACCGAACCTGCAGCGATGGGCGAAGCGAAACAATAACATCGCGCGCTACTGAAGGAAAGTGGTGGGAGTCGCATGCACTAACTTTGCCTGTCTCTAATTATTACATACATTTTTACATACGACAGAGGTGATTAAATTGTTTCGTTATTTTATTGATTATAAATCACTATTCAAGAATTAAAATAATACAATACTTTTATTATTAGTATTACAATGCATCTACCCAAACTGATATATGCGGCCTTGCAAAAATGTGGATGATATCAATACAAAATTTTGTAATAGAAAAACTCACTTGTAACAAACGGTTAGCACGTTTCTTTACCTTTACTCAAATATTAGATACCTACTTTTATTTTAGCTTATAAAGGTTGTCATAAAAAACAATACAATTCGCAAAATCAAATCTTTTAATTTTTCGAAGGAGCTGGATTTGACAAGCTGTACTTTATGCGTGAGGGAAGTTCTGTGGTGTAATCTTCGACCATTTTTTTTTTACCTATCTAAATCTATATTTTGTTTTTGTAAGTGTAAGGAATTTTTTAATATTTTTTCTCGAACTGGGACTTGTGAACTTAATAATGTACCATTGAGTTGGTGTGCCACTTTTTGACCGCCAATTTTAGCACTCGACAACCTCTGTTCCGAACATTATCTAAACACCCGAATGGTGGTGTCCTCTAACAGTCAGTTAATTCCCAATAGCTGTGTACATATCTATTTCGTGTACGAAAATAAGTTTTGCTACATTTTGCATACTGTTGGAACCGCTGAAAACAGGTGCTACCCAAGTAATATAGGCCACCAATAAATTTAACAGTTTTACGAAACCACTACTCCTAAACAGATAAAGCTTGACCGTCGTAAAACAGGAAAGTAAGATGACTGCATTGGACTCTATACAGGATATACTTACTTAGCCCCTAATGTGAAAGTGATTAGCCAACGACAAGATAGGATACGAGAAGTTGATGAATTTTTGTTTAGTCGTTAACAATTAATTAACACCAAGTTGGTCGTTACTTATAGTCTTTAGGGCGGGCAAATATACATAAGTATATATTTTATTTCACACTTAGAATTTTTAGTTTATCTCTACAGTGCAACGTTGAAAGTCAACATCGCGTTCTGTCGGATAAGTGCTCAACCACGTTACGAATGTTACGTAGCCGAAATCAAGGGAAACGATGTTTCGTTTTTGAATACGGTTTTGGGAGTTATTTGTTAGACTTATAAATGCTTCACAAAAAAGCTCATACTTTTTCCGAACGCAAACCACCGCAGCACTTTCTTAAAAAATACATGAACGTGTCCCTGTAAGAGTGGTCTAAAAATTGGTCAAGTTTATCATTTTTTTTTTATAGTCTGTAATTATATGGAGCTCTGTTCTCAAGTTTGTTAATTTGAAACATAATTTTTAAAACAATATAGGTATGTATCTCGAATTTGAAAACTCCTGAAACGTCAATTACGTTTGCCATGTATTTTTTTGGACTAAACAATTAACTGTATTCCTTTTTTTATTTTATGATTTAATTTAATTATTATTATATTTTTGGAATTGGCGTTTTTAAAATCGTCATATATTTACCATGTATATTAAATAAGATGCACAATTATTTGTTCAAGTTTTAAAAACAATAAAAAACGTGCGACTGGTCGTAGACTGTCTTACTAATCCCTTGTTCTACATTAACTGATTAAATAAATAGGCAGCATGAGATAAAATACTTCATTCTCACTAAATTCACTGATTTGAGAAATAAAAATCACCCAGAAAGCGATGATTCATTTATCATCAAACAAATCTACTAATACTTTCTCCAGATAAAATAGATACGCGTATAACATGTGATACTGTTAGATAATGAATCACAAAAACCATGCCAACTATTCCAAAAACGAGCGCGCGTTTTAATTCCGCACCGCTCGAACCGGTTATTTCAACCAACAAACTAGCAATAATAAATCACAAGGTCGCTTCCCGACCCCATAAACATCATTTCACTACCAAACAAGTTGTTTGTCAACTCAACCTTGACTCGTTTGCTCCTCACTAAAATCACAACCAAAACACTCACCTTTCCATCAAGTAAGCCCCCATGGCCGGCGAAATAACCATACTAGCAGCAAACGTAGCACTAACCAATCCGTAAGCCAACGACCGATCCTTCTGGTCCGTCACATCGGCCACGTACGCAAAGACGACGCTAAACGTGACGGCGAAGACGCCGGAGATGCTCACCATCGCGAAAAACCAGAACGTGTTGATAGTCATAAGTGGAATTGGCAGACATGTGAAGAACACCGTAATCAAGAGGAACAGTTTCCTGCCGCAAACGTCCGATAGGGCTCCCACCAAAGGCGCACTGAGGAAACTCAGCAGGCCCTTGATGCCCATGATGAGACCGTTCATCAGGAAAGTGTGGTCGGGGAATGTTGTATTTAATACTGATATGACGGGCATGGTCAGGAGCCCCCAAGCGAAGAACTCCAGGAAGATGACGACTAGAGCGTGGTATAGGCTGGGCATGCCGATGCCTGAAGTCTGCAACAGAAGGGGTTAGTTGAGAGGAGCAACACAGCAGGGTCTTACGGGGGGGTATCTTAGGTAGAAACGGCGGAAACGACGGAAGTTGAGGACGTATTTTTTGCACAAAAAGTAGAAAACTAACATACACATCACGAAAGCGTGATATCAGCGATAATACAGATAACAGTTATCGGTTCGTGGGCAGGTGTAGAGCCCCTCTGAACGATCCTGCTCTCGTTCATTCTCATGCTCGAATCCCCAACTCTGAGTTATGCATCTAAAAATTCGTTATCTGCAGATAATGACAATCGGGAGTTTTGTGGGGACGGGCTTGTGAGGCTTAATGCCGACGGGTGTGAGGTCAATTATCGCTGATTATCCCACTTTTCGGTGATAAATTCATTATTCAAGCAGTGACAGGCTATTATACGTACAGTGACAACTCCATCCTTGGCGATCGATTTACGAGACATCATGATTATCCCAGCCATACGTTTCGACGATTTCGCCTTCATTTCTTCTTCTTCTGTCATTGACAGTCTTTTTTGGGTTTTTAACAACACCTGAGAAGCAAAACCATTTTCAAAGTAGTTATCGATTCACTGACGTTTACACAACGGCCGCCATCACTAATCATAACCTTTGTAACTGACGTGAGATGCCAACCGGACCAATAAAATCCCTACAATTTCGCCCCACTTATTACTTTTCTGAGAGTTTATGAGACGAGATTTGAGGGAAATCCCCGGTGCTATTGGATGATGAATGATAAGAGATAAGAAAGTTCAAGAAGGTTCATGAAAAACAATGGCTTACTTTGATTTGAAATATTTGTTTCGAGTACCGTAGTCGGACTTGGAAATTTCCATGGAGATGAAAGCATACCACGCTTTATTTTGGAGGTAATTTAAAGTCAGAAACTCGGAGATTTAAAACCGATATTTATTTAAAAGTACAGAAGGCTATCGTATGTAATAATAAATAAAACAGGGTCTTAAATTCATGACACAGTATAAAATACATCACGGTATAGATGACATTATTTACAGCGACCTTACCTTATTGTGAGGCTAGGCAACCCAATATTCACTAATGAAAGTGAAAAAAAAATGAGAAAAATATTGCTTTCAATAACGACGGTATTTCTACCACCATGCTTTAATCACAGCTTTAATTACTTTGTCTGATTGTGTTAAAAATATGAGAATTAATTTGTGTTTCCTATCGATTCCTTTTTACATACTAATTAGGTATTAGTGATTTTTGTTTTTTTTTTTTGTGAATTTCAATTGTAACAAAAAATGCTACCTACTGTGATGCTACTTTTAAATATTTCTGGAGAATTTTGATTATTTTTCACAGGTCTAAAATGATATATGTATATGTTTATTTAATTATTCATGTAGCAGAAATATGTAAAGAGACAAGTTTCGCATACTACCTACCAGTGGTTGGAAGTCCAAAGATAGTTCAATTACAAGTAATTCATTACTGTAATTCAATTCCTTTTCAAGTATTTAGTAATTGTAATGCATTACTTTTCCAAAAATGTTATTAATGAGTAATTGTAACGAATTACTTTTTGCAATTACTTTTAACCCAAGTACTCAAAAATATTGTTTTGTTTTTCTCCATGAATCGTTTACCTGACATGCTGGGATTATTCTACCTAGTTCGTCCCCACAAAGAGAAGATTAATCCAGTAGAGAGTTAAAATCTAAAACGAGTTTAGCACAGAATTTATTAAGAAACCAGGTAACTATAATATACATAAGCTCTTCATCATTTTAAGGGTGAGCTAAAGCATATTCCATCATATAAACTTCTGCCCAAGTTTTTGCCAAAAGTATACGTCCGATTGTAATAAACTTCACATCGTTGAAATGTGCGTAAAAAACCCTACCCAGACTGCTGTTCCGTTTTTAAAAATTGTGTTGTCAAAAAAAACTACAACGCTTTAAAATTGTGATGAGTATGAGATTATCTGTTTTTCACTATTTACATTTTTTTAATAAAAGTTAATTTTGAAAATCTCCCAAGCCCGTCACAACACATTTACATGTAGCCAGTAAATCTCCCACCAATGCAAATTTTTGTTTAAAAGTTGTAGTTGCGTTGGCATCGAACTTTTATTTGTAGCTAGAGTGGAATGAAATTAGGCGCAAAAGAATCGGCTCTTCAATTTTTGGTAAAATATCAAATAGTATCATTCTTTCCTCCATGTAAAATTTGTAACATGTTCCCCCATCCAGCGCCGTAGTGGAAAAGATGTTTAGTGTTGGTGCGGACGTTTTTAAGACAAAACGTCATGCCTTAGCTGACGAAAAGTTTGAATGTTAGTTATTGTTGAATTTAAATTATGAATATAGTCCTCTTGCGTGAAGTATTTATTTGTTTTATTTTATTTACTGATGTGAATATGCAACAAATGCGTTAGTAAAATAACTCACTCACTGCCTTTTTCATTCTAACACGTTTTTTCTTGACCCTTTGGACCCATACAACAAATATCTAAAATTGTGTGTTCATCAAAATTTTCAAAGTGCAAAAACTAGTTGTTAAAGTTTAAAAATAATGAGTAACTGTAATGCATTACTTTTTAAAAGTAATTGTTCCAATCACTGCTACCTACGTTCAATAAGATATTGAATCAATGAAATTTAAGTTAGATCTAAATTAACATTTTTAGTTCCCAAAAGTAAGCTAAGGAAGTATTGGAATCGAGTCCGTCGGGCGACTAGCTTCTTCCGTTTTCTCGACGTTTCACGACCCTTAGAGTACGAAAAAATAGGTATTTCGTTTTCGTCTGATGTCTACCGACTTACGTCTGGTGTCTGACGTCACCCGTCTAAATAGTAAATGTTATTTAAATTGTATAAAATAACATACTCCTCCATTAGTACTTTTATAAATCCGTATTAGATTTTTACCCTAGGCATCCAGATTTTTGAAACAAAAAAAATCAAAATTGCATAACGACATTTTTTAATTTAACTTTGAAGTTACAAAAGCGAATGTTCTGAGATATTGCAAACGTTTTACGGTTATCGGAAGCATAATAGTAAATCGTTAATCAAAATTTATTTTATTTTATTTATTCCCTCCCAAAAGAGTTAAAGAGTTTTGCAAAAATTCAAAGAATGAAATGGAACAATATTATATGGAAGTAACTTAGAGAGACACGCGTGTTGTCAACACAGTGGGACAGAGATAGGGCTCTCTGGGTGGCAAAACATTGACGCGAAACTGCAGAGCACTGTGTTTCTGGAGGTTTCTTTCGTGCTGTCGCATGGTGTTTGAAGCTCTATTTTTGCAAATTTACGTTTTTTAGGCTCAAGTTACCTTATTTAAATGTCTACAGTCTTCTTAAGTTGTATTTTATTGGACTGTTTGTTAAACATCGTGAAATCGTGTTGTACGTATAATTGAATAGAACGTGCAAAGAAAGCAATCCTGTTTCATTTCATAGGTAATAATCACATACACAGACGAAGGATTTCGTAAATAATTTAAAAAATTTGTTAGATTCCATAAACATTCCGAGTTACGAAAAAAAACGGGTTATTGCTACAAAAAGAGGGAATTTTATATCTATTGATTATTGTTTTAGTTACTTGTACGTGGATTTAGAAAATAGATTTTTGAATAAGTATGTTTAATTTAATTAGGCAACTTTTATCGAATGTTTAATTACTTGTATCCTAAAAATTTCAGAATTACCAATGAACATACACTACAAGATTAGTTAACTTGCGGAAGATTATTGTACTAACTGAATTCGTAATATATTGTAGATTCTCTATACATTTCATTTTATTAAAAGACTATTTCCACCACTTAACACGATTTTTGTTGTTTCACATTACACATAATTTTAATGTAAACTGTAAAAATATAGTTTTCATTAACAGACGTTTGTTATAATTGATTGTTTGAACAAATTCGTAAGAAAACATATTAATTCCCGTTCAAATGAAGCGTTTCTTGCCACCCAGCACGTGATATGTGATCAGCCGTCCTTTCCCCACTGATGCATAACCGCTCTAGCTATTTCTTTCTTATGTTGATTACACTCGCCCGCGTATGGAAACGTATACAAGGCTCTATCCACTCCTTTATTAGATCAATGAATGAAACAAGTAAAGGAAGCTACAATTTGTGCACACAAAGCATTTGTAGTCAGTTTTCGACATAAATGGAAAATTGATGAGGTGATCGTAACTGTTACTATGGAGTGAGCGACACATCGTAGACTTCAGTATGCAAAAGCGTTTTGTAAATCAAAGTTTTGCCAACTCTGCACTTACACTGCTTTGTAAATAATTTTTTTGTCAACTGACTTGGGTAAATATAGAGCGGCAACGAATAAACACACGTCATTTCTGTGATAAATACTTTTCATGAAATAATTTTGTGATATCATATAAAATAAAATTGTAGGTTCAACATAAGTCCAATGCAAACCACGCAGAAAGAGTTTTTAGTTTATTACAACTAATACACACATAAAAATAACTACAAAGCACAGTAAAATGTTCCGGTCCTACTCAGTCACATTTAAATTACTTCCACAATTAAGAACCCTTGTTATTCGAAATGTTGAAAATTAAATATTTAGAAAATTTTCGACTGTAATTTCCTATGACCTTCGATGAATATCGAAAACGGACGAAAAACCAGTAAAATTTCATGAATTTAAACTTGTTATATACACATGTATACATCATAGCGTTCCTTCTGTAATTTGGGTTGCATAACTCTAGTTTTAATTTTATAGAAGCGGATTATTGTAAAAATGCATAAATACAATCAATGTTTTTTTATCGCATTTATTTCCTTACCACAAATTTATGTAATTCGTATTTAACTACTTTTATTTGGTACAAAATTTAATTACCCCATTTATTAACGAACTGCAAACCGAGTTTTCAGTTTTTGTATGCAAACATTCCCTGTAACCTGAGTGTCTGGGTTTTCGTCAATCTTGACCATATCAAAACTAAAACGAAAATCAAAGAACGGTACCTAGAAGATTTAAAATTACTTTTTTTACTTGTGTTCCTCTAGTGACTTAATGGCTTTTAGTCGGAAAAATGCCTAAATATGAACGTTGCCAAATATACGATCAATAATAATATTATAAGAGGTGTTTCAATAGAAATGGCAAAGCAGGCAGAACCATTCACAAAGAATTAACAATTCTAAATTTAATCCAAGATTGTACAACACCCTAGCACAATGACATGTCATCATAACTCCTTGAATATATTTTTTGACATATCGTATAGATACGTTTTAATGATAAAAAACGATTAACACATAACCAGAGGGTTTTTCTATCGCTCGTTATTAACACCTATGGGTCCATTATTTGGAAAATATTCCAATTACTACATTTTTGACAAAAATATGACCATATCAGTGAATTACATATGAAATTTCCGTTTAGTTTATTAATGTTTATGGCAAGTTTATGGTTAACTAATGACTGACTAATTGCAAAGATGATAATGATTTATTTCGTGTAAATACCTTATTATTTTAACAACTTTCTGGTTATAAATACACATTCGAAAAACTATACGTGCTAGAAAAAATTGAAAAGCACATCCATGGTCAACAGACAAAAAAAATATATAATTTATAGACTAGTTTATGTGACTAACCGTTTGACTCTGGTTTGACAAATAATTAGGGACCAAAATATAGTCTTTAATTTCAGTCCTTATCTTCATGGCAATAAACATTTTTACAATTTACAGTTTACGAGAGAAAAAGGTGTTAACTAATAATAATAAGAAAAACAAATAAATAAATATAAATAAATGCTGGCTTTGAAAAGTGTGTTCAACGCAGTAAGAAACATCGGCAGACACATAATGCTTGATTCAGAATAAAAAATTAGAACTGAACAAACAAAAAAAGCAATAAATGGGGCATATTCGTCCAGTATTTATATCTTCACATTGTCACAACTGGTTTAGAACCATCGAGACAGCCATGAATCTTCTACGGCACTGTGTTAAAAGGCATCTTTTGTGGTCATCTCAATTACTCTTATTGTTGATGTTGTAATCAATTCATCACCGCCTTATCAAACACTACTTAAGTGAATCATCTCTATGACCACTGGTTACTATAATAACCGCTTCCATGGTGACTAATTTCATCAGTTACTGTTAATGCAGTCTTCTGGTGTTACACCCTTTTTCATACCCGTTCGTCACTTCCATCATTGACATGAAAGAACTCATTCTTTATCCCTATTTTTGAAACTTCAATTTTCCATAGAAACTTCTACCGGACAACCAACCTGTTCCGAAACACCAGATAACCGTCGAAAACCCATAAAACCGATTTTTTCGTCGTCCCCAGGTCAACATCATCGCCGCCACTGGACTTCAAGCAGGTGTGGTAAACGAACATGGCGTCGGTACAAACAGTGCTTTTACTAGTTTTAGGACTTTTAATAAGTAAATGTAAGTACAAAGCCCCGAAATTATGAAAAAAAACCCATTTAACATTACCAACGCGATAATTGTATTATCAGTAAGCTAACCTCAATCTCGATTGTCTGATAAGATAACAATGTAAACGAAAGGCGCTCAATGTGTCAACACACCTCCTGGATGCATTTCACCGTGACACTAACTCTTTTTTAACAATTTGTTGCAGCCCTAGCCCAAAGGTCACCAACGATATCATACATAACCCAAACACAAATTAAGGATATTGGAGGCTCTGTTGAACTCTTATGTTCAGTGCAATACACAGCTGACTATCCAGTGATTTGGTTAAAGGCTGATCCAGCATCAAAAAGTAACAGTTTACCTATTTCTACTGGAAGCTCTTTGATTTTGCACGAATCGAGATACTCTTTGCGTTATGATACAGCCAGTTCAACGTACACGTTGCAGATTAAGGATATACAAGAGACCGATGCTGGGTTGTACTATTGTGAGATTTTGCTTTCGACGAATAATAGAGTGTCAGCCGGGGTAGAGTTGCAAGTGAGGAGACCGCCGTTCATTTTAGATAATTCTACGAGGTCTGTTGTTGTGTCTGAGGGTGAAGGTAAGTGCAGACTGTAGTGAATTGCAATGTTCTAATTAACACTTAGTTTTTTAAATTTCCTAGTGACACTAATATTTTTATGGAAAATAAGCAATTTGCTTACAGTAATGCAATTTTGGCTCTTTATTAAACAACCTATTTTAATTTTTTTATTATTTGAGAGATGATGATTATTATTATTTGCCAAGATCCTTTTTGAGAAATGTAATTGTTTTTCAATGCATTCATATCTTTTAGCATTGGTTGTGTGAGTCATTCTATAATTAATGAATGAAGCAATTTATTTTATTGATTAAATAAAAACGACTTAACACATTTTCTAGAAATTTTGGGAATACAGTACTGTTGTTATTAATTAATATTACATTGTATGCACGTTTTAAGAAAATTTTATAGTTTATTCAAGAAACAGGATTTATTTGATTGTGCTGGGTAGAAAAGGAAATTCTGTCTAAATAATTATTGACTAATTTTTTAATTTCCATTCTGCCACTGTTAAGAGTTAAATTGAATTGATCGTGATCGCACCAACAACGTGATAGTTCTTATTAAATTAGTCCAAATTTATTAATCAGGTTGTAATAGGAAACCAAATCTAACATTTGCCAATCTTTTTTATGATACAGTTTATACCAGGTACAATAGACGCTACAGATTTGTAGATTTTGAGTAATGAAAAATTCTCAGTTAAAGTATATTCTCCCAACAATATTTACAGAGAATTTGTACGATTTTAGTCATTTATGTTGAACTTTTACATTCATTTAGTGTCTTGTAAGTTGGTTCAGAACAGTCGCTTTGGAAAATTACAGCAGTTTGTCGTCTGGTAGAACGCCCCCAGCCAAAGTTTTCTTTTCCAAATATGTATGTACACAGAAGATTGAGTTCAGATGGCTTGAGCCATTTACTTGGGCTCTGAAACAAAATTCTATTTTTGTTTTAATAAAATGGTTGTTCGAAAATTAGGCGAGTAGTTGTTACATAAATTCGCTTAAATATTTACATAAATGATGTAAAATCTTGTTTTAGTTGTCCATTTCTTATGTATGCTGATGATTTAAAAATCATAAATACAATTAACTCTCAAACTGACTGTTTAACTTTACAGGAAAATGTTAATAAATTATTAGTTTGGTGTAAAAACAACAAATTATCTGTTAATGTAAAAAAATGTCAGTCATTGACCATTAGTCGAAAAAATACTGCAATTAATTTTGTTTATACAATCAATAATGAAATTATAACTAGATCGTCTTGTGTACGTGATCTTGGTGTCTTAGTAGACACTACGCTTTCGTTCATACCACACATAACAAAAATTTCAAATGATGCACTTAAATTGCTAGGATTCATTAGACGGAATACGGTCAATTTTAGTAATATTGATAGTCTATTAGTTTTGTATTATGCACTGGTCCGAACCAAGCTTGAGTATTGTTCAGTTGTTTGGTCTCCCTATTATGATCAATACAATCGAAAAAGTACAGCGAACAATTTTTAAATACCTATATTTTGTTAAATACGGTAGATATCCACCACAACATTGCGCTCAAGCTGAATTATTAAAACAATTTAATCAAGTGTCATTAGCAGTAAGACGTAATTATATGTCTGTCGTATTCTTGTATAAATTAGTTAATTGTATATTCACTTCTGAATCTCTAACTGGACTGTTGCACTTTCATGTACCTCGTTCAACATCTAGATTAATGTTAACCTTTGATTATAGTACACCTAAGACTAATCAGCATATGTACTCGCCCATACGTACTATGTGTAGGAATTATAACAATATTTGCAAATATGTAGATATATTTACTCATAGTTGTCCGTCATTTATTAGGGAATGCACGAAACTCTTTAATTTAAATTAAAAATATTTGTATTTGTATTTCAGAATTATTTAATTTATTTTTGTTTCCTAGTTATATGTAAGAAAGTGGTTTGTTTCATATTGTATCCTGTAACTGGACTTAGTGTCTGTTGGTTACAATAAATGGTATTATTATTATTATTATTATTCAACAAGATGTAGAAAGTAATTCAATAAATTTAAAATAATCCTGTCGGGTTTTTTTGTGCACCACATTTGCGAATACTGTGGTATTTGAGTATTTTAATAGCAAGAGGTAGTTCAAATTTTTGGATCATCTAATGGGTATTGTACTGCTGTAGCTCTAAAAAATTGGTCGATAAAACTTCCCTCACACCTGAACCCCTGAAGTATAATAAAGCACCTCTAGCTTTTTCGAAAAATTAAAAATATAAAATTTGATTTTGCGAATTTTTATGAGGACACCTATAAATTAAAATGAAAATGAAAAAATGTATGTAATATTAAAGTAAACGTAAAGAAGCGTACTATAGTGTAAACTCTAATAATACCAGCATTGTATTCCTAAATTTTCGGGAAAATGGAGTGAGCCGTTCTTGATTTAATCAATACAAGAAATTTACTTGTTCATTAACATTTTTGAGTTACCCTGTATAAATAATTCGAAAAACTATGAATGCAATGATAAATTACAAGTATAGACTCATCAATGCACAAAATATTGTGCATTTTCGATAGGATTTATTCGGCAAAATTTTGAGATGACGTCATACATTTTTTGGGGGAGATAAACAAAAATATTTTAATTCAAAATTTAGAGCCGTTTCGTTTTCGCAGCGGGTAAAAACTCGAAGTGGATTCATAAACTACACCTAGAGGACTATGTTATTTTATACAATTTACAATAACAACTTATATATATTCGTCGTCATCACGTTGGTGGGGACGATAAGACAAAATTTGGTTAGCGTTTTATCATCTACATGATATTTATAATACATATAAAATTTGACAGCAATCGGTCCGGTAGTTTCGAAAATTATCTGTGTAATAAAAATTGACACAGACGGCGGACAGACAAAAACGAGATAACTATATTTTTGTACCCTAGGGGTCATGAGTCATGACACATCGAGAAAATATGAAATTAGCTAGCCGCCCGTTGGAATTGATTACAATACTTCCTTAGCTTGCGCTCGGGAAGTAAATATAAATAAAACTGTAATAATATATGCAGATATGCCCAAGAACGCCTCAACAATAAGGTTTTCATTTTGATTTCTGCAATATATCTGATTTTTCTCCATAAGGTTAGTTTTGATAAATCGCTCTTCACACGTTTCAGGAAGTCATGGTCTGATGCCTTGCTATTGTCAGAAATGAATAGTTTGACCATTAATGTAAATCATGAAGCGTTCCATTCTAGCTAGCAGTTTAAATTATAACGACTTTTATACTGAGAACGACGTTATTTCTGTATTTATTAAAACTTTATTGCCCTGGGAAGTTAAGACAATATAATAACTAATAACTGTAAGCAGACGCGAATTACACTTTTCAGTAGCACGTAGAATCCCGTGCCTCGTCAAACATTTAAACTTGTTTCATAGTTAATTTAATACATTTAGTTTTCTTTGAACAACACGATACTCAAAAACATGTTTCAATTTCTTGTAGAGAAATGAGGATTTTGCAATTAATATTCACCCTCTTGGTTCATGACGAATAAAAGAATTAATCACAATTGGGATAGGGCGGGGGGGCGGGGCTTACATTTTACCTTTTTTCCTAATATGTGTATTCCTCTTTTCACAACAAGAAACTTGAAACATGTTTAAAATGGTAAATTTTTGTAGAGAAATTCCGATTCCTCGAAGAAAATAAGAATTTTGCAATTAAGCTCCGCCTCCGGCTTACGACGAACAAGAAAAATTCATCACAATTGAGATAGGGCAGGTAATAATATACATACGTAGTCATCTTTTCATAACAAGAAACTTGAGACAATAGCAAGACATAACTGAACTAGTCAGGTAAAAATGGCTCATTGGTGGCTAAATTTCAAAGTCGTAATATCTAGTATTTTCTTCGATTAATTTTCTTAATGTAAAATTTGAAAAATATGAGAATAAAAACACCACCTTTTTACTTCCCGAGGGTAAGCGAACGATGTATGTATTGTAATTCAATCCGTCTCTATTTTACGTTTTCTCGACCTTTCATGACCCCTAGAATACGAAAAAATAGGTCTCCCTTTCTGCCGTCCGTCTGTCTGTCTGCCGTCACGGGTTTTTATTAGACAGATAATCTCCGAAAGTACTGAGCCGATTCTTGTCAAATTTTGTATTTATCATGTAGATGATAAAACGCTGACAAAAATTTGTCTAATCATCACCACCAATAATGTGATGACGTTACTTCAAAATTGTACATAGTAAATGGGTTTGAATGTGGAAAGAGATTATGATACTCGGTATGAAACCCCGGAAGCTCAGATCACATTTTGCAATTTAATTTTGAATCTGTTTTAAGGTTATAATAGGTGCAAGATAAATTTTTTATCAAAACATATTTACTTATCCTGAAATCTTGGAGATGTTTTAAAGTTATCATAAGCATGGTAAATTTTTTATCAAAATTTGCTCATCACCCCTAAAAAAATTATGACGTCACCTCAAAATTTTACTGAACAAATCCTATCTAAATTGTGCAAAACATAATCAGTTTATACTTGTAATTTATCATTGCATTCATATTTTTTAGATTTGCTTATACAGGGTGACTCAAAAAAATTAATAAATCAGTCAGTTTATTTTATTGAATAAATCAAGAATTGCAAAACTGAATGCTTTGAAATATTGCAGGTGTTTTAAAGTAATTGTAAGTTTAGTAAATTGTTGATTAAAATAAATCTGTTTATTCTCCCCAAAAAATTGACGACGTTATCTCAAAATTTTGCCGAATAAATTCTACCCAAAATGTGCAAAATATGATGAGTTTTTACTTGTGATTCATCATTGCATTCATATTTTTTATTGATCAAATTAAGAACGAGTCACCCCGTTTAATAAACGTCTTTATTTAATAAGAATTATAATAATGATATTCAGAACATTTTGTCGATTGTGCTCACTACTTAATAGTTTTGATCCTCTGTTTTGAGAAGACATTCAAATTAAACTAATTTCTACGTGACATTCTTCCGATGTATAAACATAAACACTTTTAAGTTGTTTTTCTTATCGAGGATGACCTAAAGACGTACAGTAATTGAGTCCATCAGGCAATTTGGTACTTTCATGTTTTCTCGATATTTCATAACCCCTAGACAAGGCCGTAGCTAGCTACATCGAAAATCAAAATAAAATGTAGTGTTTATTTAATAAGCGGGAGTCAGCAAAAAAAAAAGTCTGGACCGTCGGTATTGTGATCCGGTTATTGCAATGCGTAGAAAACATCGTTTAGTTTAGTTTCTGTTTCACTCTCACGTCTACAGGGTGATAAGTGTTATCGCTATTTGTCTTAAATTTCGAGTACCATAAATGATTTTCAGTTCAGTCTTCAGTCGCACCTCTGTTATTACAACGGTTAGCATGTTTCTTTACCGATACTTAAACATTAGATACATATTTTTATTTCAGCTTTTAATAGTTCCCATAAAAAACAATAAAATTCGCAAAATCAAATCTTTTCATTTTTGGAAAGAGCTGGATTTGACAAGCTGTACTTTATCGGCGAGGGAAGTTCTGTCGAAGTAATCTTCGACCAATTTTTTCTAGTGTTTTTTTAACGCATACAATTTCCTTAGTGCAACAACGCAACTTTTCATCATTGATTTATTGTTGTACAAAATTTCTTTAGCAGTTTAAAAGTACTAGTAATCATTTTTCCAATAACTGACCAAATTTTGCTGAATGCAAACGTTTTATTTATTTTCTGCTGACTTATAAAAAACTTTGCGAAATATTAACCTGAAAAATACATACCTTGGTGGCCTCAAAAACTCTTGGCTATAAAAAACTCACGTACAAGCAATACATGAGGACTGTAAATTTTATCATTAATTAATTAGCATGCCTTGAATTAATGAACGGTAAACAAGCCTCTGGGAAATTTCAAAGAAATTGTTGCTGTGTTGTAGTTACTAATTTTGTCAATTTTTAGGGCAGTGTTTGATGTATAGATCCTTTGTGAAAATTAAAAATTATTCATTTAAATGTAATAATAATTAATTATTAATTTAGCCGAGATACTCAATTTCTAAGTATATTTTTTATGTTCTAGCTGTTATTCGTCTAGAAACTTACTTGTACTGTTATTTTACATGTCCGGTAGTCAGTGATCGATAGTTAATATTTGTTGCGATAGAGCAAAATATGAATCTAATGTATTTTTTATGTACCTTGTTTGTTTGAAATCGTTATTGTAGTATTAGTCGGCCATTTATTTTATTCTTCAGATAATATTTTTATGATAAATAAAATATGAAGATAAACAGTTAACTTGAAAAAAATTATACGTTGGTAGCACCGTATGTTAACAAATTATTTACAACTGAGTGAAACTATTTACCCTGTATTAATTTTCAAGACCAATGCGTAAAATCATTTCCATAAAAATGACAAATATGTGCTTTATTTGTAATTATGCGTTGTTTGTTTCTCTTTGTCAAGGACTAAACGCCTTTTTATTGTTGTATGCTTATAGAAACTTAACAATTAATTTGCATCAGCCAGATTAGTACCCCCATCACTGTATACGGACATCAATAAAATAACTTTCAAATTTATATAACAACTTCTGTTATAATTTACGTCTACCATTTAGACAGTTCGTCCAAAAATATGCAGTCAAATGACATGACATACTGAGTGTTGTAATAATAAACAATTAAAACGAATTGCAAACCGGATATGGCTGTAAACTGTAAACAATATAGTGTTCCATTTTTTAAATATATAATACACACTATGATAATATAAATTACAAAAAAAAAAAATGTAAAACTTGCCAAAGGCTTTTGACCACACCTGTGTGGCATGTTAGACCAATGGCATAACTGGGTGTAGCCGGCTTTGATTGGAAGTTAATTTTGAGCTTACATGTGATCGTATTTGCTGTCTCGATTGCAGTTCTGTAGTTCCAAATAATTTTGGTTTTGTCCCATTCTCCAGCTGTGGAAATGGGATGTTACGCCGGCGGGTACCCGCCGCCAAGGATCTCCTGGAGGCGCGAAAATAACGCCATCTTACCCACCGGTGGCTCCATCTACCGAGGCAACGTCCTCAAAATAAAAGCAATCAAGAAAGAAGACCGTGGAACCTACTACTGCGTAGCCGAAAATGGAGTCGGACGTGGCACCAAAAGTAAATAAACCACATCAACCTATAAACATTATTCCAATTTCTTGACCAAAGGAAACATCGCCGTGGAGGTGGAGTTCGCCCCCGTCGTCACCGTGCCCCGCCCTCGCCTCGGCCAAGCCCTCCAATACGACATGGATCTCGAATGTCACGTGGAAGCGTATCCGCCCCCGGCCTTGACCTGGGTCAAGGACGAAGTGGCCCTCTCCAACAACCAACATTACAGTATTTCGCACTTCGCCACTGCCGACGAGTTCACCGACACCACCTTGCGCGTCATCACAATCGAGAAGCGGCAGTACGGACAGTACGTGTGCAAAGCGGCCAATAAGCTGGGAACAGCAGAAGGCGTGGTCGAGCTGTTTGGTAAGCATCTCCTTCTAATGCTAGTTGACTGTTCTGCGCATGCGTAGTATAGCGCCGCCTTTGTGTAGAATCTATCATCCCCGTGTGTCCCCCCGCCTGCGGCCAAGCCAGGTACGGAGATGCTGCCACCCTGTCAACAAGTACGGCGGCTTTGTTGTTGTCATTGCTGTTCGTAGGTTTTCGGTGAGTTTCGGCATGTGCACGGACGCGATTGGCCAGCTGCTAACTAATCGTGTGCGTTTTTTACAGAAATATCCACGCCCAACGTTAATTATCCAGGCCTACAGTGGCTCAACTCGAGCAATGTCTCGACGTACAGCGCCATCTTAATTTCGATCCTCACAACGAGTTTGTTGCGGTTGTTTGTTTTTTAGTGAATCGCGGACCAAAAGGAAGGATTTGATCTTTCGATAATGTTACGGTTTTTTACAGATAACATAGCGTCGTTTCGATGGTATTCCAATTAGTACATTTCCAGTTTGTATATTTTACGCTGTATATTTTTTTAAATTTTTACACAGTCACGGTTGTATATGTTGTTAGTTTAATGAGTTGTCGCACGTAAGTTATACAAAGTATGACATTGAAGGCCTAAGTTGCCAAGGACGGCTCTAGTCGCGTTATTCACAAAAGCCATTCTTGGCAACAGGAGCACACAATTACAAATTTTCTTTTTATAATTTTTTACGATATTAGTAACAATTAAGTCTGTATGATTCGTCCATTTTTAATTAAATTAATTTAAGTACATTGTAATAGTCTCCGCCTGTTCCCTACCCTCCCCACGTATCACGCAGTTGAAATTGGGCGAAACACAATTAAGACACGCCCCTTGCCCTTCCCATACTGCTGCACAGTCAAGACTAGATAAGTGCGTGAACACCTAAAAGAGTCAATTTATTATTATCCAAGCAATACGGTACAATTTTGTGTAGTTTGTCCCCGCCCATTTGCCCACCTTAAGTTAGCTCGCGCCTGGGTTTAGATGAATGATACAACCACTTAAAAACCACAATTTATTCAACCAATCACGATACAATGTGTCAAAAATGGCACATCTTTTTTTATCTTAGGATATACTATTCAACATTTTAACCTTACTTTTCAAAACACACTGCATTTCTCGGCAAGCCAAAACGTAACTGTTTACGACATTTTCACAAATGCTATGTCCGTCATTATTCAAATTTAACGCCTCAAACATACCTGATAAATCACTTGACACACTAAAATTAGACCATGATTGTAAAACATTATTTAATACGTTAATGTGCGTTTTAAAACTGTTCGCGAGCCGATTCACTAGTTCTTTCGATGACGACTCGTGCACTCTCTTTTTACCTTTTTTACCCTGTGTAGGTTTTACCAGATCATTGCACAGCAAACATACTAACGACGCCAAAGACACAATCTGAAAAAAAAACAACAATCAACTAAAGCCCTCCCCATAACTCCTTCATACCTCCACAATATTTACAACGTACTCCATGTTCTCGCGTCTATACACCAAATTCGCATTCTTGCCATCGCTCGTCTTCTTCTCCACCATCTCCAACGCGTCCTTCAACGTAACCTCGATCTTCTTGACCAAATCGTCGCTGACGCCGCTCTCTGATGATGCCTCTAACAAAATACGAAACGTGTTGGCGATAATTTCGTAATGGGGCGTGTCCAAAGCGACGTGTAGGCGTGACGGAAGAGGTAACGTGACTTGGTTCTGCCTTAAAGGCGTGTACTTGCGATTTCTGCTCTCCTCCCACAAATCCTCCCAACTATTCAATATGTTCTTCAGCTTTTCGACGTGCTTCGTTCGAACACCATCTGAAGACTTGATTATATCTACAGCTGATGCCAGCGCCCACAAAACGGACGCTCGCAACTTGAGAAAGACTAAGTTGTGGGTGAAGAATTTCTTCACGTCTTCGAATTCTTCCGGGGGACCTTCTAAGCGCTCGGGATCCCAAGTAATGTAACAGCTAAGGTCGTGATTGTCTCTGAAAGGTGGGATTATTTAACTCCGACTCCCGGCCAATCGACACTTACCTCAGAGCCTCCCACTCAATATTATTATCCTTCGGTGATATGTCGATATTGTACAGTCCTTCTAAACTTGTACATTCCACTAAACTCAGAACTATTCTATCTATTGCTACAGTAGTGTAATGCATACTGTTATTCAGTCTTTCCCTGAAGTCCATGAATTCATCCAATTTGATAAACGAGCCATATTTGTACGAAAAGGTTATATGATCAGAACTCTGCAAATGTTCGGTCAGAGTACATCACATTTGTTTTCCCCACTTACATCTTTATAATTTGACGAAAAAAATTTCAGCGTAACGTCGAACAAATTCGTACACACCGAATACAAACCCAAGGTTGGCAACCTCGCACAGTGAATGAAACCTAACGAATCCAATTGTAGGTGTTTCGTGTCTAAACTATTATACATGTTTTGAGCACCTAAGCAACCACCTACAAAGCATGAACGGAGTCGGTTTTGTACAATACTTACCTATACTTATACTTACCAACTGTATGGTAAAGTCTGACACACAGCAACTTCGCGTGAAAATTACTCGGACTGTTCTTTAGCATGTTCTCCAATAATACGAGAGCGGCAATTATAGGGTCCGAACTCTGTTCGGTCCTTGATAGGTCGTACAGAACGTGTGCCGCTAGTAAGGCGTAGGGATCTGAAGGACCTAAATCGGTCGACAGTAGATTTGTGCCGTATGTTTGGTAACCATGTTCGTAGTGAAGAGAAAATGCTGTTACTAAAGCTTTTAGATGGTCAGAGGTTAGGTTTCGGTGAGCTCCACATAAGCGTGACAGTTGGAGAGCACATAGATGGCGCTGCATTTGCTGTTCCTGGAAAGAAATTTGACCGCTACTAACTTAAAATCTTCAGTTACTATCCCCGTAACACAGATAATTTCTACAAACCACACATAGGTTTTAACAGATACGTTGCTATCTTCTCAGTATTTAAATTAAAATTAAACTGCGGGTAATTCAATATGACAGCGGGACTGTATTTCGGTGTACCGGGTGTCAGACCTTAATTGATAGAAAAGAAAGACTTTGTGTGAAAATATTGCATATACCCAGTGTTCCAGTTTACCAGTTCCACTATAGTATCTCAGTCACTTGAAATATAGAAGTTTCAAATTTAGACCGGATAATTAGTATAAAAAAAGTCGACAAAATCAATTTACAAGTAGCATTATAAAGCTTTAAGTTTTTTTTTTTTGGAAATGAGATCAAATCTTTTTCGAATAAAATAGAGCACGTTTTTCGAATGTGTTCAAAAGATTTTTTTTTTTTCAATGGTTGAGCACTTGTGAGTTATTTGGGTTAATATTTAAAGAAATTCGGTAGTGGATTCCTATTCCTCACAAATACCTCAATTATTTAAAAAAGCACAAATTTGAAATTTGAAAAAATATAAAACTTGATATGAATTTGTTTGACAAAATAGTTAAATTGCAGCATTTCCGTTTAATTTTTTAATTATTTTAAAAATTAAATTTTGAAACTTAGTGCTAAAAATCGACACAAAAACTATATAAACGGGTATACTGCAAAATTACAGGGATAGCGCAATTTACAGAAATAACATACAGTCTTTAATCAATGGAATGGATATTTTTTAAGTATTTCAAACAATATATTTTTTCTCTTTTTAGTAACATAATATTTCACGAAAGTGTTAGTTAAGTCACGATACTCATTTTATAGATTTTTTTTAATGAATTAATTGTTTTGAGATATCAGTAAACATCGTTATTAAAAATAAAATAAAAAAATAAAGCACCGAACCAAATGAGTTACAGACCAAATGCCACACCGCTGGAAAAAAAATCTACTTAATACCCTTAAAAATCATAACAGTTGTTATTTTTGCAACAAACAAAAATATAAAGCTAATATGGTACATTTTATACACTTTTTTGTTAATTAAAAACTTCTACCCTTTCATAAAAGTGAAATATTTATCTCACCGGACTGGCACAATATTAAAGACAATAAATCTAAAGTTTATTTTAATCACTACTTGACTCTTAATTGAACCAGGATCAAGTTTCTCGTTAATGATAATTGCACTTAAAGTAGTGACAAATTCATCTAATTACTAAGCAAATTTCGCTTGATCAACGGTTGATTAATAATTAAGTTATTCCCGAAGGTCATTGTAAAAAAATTGGTCGAAGGGTATTTCAACAGAACTACCCTCGCCTTTGAAGTGCAGTCAAATAAATCGCACTTTTTCGAATTTTTTTTTTTTTTGGAATTTTTGTTTTCTGATAACCTCTGTAGAGTAAAATCTAGTGGCGTAAATAACGGTCCCACAGCTTTTTTGACTTGAATTTTTTAAGTTCTTCAATCTTTCATTTTATTGTTTCTTCATTTTGTCGATTTCAAATTTTTTGATTTATAGATTTTGCAATTTTTCGAATTGAGTTTCTCGAGTTTTTAATTTTTAATTTTTTCATTTGCAATTTATTGTTTCAGTTTTTATTTTCTTTATTTTTACAATTTTTCAATGTTCCGATTTGATGATTTTTTGTTTTTCTTTTCTACAATTGTGCGATATCTCTTCGAGTTTTCATTTTTAAATTTTCCAGTTTTCCAATTTTCCAACTTTCGAATTTTTAGATTTTGTAGTTTTTCGACTTGAAATTTCACGAGTTTTGAACTTTTAATTTTTTAATTTTATTGACACTATGTTTTTTATTATAATATCTCTTGTTCTTTGTGCTAAAAAAAAACAAAGATTAAGCCCCACCCCTCCCGCTTTCAATTGTGATGAGCTTTTCAATCCTAATCAGACGGAGGGGTGGAGTTACATCAAAATTTCTCTAGAAAATTCTACCCTTTTAAAAACATACATATTTCATATGGTAATTTCTTGTAGAAAAATAAGAATTTTGCAACTAAGTTCCACCCTTTAGCTCACATCACAACAGAAGGGGTGGGTGGGCGGGGCTTATATTTTGTCCATTTTTTCTTAATTTACGAACTCTTTTGCCAACAAGAAACTGAAAACATGCTACCCACCCGCCCCGCGTCAATTGTGATGAATTTTTCCTTCGTTCTTTGACCGAGGAGTAGACCGTAATTGCAAAATACATATTTCTCTACAAAAATTTACCATTTTCAACATGTTTGAAGGTCTGGGTGTGAAAAGAATGCTACACGTATGTAAAAAAGGCAAATAAATCTGTCAAATTAAACAAAGCATAACGTTAATCAGGTGATTAAAAGTACGGTACAAACGGGCATTACAATTTGAATAACTACAAAATCGAAAAAACGAAATTTTGTAAATTCGAAATACTGGAAATTAAAAAATTTGAAAATTGGAAGATCGAGGAATAAAAATGTTACTATTTGTTTAATTATGGCATAAAAACAAAGATATTTCCAACAACATAAAAACTCAAGTAAATTTTACTGCTACTGCTTACTTTTGCATTTTATGCCCAGTACCCGGCAAACGCTTTCCAGCACGCCACTGAAGCAATCGATATCTCGGAGAAGCTGGAAGAGCCATTTATGGCCTATTCAAAAGCACGTTTTCAAACTATCAGCCCTCCTATCATTCCACCTCCATGGTTCTGATACACATTTCGAAATTTTAAATTTTTAGGATTTAATTAATGTTTTATTTAACAGATAAAAATAATTTTGACAAAATCACTGTCCCTTTTTTCAAATCAGGAACGTACATCCAAATTTGTTTTGAGTCTGACCGTTTTTTTGTTTGACAAAATAAAAATTACTCTGCTATTATGGTTTTCAGTTATGATGTCAAATAAATGGTTTTTGACAACTAGTCAAGAACGCTAAATCTGCTTTTGACAAGTAAAAAAACTTATTTTTTGTAGTAAATGTAAAATACTTACAGATTGTGGCACACTTGTTGAACTTATCCCCACATCCTTAATTAATCTAGCCGACAATTCAGCCTTTTTCTCTCCATCTAGCAAACTTAAATATAACCTCAAATCTGATACACAACATGGCTTATGCCCAAACTTCCGAAAATACTCAATAAAAAGCTCAATACTTTCACCAATAACGTCACTGGGGTCAACGTTGCGTTTTATTAGCTTTGAGCACAATTCAAACCTTGCCAAATATGGCCCTCTGAGCAAAAATCCTACAAAAACAAGTGATTTTATTGTAACTATATTTTTATAAACCAAGTACCATTATCAGCCCCATTTTCAACGATTCTACAAATAAACTCATGACACTTTTCAGGAGTATCATCCACAGTCTCTAAATCATTTTCTGAAGTCCCGTTATCATGATTATTCTCACATTTGTTTGTTTCCATTAACTCAAACACCGAGTTTACATATTCTTTCCAAATGTCCCATCGATCTACGCTAGAAACACGAAAAATAATGCTCGATCATAAACCGCGCTGATATTTACCTGTCAACAAGGATTCCCTTACACAACAAATTAACTTCATCCCACCTTTCTAAAGGTACAAGATACTTTAACCGACTCTGGGGGATGTTGCTACAAGTTAATTTCGTCCCCAAAGGGCCATCTAAAATCACTAAAATCTCCTCAAACTTCCCTTGCAATTCGAGAACCATAATGTACAGCTGAACCTCCTGCTCGGCATCAAGTTTTCCATCAACTATAAGTTTCTCCATCATTCGTTCAGCGAGACTTAGTAACAACTGGCGCTTTTTGGGATCATTTTTGCCCTCCCCTCTTGTCGCTTGCAGGATTATGCTCATAACAGCCCAGCAATAGTACGGAGTTTTCGGTTTGTGCTTATACAAAGTCATCGCGGTTTGCTGTTGCGACTTAAAATCAAAAATGCGAGCGTACGACATGAATAAATGCGTAAACAATTCCTCGTTTGTGGGGTCTAGTTTAACTGCGGTTTCATACAGTTTGCAGATTTTTTCCACTACAACAAAAAAGTTGGGTTATGTTTGACTCTCACACTTGCATGTTGCAAAATTGGAAGATACACACGTTGTTGCAATTCCCTATAGCAAAGCGTCATCGCTTGCAGAGTCGCGTCGTCGGTAGGCCTTTCTGCAGTAAGAGCGTCCAAAATATTGGCAGCTTCGGATTCTTTTCCCATTCGATGTAGAGTGAGCGCTTTGAGCGCCTTCGCGCACTGCAAGTTCGGTGTCTTCTTCAAGACTTTATCACATTCTTGTAGAGCTTTCTTATTATTGCCAATATCTAACCAGTCTGAAAAAGGAAAATTAAACATAACCTCACTTTTTCCGGTGAAAATTCGAAACGTTGGCCTCATTTTGAAAAGCTGAGGAACGCGTAAGGTTACACAGAGGATTATTTCAAACGAACTTACCATATATTGGCCGCAGTCGTCTTTCGGCTACTGAATTATCCTGCACGTGTTGTCCTTTCGAACTCATGTTGGTTATTTTAGGATTAAAAATGTACGGTTAAAATTTGACGGATAAAAATGTGGAACTGTTTGTGTGTTTTCTTTCAGGATTTTCGTGAAATTCGAACGAAAATAATTTGTTGGGAAAATAGTTTGTTCTTCAAACCGCCATGATTGATTTATTTTTCAGATTCTGACAGATGGAGGGGGTATCAAATGTCACTTGTTAGAGGCGGGAAAAAAAACTGTTTTAAAATTTTTATTCGTGTTATTATTAAAAATAAAATTACAACTTTACTATTTAATTGAAATTTAACATATGGGAACCTATTTAGTGCCGAAATGAATCGGTTTTCATTAAAACAAATATTGTCGCTTAAACTTATAGATTATTATAAATAAAGGTTGTTCGAGTGTTATTTTTTATTTATTTGTTTTTCGACGGATAATAGGCACCTAATAATAAAAAATAAGCATAAAAAATTATAACATTCTCGTATAAACAATCCATAAATTTTTGAATTTTAATTCAAATTGAAAATTTTTCAGTTCACTTCTGTTGTAATTAATTTCTCAAAATATATGTTTTGAGATCAAGAAAGGCACCAATGTATTTAAAAAAGGTGGGCGCTTTGGAATTAATAAAAAACTATTATTGACTCCTCGCCATATTTGCAAATTTTATCTGTTTTTAAATTTGTAGTGCACAGAAATATTTTAAATACTACTAGCTGCCATTTTTGGTTTATTAACATGACTTTTTGTATAACTATGCCACAATTTCAAGTCTTGCCTTATTATGAATTATTATTATGACTCAATGCATGAGTAATGAACTAGAGGTAGGAGTCAAGCATTTGGCGTAATTTATATCGCGATTTCAAACGCATTTTACACTAGAGGTCACTCTGTACGTTAGTGTACCTACAAACTGAGTTCATACGGCTTACATTAAGTTTTCTCACTACTTACCTTATCTGAATAACAGAACTATGTCATTTATATTAGCATTGTTTAAGTATATTATATATAATATACTTAAACAATGATATTAGTTTCAAGACCTACGAATTCATTCGTACGTATGGATTCAAGCATCTGCCCTGAGTCCACTGCTGTTTACATTAGATATATGTGAATAAGATAACAACTGAACTAAGTTCGTAGTTAAAATTTGACATTTTTTTTTTTAATTTTTCATCAAAAGTTTAGATAACTTTTTATCAAAGATCATAAATCGAACAGCGTTCAAAATAGGATATACCTACTTCTTTATTATTAAAAAAAAAGTTAGTACAAATTAATGCAAAATATATTGTCGCTATATTCTCTCAATAAATGAAATAAAATAAAGATTTATTTATCATTTCTACTATAACAAATTTTAGGCAGAATAAGAATTCTAATGTTATTAACTCATTAAAAGTGAAAATTTTGTTACACTATTAAACTGAACGAGATACACAGGGCCGGCTTAACACGGTAAGCGAAAGATGCACCGCATCGGGGCGCCCGTGACAAAGGGCGCCGGGCGGTGGGCGCCACCTATGCTATTATATTAACTCTATAAAAAAAATTAATATTAGTTTTGCATTGAATCACTACCAATAAAATATTATAGCAGTAACAGACCAAGGCGTCCATCGAAAACTTTTCAGAAAAAGCTACATTTTAACATTCCACTATGACCACCAAAACAGATCCCAAGAAGTCAATTCCTGCCACTTTCAAACTGTAATAATTGAAAAAAAGTGCGCCTTTAGGTTGGGTGATGGAACCTTTAGATCAATACCGACAAAAAATAACCAGATTTATGATGCATTATCTGGGTAACAATTTGACGAGACAGCGGTATAACTACACCCAGATGTTTTTCCTAACGTTTGTCACGTTTGTTTTTACCATAAAAGTCCATGTCGGCATACTTAAAAATTTTATTTTCCAAGTCTAGTCGGTTGGTTTTGGTTGTGGTTGTTCAACAGTTTTGTTATATTTTTCACTGTTCCTGTTTGTAGCCGAATTTGGTTGTATGTATCATTTCGTGGCTTTTTGTCATCATTAATTTTAAATTTAAATTTCGATTAACATTGAGGTAAGTCTAAATTAAAAATAACTTTGAAATCGTATCAATTTTACAATATTAAAAATTGAAAAACGTTTGCAATATAAATATTTTTATATCTATACTATATATAGTTTAGGAAATATCGGTGTACCCTATAAAATTTTATTGACAATAACGAGGCGGACAGTAGTACAGTGGTAAGAAATATTTATGGCTCACACCAGTCCCCCCGAATTTGTAGGAGAACATTTAGCAGGTAATTGTACGCATAGGATGGGACTTCCGCTGCTTTAGAAATTTAAGATCTGCGGATTACCGCCATGCGACAACTTTAAGTTGTAAATATCTCTTGCTATTGTACTACTGTCCGTCTCGTTATTGGCAAGAAAATTTTATAGGGTACAACGATACTTCCTAAACTATAGAAAAGTTGTTGCCCGCAGCTCCGTTTGCGTGGAATTCGCAATTAGGACTCATCACTCATCATTTTTCATACATGATCGTTTTCCGGGTTGGAACCGTGTAAATTGGGTTTTTGGGCTCAACGTTTCGCACACTTTCGTAAGTGGCATCTTCAGGAGCAGGGTTAAGAATAAGGCAAAAGCGCACGGTAACTCAGTATGTCAACCATACCAGAGGCGAAACTCTTTTGAGAAATTACACGGTTCCAACCCGGAAAACGATCATGTATTGAAGCCTCCGAATTATCATTTTTCAACTCGTTCACTTCTCCCTCCCCAGTGAACCCGTCTGACTTAAAAACTGACGGCATTTCTGCACAAAGCTTCATCCCCTATTTTGTCCCCGTAGGAGCGGAATTTCCAGAAATCTTTTCTTAATGGGTGCTTATGACACAAAAGTAACCTACTGTCCAAATTTCATGTTTGTAGCTTCAGTAGTTTAGGCTTTGCGTTGATGAGTCAGTCAGTCTGTCAGTTAAGACAAACATTTTTATATATTACGATTGATTCATCATAATTTTATGCATGTTTGTTAATAAAAAGTATCTCTCTACAAAAATATGTGATTACAAAATTTTATTTGTTTTTTTTCTACAATTTTTTTTTTAAGGGCGTTGAACAGTAAGTTTGCATCGGGGCGCCTGGTCCCTTAGAGCCGGCCCTGGAGATACACGATATAAATATCTGAGAATTATGTATAACAGCACTGTGAATTTTTTTCACAGGCTTGGGAAAGTTTGAGGTTTGTATATAAGAAGTAATTTTTTAAATGTTTTTTATGATTAGTTTTTGAGGTACAGAATCCCAAAGAAAGTTCTGTCGTCTTGTCAAAAATGCCACTGTTGTAATAAGTTAGCGTTACATTTTCTATACCACTACAATTTTTTAATAAATCTGACGTGATATTGCACTCAGAAAAAATAAATTTAATGTAAAATAAACCTAAACTTGACGACAGCTAGTTTTTCCAAATAATAGGAAGGATAAAATTGGCATTATTGAAAACGGTTTTTAAGTTACAAAAATTGTAAAATTTTTATTAAAAATGTTCATTATAATTTTTCAGCATTTAATTGACAAAAATTTGATTTCTAGTAAGCCAAATCTATAATAAGAAGCTCATTCTAAACCCGTTACTACAATTATCAAACAATATTTTTTTATATTATTTGTGCTTCCTAACAGAAAACGATAAACGAGACCTAGTTCACATAACGCAACACAATTTCAATAGTAAATTAATGCAAATTTATTCTATCAATATTATTTAATCGTTAAAATGTAACCGTCAAAGAAAAAAAATATACGTAACTCGTTCACGAAGCATCTGTAGCCTGGTTAGAGAAACTTAATTTTTGAGTAGTGGATTCAAAATAACTTCCTAAATTAGCTACTTTTACATTTAGATAAAAATCAAGCGATAAAATGCGGAACGAATTAATGTTTTTTACTGATTTTGATTTTTATTGGGGAACTGTTCCCAGTTTAGGTATAACAAAAAAAAAACAGCATGTAACATGACATCGAAATCACCACATTTTTTTGTACTACATATACTATTATACAGAGTGGCCCAAATAAAACAAAACAGACGGGACCGTAGGCGCTGTACTTGATTATCTGAAAAATGCCCGAACAGATCGATTTTTGATTCAGTTTAACGTTTTTTCACTTTCTTCGTACCTTCTGATTATTATGTCACATAAATGAAAACATTGTATTTGCTATATATAATCTGTTTCAACTAATCGTAAACTGCGACAATATTCAAAACAATGACAAGAGTGCTGTTTTAATATTTTTTGTTTTTTACTAACAAATAAAATCCTAAACGATAATCCATTTTGAGAAAAAAGACCTTGAAAATTTTCATTAGTAAAATTAATGACTTCGTGGGCCGGGAGTTGTGGGGTTTAATTTGTGCTTGTTTTTATTTTATGTTGTTACTCGTGTGTTCGACAGGCTGAATTACGAGATTTATTGAGACAATCTCGCAACGTGGGATGCACACCAAACCCGGCTGATTTTGATCTCCACTGGATTTGATATTATTTATCTATTATGTTAATTTTACACGTGCTTTATTATAAATGTAATTAGCGACCGGTTTATGATGTAAACTTGATGAGATAAAATTTGGAGTAACCAGTAATTTGAATTCATATAAATTCGAAAAAAATGTAGGAACTGAATTTTAAATTGACAAAAAGGCACAAAAGTTAATTTAAAAAAGTTCATGGGAAGACCCACGTCTGCGTGAACGGCGCAACTTGGTTAAATAGCTAGCTGTTTTGCGAAGACAGGGTAGAAAGTATAATATGCGGCAGATTTTTTGGGCATAGATATGTGGCGTATATGTGTTATACCTATCAACAGAGTAAAACCATCGAAGAAGCTTGAAAGTGTGTTTATATATCATAATTTAAATTTACCACCACACCATCGTAATGACTTGAGTATTTGGATCCAGTTATTATAATGAATGAATTTGTGTATTTAAATTTGGATGTTCAGATATCTGCTTTTGATTTATAAGTAGTAACATTTGATTGAAAACTGGAGGAGGGTTTGCAGTGTCAAATTTTGGCGGTATGTTTGGGTTAGCACACAGTGTGGTGAATTTGGTCTTTCAACAACCTATTTATAATCTATAATGTTAAAACTATTTCGAAATCAACTGTTTAAACCTTTAAGTATCAATGACAAAGGACATGTGTGCTTTAAATATAAATTAGTTCCACTTAGATTTTACCATCATTAGCTACAATCTTCAGAGAAATGATTTATTTATTTAATTAATTTTAATGAAATTAACTTAAAAAGTATTTCTTTGATCACATTTTTTACTTTCCATTAAATTAATTACTTCCCCAGCGATAACGAAGGAAAGTATTCTAGCAAAACCATTTAGATGATTGTCCAATTTCATGTTTCTTAGCGAATCATTATATCAACATTACGCAATACGTAAGTGTCCTATTTCTGTGCGTCCGTCTGTCGTCTGACAGTTTTGTCCGAAACTATTAAATTTCGTTCAGAGACTCCATTAATATTAACTACAGCTATATATGTAATTCATTAATTAGAATGACTTATTAAACAAATTTTTCATGAAAATTACGCAAACATCTTAAATTATATGAACACATTTATTTTCAAAAAACAACTTTTGTAATTTATGGTCAAATATTTTATTTACATGGCAAAATTGATATCGTCATCCCAAAATTATGTACTTATTTAAAAATATACGTTTACAGATTTTTTTTTTTTAATCTGTAACACAGCTAGCTGCATTTTGACTATTTTCATATTTGACACATTAAAATTACAAAATTAATGTATTTATCACCCCTACAAACTTGATGGACATCATTGGTATTACATTTACACACAAATACATGCTGTATTTGCTATGCTTCCGAAGCGTGGAAGTTCTATGTAAACGACTTTACACGTTTTTTTCCTCTGAACTTTCACACCTCTCTGCCTCTCTCACTTTACGATTTTCTTAAAACTGGAGCTTATAGTAACGGTACCGGAAACCTACCATAAACCATAACAGACCCATTCTTCCCACGGCAAGTAGGCTACGGTGGTAGCGTTGGGTGAGTCGACAAGTCGATGGACTCGGATTCGGTTGTGCGGCTAGACGGTGAGAGGTTCTTGTGCTTGGTTTAGTGACATAGTGTTCGATTTTCCGTGGTGGCGAATATATGGATGTGAAAAAGTAAAAAACGACAAAAAAAGACAAAAAGGTGAGCCAAATATTAGTGAATGAAAACTGATTCCAAGAATTGGTGAATGGTCAATGATTAGTAAGGGATGAATCACTTTCGAAGAGTTTACTTGTGATAATTCGTGTCATAATCTAATTATAGTCCTTGGGTTAGTGAACGCTATTAATAATAATAATTAGTGAAGTGTCCATTGTTAAAGAGCCGAAAAAGTCGAGTTGCTAAACTTTCAATTACGACAATTTTGTTGATTTCATACTCGGCAAGGCACGCACTAGCGTCCTACTTGCATAGAAAGTTGTCCAATTATGTATGGAAATTCTATTATTTTATTTATTGATTTAGCACATAATCAAAATTAATTGTTCGGACACTCTCACGTTGGTATAATGTCCCACTCCCCTTAAATGTTGCGGGAAGCATAAATTTACAAAACTGAAACTAATTAGGATATGCTGTAATTTTCCCAGGCTTTTGTCCGTGTAACTGCAGTAAATAAAAAGTAAAAACTAAAATAGAAACCTTGTACAACATATAATTTTTTTGTTATTTTATTCTTTGTTGAAGTAGTTATTAATTTGGTTTAATTTAAAAAATAAAACAATCAACAACTTTTTCCACTTTTTAGTTTTTACTCGAAATTACTTGTGCGAATATATATTTTATAAATTACTTTTGCTACAGTTTCTTTTGATAATTAAATTGAAACAAAAGCATAAAGTAAAACCAATTTCTAAGAAGAAATTAGAAACTTTATTTACCTCTGATTTATAACTGTCATTGCCATGGGGAAAATATGACGTCAGGATTCTTTTTTTGGATCAACATTTTATTTGTTTATTAAACTGCTTCCACTTTTCAACCACAAAACGAACTTCTCTCTGTGAAATTAATTTTGATGCTCTAGTTAAGTTTTCATTGGATGAAGTATACCTAATAGAACAGATAATTTAGTAAATATTAATCTGCAAGGTCCAAAAATTACGAAAAAAAAATAGTACAACGCTGAGTAGTATTCCTAGATTACATAGTTAAAAATAAAACATTTGTTCCCTTCAAACCATTCAAAAAATTGATGAGGACATCTCCAATATTTTTTGAGTAAATGATCTGTGTACATGATATGTTTGTTTGCCTGTGGTTTAAAATTTCACTCCAAAATTTAATTATGTGCATAAAAATTATTCTTACGTCCAAGAGAGCTTTTGAAATTTTGAAATTTATCGTAAATAAAATTAGTGAGTGGAGATGTTGTAATTAAACAAATTAAATCAAACCAAAATCTGCATATACAAACAGTTCTAATGGACATACTTAACGCTTATTGGCTGGGCGTTACCTACTGTTGCCATGGCGACGACATGACGTCATCAATGATACGTTTTAACGGAACAATATTATGTACTTTTATATTTCTTATCCTAATATTGGCGATTTCTGGATTTCATGGTTGTGACGCTGAAATCCATTAGTAAGCTCTTACTTAAATGGATTCTAGACGGTAAACATCATAAAATCGTTAATTATGACACATACCTAAATTTACAGTTTCCACAATTATTTCAAAAATCCTCGCTGGTGACTTCTGGTTACTATAAAAACCGCTATCAATATTTAAATTAATAGAAAATGAGACTTTTAATTTGCCTTACAAAACAGTTGTTGCATTTTATTTTGCTTGATATAAATATTTTAAAGTCTTGTTTTCTACATTACTAAGTAATTTTTTACATGTTTCTAATTTCTAGATCTAAATGTCATTCCGTCTAGTTACAATAGTCTACAACAATTTATACCTTTTTTGTGTGCACATTTTACCTAAATCTTTTAATTTAAATCTAATGTAAATATTTCTGAATAATGATTTGTTCTCTAACTTTTCATTAGACATCTCTTTGCAGTGCTTGTAGTAAGATTTATGTTTAAAAAATATATATTCAAATAACTATTTTAAAGAATCAAATTTTCCTCCTCCGAGAATAAAATGGAACTGGACCCATTTCGTACGAGTTGCTAGAAGAACTCGAGGGAAACAGAAAGCGTGCATAATCCACAATCTTTCTTAATTTCTGGTGAATGTATCAAAAAGTTTTTTAAACGGTTGTGTGGATGTTATTTTAGAACAAAATTACCAAAAATTATTTATTTCTATTTATTAGAATTTACAGATTTTAATATTGTTCTACTTTTCACATTTCGCAACTTTTGCTGCTGCTGGTAGGTTGTTGGATGTTGGTTTATTTCAAAACGCGAAACTTGATGACTTTTTTAATTGAACACCCGTTACTTCTACCTACACATTGAGCTTTAGTAAGACATTGTTATACGAGGCATATTCACAAATTTATACTGCAGTGCATTCTACCTACATATGTATAGTGACTTTTAAACATACATCTTATCTTTTAAACAAGTCGTTATAAAATCCGACAGTAATTTATCCACATATCTGCAGTAATAATTCTTTTACAAATTTTTTATACAGAATCCTCCTACACTGTGAAACGTTTATTGTTAGTTAATTATTGCACCTGTTTGACAATTTTTTTACGAAAACAATGAGAGGTCAACATTCGCCATTAAACTTTTGCCGACTTCCGTCCAAGTCCAAACAAGGTCGGGCGTAGGTCTATCTAAATTACAACAATTCATAAATTTTAATGAAATTTTTCACAGTCCAAAATCAAGGACTCCGATCATAATCATACCTACATTAAAAGAAACGAGTCCGCCAAGTGAAAACCTTCGATTTTTAAAGCGATTAAACGCAAATGACACGTTTAAAAATAAAAAAATTAAGAAATGCATGCATATGACCTTGCCGTTCCAGTTCCTCCATAGAGAAAATTAACATGAGGAAATTAACGCTGCAAGTGTGTTCTACTTATTTTCATTATCATAACCTCAATTCGTACGAAAAAAGTCTGCCTCACAGCGCACAAATCCGCACTTTCGTTATGCGAATTGGTCACTTTCGTTAAATATCCCGGAGCCCTTCTCATAAGAAAGCCCAGTGATAATGTCACTTGAAAAGGCTGCTAAGTTTCATAATACAGTAATTAACCTTATATAATTAAAAATTACTGATACGGCAACCATTCACTTATTTTAATAAAATCTTGATAATTACACAATTTATAAAACAGTAAAAAATAATGCATATGATTTTATCAAACGTTACTTCATTTCCATATTCAGGTTTTCGGTAACCACGTGCCAACTTACTTAATAGTACAACCCGTCGACTGCAACGCAAAAATTTCACCAACTTTATGTAATAGTGATGTATCAAAAAAAATCCTATGGGAACATTCCAGTTTCGCTTTCTTTTATTATATCCAATCGTTTCCTAATGCCAATGAAATATTTAAATCTATGCAACGCCTACTGAGTTTCACAATGACAATATACTTCCACTACCATTACCGTATGGTATTGCGATAATTTACCACACAATATATCTAAATGATTGCATGCTACATGTAATTTAAACGAACGATTCCCATTTAAAACATTTCGCTCTATTTGTTTACCGCATTTGTTAATTAGTAGCGGAAATAAAGACAAAACTGTTTTTCCATATGGATGCACCGCAGTAAACGACCTTTTATTAGACATGCAGGACGCGTGACTATTAATTCAATATCAAACAACTGTATAAATTTTAATTTTTTTCATTTGGAATGGGAACTGCCATTAAGTATGTATACAGTGTTGGGAATTTCCATTAAAATTTACTTTCTGCCGTAGGATGTTGGTCGGCCTGTATGCGATCGTCGTCGCTTTTTTTCTGCCTCGGATCGCCGCCCATGGTCGTCTCATTGAGCCGCCAAGTAGGGCTTCTGCGTGGAGATATGGATTTGACACCCCTCACAATTATAACGACCATGAACTGTATTGTGGGGGGTTTACGAGGCAATGGGTGAAGAATGAGGGGAAATGTGGGGTTTGTGGTGATGCCTGGGATGTTAAGTGAGTTAATTATCAATTAATTAGTACTTACTGGAATTACTTAATTAATTAAAAATAATTGTGCAGTATCTTTATTGTCTGAATAATTAGTATTTGACGGAGGATGTAATTTTGTACAATTAATTATCTGATTATATATTTACTGTAGTTGTTTTAAAGAATTTAAATGTGTAAGTAATGAATTTTTAAATTTTATTTTAATAATTGCAATTTTGAAATAAGAAGATAAAATCTGAAGAATGGTTTACTTTGAAAAGAACAACACTTTTAAAACCTCTTATTTTATACTAACTGATGTAAATCTGACTTTTAGGGAAAAGTTATCATACCAACGGAAACACTTTTCAACTGCCACTAAATGTAGACCTCTAAAAAAATTTTATTTTCGTTCAATATGATTTGGAATGTGTCCCTTATGGGTACCATTAAGATACGCCACTGGAAACTGCAGTCATATTCATATTATTGAAAGACTATTATTGCTAAACTGTCACTCAATTTTTTATATTCATTCGTCCATGTTCACACACTTATGCGTTGAAAAAAATGTGATATTTTTAAAATTTCTTATTCTAATTGACGTAAATCTGTCACACAAATAGAAAAAATCACCTGTCAACAACTGTCAATCAACTGCAATGCCAACAGTATTATTTAAAAAATTAATTTCATGACCCTATGGTATCATAATTTGAATGAAGCAGGTTGCTTTGGAATGAACTTAGTTTACCTTTCGGAAAGGATAAAAAAGTAGGTAAAATAAAACTCTTAATTAATTAGGGAATATTAAAATAATAATAATAATAATAAATGACACTAAAAATCCCTTGCTTTCAGAACACCCCGGCCCCACGAATTTGGCGGCACTTACGGCCAGGGTCTCATCGTCCGCAAATATGGCGTCGGCTCCGCCATTACCATCCGCGTGGAACTCACAGCCAACCACTTCGGCTACTTCACCTTCGCCATCTGCCCCAACTATAAAACCACCACACAAGAATGTCTCGACAAACACATTCTACAACTAGCTAAACCCCAAGAGGGCGTCGACCACCAAGGCATTCGTTTCTACCCCAAAGCAGGCAATTCGGTCTACGAAATGAAATACCGCCTACCGAAAAAATCGTGTGAGCACTGCATTCTTCAGTGGCGCTACATCGCGGGCAACAACTGGGGCAACTGCCCCAACGGTACGGGGGCTGTGGGTTGTGGCCCTCAGGAAGAATTCCGCGCCTGCGCCGATATACAGATATCAGGCAAAGGGGTGGAGACTATGGTGCCGGAGGTGGAAACTACGACCACGACTACCGTGGCCCCGCCCTCATGGGAGGAGTCGCAGAGCCCAGTTACTGCTTTTATTATCAATGTTGTTTCTTTTTTAGTAGTGTGTTTAGTTTTGTTCCTTTTATATTTTCATTTTTACCGAGTTGGTAGACAACTGAAGGATTGGTTGAAGGGAAAGGGAGAGGGAGAGAAGGTGGTGCCCATTGCACCGCCGAGGACGAGGAGGCCGAAAGGGAGCGAGAAGGAAGGGATGGATGAGGTGGATTTGGGCGGAGACAGTGTGGCGTAATGGGAGGAGCTGGAAGTGGTTTTGATTGATGAATAATATTTATTCACCCATGTACGCACTGAGTTGGCACTGATGTATTTATTGTAGGTTAGATTGTAAATAAAGATATTACGTAATTGAGAAGTTTCTTTCGGATATCGTACAAGATTTTTATTATACATATATATACAGTGAAAACATTTACTTAAACCTGACCCCTTTCCATATTATAAATAAGAAATGTTTATCATTTCATGTGAAAGTTTTTAAGTTTTTTAAATTCGAACATCAATTGTCAATTGGGTACCAATCGCGAAATTAAAATCACTAGAGCTGACTAAATAACTAAATATAAAAATAACCGACAAGCTACTTAAGCCAGTGTAATAAATCAGATTAATTTTTAACTATTAGAAAATAGTTTTAACAATGATTAAGCTCTTTTTCTTTTTTAACATTCATCTGATGATTTTCATCACAGTATATCGGAACAAATACTACCAACCAGGTAAAATTAAAATTCCCTAACTCCTAATCTGTCATCGGAAAGTCACCCGGTGTTTTGCATCCCGAACGGATGAGACTTACGGATCTCTTTGAGCGTTCCTTTGTCACCCTTAATGCCTAAAAAAGATCCTTGCAAAGTCTTCGCTTGCCGCATCCAAGACTGTCTCAAAGGTATGTCTTAACCTCAATTTTCACCATTACATAATTCCTCCCCTAGAGAACAACTTTCAAGAATCTGCTTGTCGCGAAGCCATCGAGACCCTTCGCGAGTGCTGCCGCAAGTGGCACAAACACAGCCTCGTCTGCGACGGCATCAAAATCGACCCTCCACAACAGTCCCAATGAAACAGCCTAAAATCCTCTACAAAGACCGGCCCCTGATCTACAGGTATCCACGAACAAGTTCCGCCGTACTCACCACCGCCGGTTTACTTATTTTCTTTTCAAAACCTATCTATGACTTGTGCTTCAGCGACCAACAAATTGACATCGAGGAGTTGAAGAGAACACACAAGTCCAGGTTTGCAAAGTCGTAATGGAGTCAGTGCAGAAAGCCAAGCAGAGGTTTCGGCAGTACCCTGCTCTTCTGGCAAAGTGTGGTAAAGAGGCGACTGCATATGCGACGTGCGTGTTGAAGAGAGACAATGTGAATTTGAACGATTGCAAGGAGGAGTTTGTAAAGTTTAAAAGTTGTTTGCAGAAGTCAGCGGCGAGTTTGAAAACTAGGTTGTAATATGGCGTGGCGTCGGTTTTCTAGCTTTGATTATAGAGCGCACTTGCTTGTAGCGTTAGTTGTTAGGTTGGCACTAGTGGCGTATGGGGTTTACCATGATAGCGTTTCTGCCGTACCATATACTGATATTGATTATAAGGTTTTCACGGATGCAGCGAGGCACGTTCTTGAGAACAGGTCGCCCTATGATAGACACACATATAGGTATTCGCCTCTTGTAGCATATATGGTTATTCCAAACATATTGATTCATCATACGTTTGGGAAAATTTTCTTTTCTTTGGTTGATTTAGTAGTGGCGGTTTTAATTAGAGCAATTATAAAGACGACGCTTTTGGAGTACCTTCAGTACATGGGAGAGGGGGACAACAATAAAAATTGTGCCCCTATTACTAGAGGAAGGAAAAAGTCGAAAAACAAGGGAAAAAAGGATAGGAAGAACGACGAAATTGAGATATCTTCCAATGTGGGAATGATCGTGTGGTTATACAATCCTTTGACAGTTGCTATAGGTACAAGGGGAAATTGTGACTCTGTCGCCGTACTGTTTGTTTTGGCAACACTCTATATGTTACAGTGCCAAAAAAAGTATTTCTTGGCGGGGTTGATCCACGGTGTTTCAATACATTTCAGACTGTACCCAATTATATATAGTCTCACGTTCTATATGTATTTAAGCAAATTTTCGTTCTATTCTTTGGAAGATCGTCGCAAACGTCAAAACTCAATCACCGTGAAAGAAATAACAGAACAGGACATTCGGGCCGTTGTTACGCGAAAACCCGAACGTAAAACCATCTTTAAGAAAAAATACCTTCTCTATTTGGTGCCAAATTTCGACCAAATCCGTCTTGTCCAGGGTTGTATTCTCTCCCTTTTCACTCTCATAGGCGTTTTTTACTATCTCTACTCGTACCAATTCCTCCACGAAACATATTTATATCACTTTGTACGAAAAGACACGCGCCATAACTTCTCCCTCTACTTCTATCTCCAGTACTTAACAGCATGGATCAAGAACATCGGACTTTGGCAAAAAGTTCTAATAGTCCTCCCCCAAATCGTTCTCCTTCTTGTTTTTTCCTTCCGTTACGGTTTAAATCGCTTCTCTTTAAATTTCTCGGTACTTACACAGACCATAGTTTTCGTGGCTTACAACACGGTGCTAACTTCACAGTATTTCGTTTGGATTTTGGCTATTTTACCATTGTGTCTTTGGCAGATCCGGATGAGCACAAGAAACGCCCTTTTTCTGGTACTGGTGTGGTTTGCGGCGCAAGGGGCGTGGCTTCTGCCCGCCTACTTTCTTGAGTTTCACGGACAAAACACGTTCTTGTTTATATGGATACAGAGTGTGTCCTTCTTTTGTGCCAATATCGCCATTCTAGGGAGGTTGATAATGTTCTTTATGCCGATTAAGAAAAAGGAAGTTTGAGGTGGCCCTGATGGGGGACTTGGTCGTGATAGTCGGTGCTGCGTCTACGTAGTGATGTATAATGTAGTGTATATGTGTATTTATACCATTTGTAAACGAATGAATAAATAAGAGTACGAATTTGTAGTTTTTTACTGGGGAAAGGGAAAAGGGCAAACATTGATATAATCACGTAAAAATCATATCACAGTATCAAATATATTATAGGTTTTTTACAATTTCAGTTAATTTCTGTGTGGATGATTAATTTTTGGTATTCGTTTCATTAAAGTGGTGCGTTTTTATGTGTCTCTTCAAATTATATTTTTTCTTGGCTTTATAGGGACACTTTTTGCATCCGTACCATTTCATTTCCCGCTCATCTACATGATGTATATTGATGTGAGTTTTTAAATTAGAAATTTGTTTAGATTTGTATGCACACTTTTCACACCTATGCCATTTAATATCTTCTCTATCCATGTGATGTGCGTTTATATGATTTTTCAAATTAGTCGTATGTTTGGATTTGTATGGACACTCTTTGCATTCATACCACCTTACATCTTTATCTTCTAAATGATATGTAATTGTGTGGTTCTTTAGAGTCCAATTTTCTTTAGTTTTAAATGGACACTTTTTGCATTCATGCCACTTGACACGTTTTTCCCCTAAATGGTGTGCTTTTATATGTCTATTTAAAGTCGATCTTTGTTTAGCTTTAAATGAACAATTTTGGCACTCGTACCATACAATATCCTTCTCATCCAAATGATGCGCATTTACGTGCTTTTTTAAATTATAGTTTTTTTTAGTTTTATATGGACATTTTTTACATTCATACCATTTAATATCTTTTTCATCCAAGTGATTTGTGTTTATATGACTTTTCAAATTGGACATTTGTTTAGACTTGTGTGAACACATTTTACATTTATACCATTTAATGTCCTGCTCTTCCAAGTGATTTGCGTTTATGTGATCTTTCATATGGGATATGTTTTTTGTCGTATATGAGCATTTTTTGCATTTATACATCTTAATAACCTGTTCATCTAAGTCGTCTGTATTATCTGGGTATTTTCGGCATTCAAACCACATATTATGTTTATCAAAATGATGCCGACTTACATGTTTTTTCAAGTCGGAATTATGTTTACTTTTGTATGAACAATTGTCACATGCATACCACTTGATGCTTGTTTCATCTGTGTGCTGTGAGTAGACGTGTGTTTTTAAATGAGATTTCCTTTTAGATTTGTATGGGCATTTTGCACATTGATACCAGAATATATCATCATCATTCAAATGTTTTGCAATTTTGTGTATCTTCAAAGAGTATTTCCGCTGGCATGTGTACTCACATTGATCACATTTTTGCCAGGTAACAAAATTTTGTTCACGCTTCACTAGTTGTGTGTTTTCTTCATTTCCAAAACACATTACCATGTGTTGGCACCATTTAAGTGAAAAGTGTGTCTCAAAGTTGCACTTGTCACAATTATAATTTTTAATTGTGAAATCCAATATCATTTCTTTTTTAATTTTATGAAGCTTTTGAATGTGATCTTTGAAATGAAGAGTTAATTGGGTTTGGAAATCACAGTCTTTGCAGTAATATGGTTCAATGTTTGCATTTTCGCAGTTGAAGGGCGGAAATGATGATAGGTGGTGATTTCTCGTGTGATTCACCATCAGAAAAAATGATGTTGTGAAGTATGGACAGACTGTGCAGCTATGGGTTTTTTCAGTTGACGGTTTTCTATGTACGTAATTCTCGGAGTATTCCAGAAACATTTTGGTACCTAAATTTTTTACTTTTAGGTACATTGTGGAAGCGACTCATTTTTCCTTACCTATACTTTGAAGGCAAAGTGCTAAAATGTCAAGAAGGGGTTTCCCGTTGTAGTTCCGGTAAAAAAGTTGTCATTAAAGTTGTACACACATAACCTCAAATATATGTCTTAGAATTCACATAACAAGAGCCAGAGGACCTAGCTGTAAATATGATAGCAACATGAGCAATCAAAAACAGAACTGTTACTAACGTTCAATGTACTATTACAATTGTACACTACATCACAACTGATCACAACAGAGTCAGTACATAACACCCTATGTAATACATATTCTACGACAAGACGCGATAGGCAACACATAATACATTGTGATCCAGCTTAATTGAAATAATCGTGTTAAATTCCGTTTATAATTTTTTGACTATTCTATGTTTCCAGTTTCCTATTTCCATCAGATAAAAATAACCGTACAATTTCAGTGGCAAAATAACATAAAAATCGGAAACAAGTTTAGGCGCCCCACGATGATAGCAATTTAACTGATGATAATTTTCAAAGTCCGTTCTGTCATAATTTTGGATCAACGGTTTAAGATTAGTTTAAAGACCATAAATTAATTAAGCATTTTCAATCTCGAGTAACGAGTAATGAAGTATGAATAATACAATAACTTAAGTAAAGTTATCCAGAAATTTAGATGTCGTTATTTATTGTCGTAAAATTGCGTTAAAACCACGACGGTTAACAATCCTGACATGAAGAGTAAATTTACAAACAGTGAAATAAAATTATACGTGTTGAGTGTTGGTGCACTAGTCAACAGTTTCACGACATCTCAGATTAGAAAATCGTTAATAAACTGAGCGCTAAAGAAAAGCCCGGAAGAGGAAGTCGCGATGGGCACTCCAGAACAACCTCGATCACGAAATATCTAAAAAGGAGCGCGTGGCTGTTAAAAGAGAAGTAGAGTCTAGTCTAATCCATTCCAGTCTAGTCGGATTTATTCTGTACATAATCGCTGTATAATTTTGTATTGCAGTGAAATAAATTGTTGAGTTTTACCCACGCCGATTTTAACACCCGTAAATTCTAACAATATTGAAATGAGTAGTATTTACTTGAATGCGTGAAAATCTAATAGGACAGTAAAATGAATAAATGGACAGTTACGTGTAAGCAGTTACTAACTCAAAATCAGTCCGCTAGAAATATTGGGTTAAGTAGTTCTCATACACATATTTTTTATTTAATGTTAGCGGAACTCGAGTAATTATTTTTGACAATTTAAATTTTTATTATTATTTTTTTATTGGAATATCTAGTAGTGTTTTAAAATACTGTAGACTTTGAGTGAAATAAAGGAAATATTTTGCTATGAAAATATATCTTTTTTATTTTTTAATAGAAATATAAATAAAATTATTCCAACGATGTCCAAAGAAATATTAAAAAATATATTTAAACTTGTTGTATAATAGAGACAAAAAATTGGTTGAAAGTTATTTCGACAAAACTTTCCTAGCCCCTAAAGTTTTAGTTGAGCAAATACAACTTCGAAAAATTATTATCAACTTTAATTTTGAGAATTGTTTTTTTTTTCTTTTTTTTCATCGTATCTATATCTTTGTAGTCAGTTTTTCCATACATTTTTTTTTTTTTTTGATAACGTCGTTAACATTTTAGCGAGGGCATTTCTAAATGTTATGAAAACATCAATCTTCGGATATGCTAGAATTCAACATTTTCCTCAGTTTTCAAGATTTCTAGATCTTCCAGATTTTTCACACTTGCTACATATTTCCAGATTTTCTAAAATTAATAGACTCCAAGAGTCTTTAAATCTTTGAAATTTTTGGAATCTCTGGAATCTTTAGAATCTCTGAGATGTATAAGATAATAATTAGGGTGTTCAAGACCCCTAATGATTGGAGGATTTATAAAAATTAAAGGAAGCATTCTTCAGATTTTTACGATTTTTAGATTTTTACGATTTTTGTTTTGTTTAGAGTCTTTGGAATCTTTAAAATTTTTGTCGTTTAAAATATTTGGAACAGAATTTTAAAAACCTTTTTAATGTTTGAATCTTTAGAGTATTTAGAATCTTAGTTTTCAGAGTCCTTAGAGTTTTAACAATCTTCGGAAATTTGGATATTTCAGAATTACTAGAAATTTTATAAAGTTTAGAATTTTTATAATTTCTAGGAACTTTAATACTTCCCAAGATCTTTACAATTTTGTTGCATATTTCTTCTGTTTAGAATCTAAAACTTTAGTTTATTTAGCATATTTGGTGTCTTTACAATTCGCAAATTCTAGTGTATGAAATCTTCAAGATTTTTAGAATGTGTCGAATCTTTCGAATTTTTGAAAAGTTTGAAATTTTTAGAATACCTACAATCTCAAGATTTTGTAAACTTTTGAAATTTTGAGATTTTATATTTTTTTATTTTCTGTTAATTTTTGGGAATTTTCGTAATTTGCAAAATTTTAAAAATTTCTAGAATGTTCAGATTTTCCAGATTTTCCAAAGTACACAAGATCACCTGAATTTCCACGTTTTACAAAATTTCTAAAATTATCAGGCTCCAGTTATATCAGAACTTTGAAATTCAACTTTTTTAAATATTTTCAAGATTTTTAGGTCTACCACATTTTTGTCACTCTTTCTGAATTTTTTCAGATTTTCTAAAATTTATAGATCTCAAGAGTCTAAATCTTTGGAATTTTTGGAATCTCTGGAGTCTTTACAGTCTTCAAGATTTATAAGATAATAATTAGGATGTTCAAGGCCTTCAGTACTTTTAGGATTTATAAAAATTAAAGAATTCATTTTTCCGATCTTTACGATTTTTAGGTCTTTAAGATTTTTGTTTTCTTTAAAGTCTTTGGAATTTGTAAAATCTTTGGGATTTTAAGAGTTCACGCGATTTTTACAAGTTTTAGAATCTTTGGCTTTGGGAATTTCACTACAACCTTCAGAATCTTTCAAGTATTCGAAACAGAATTTTAGTGTTTGACCCCTTTGGGTGTTAGTCTTTAGACACTTCAGAGCCTTTAAAATCTTTAGACTTTAGATTCTTTAGAGTCTTTCCAATCTATGGAAATTTTGAACACTTTGGGAATTACTAGGAGTTTTATGAAGCCTAAAATTTCTGCAATTTATAGGATCATTAGTACGCCCGGGTTTTAAAAATTTTCTAAGATTTTGTTGAATGTTTTTTATATTTAGAACATTAGAACTTTAGTTTATTTAGAATCTTTAAGTGTATGTAACCCGGGAAAGCTTTTATACTTTTTAAATCTTTCAAACCACTGGAAACTTTAGAATCTTTAGAATCTCTAGAATCTAGAAACAATCGAATTTTTATAATCTTTAGACCTTTCAGATTTTCATTATTTTGAAATACTTCAGTATATCTAGAATTTTAAATATTTTTGGACCTTTGGGATTTTTAGCATCTTTCCATTTTTTAAATATTTGGAATCTGTGGAATCTTCGGAATTTTTGAAATTCCTTTAGAATTTTCAAATGCCGGCTTCTCTAACTTTTTTTTAATGTTTTGAAATTCCCAAAATCCTTGTAGTTCTTAGAGTTTTTAGCATCCTTGAAAGCCTTAAAACCTTTGAAAGGGTTAGAATATTTGGGACTTTCACAACATTTGGTATCTTTCCACAAATTCGGTCAGAATTTTAGAATTTCTGTAATTCTGTAAACGGAAATAAGAGACCTATGTTTTCGTATTCTAAAGGTAATGAAACGTCAATTTTCTTTCATTAATTTTTGTGAGTCACCCTGTATAAGAAATTTAAAAACTTTTAATGCAATGATAAATCACAAGAGTATAGATTCATCATATTTTACACATTTTGGATAGGATTTATTTGGCTCGGGAAGTAAAAAAATTTACAAGAGCTGTAGATATACCGATGTTAAATTAATTCGATAAAGTTCAAATCATAATAATAAAAATCGAATTTAAGAGTGTGTTGATACCTAATTTATATTAAAATTTGCCTTTTTTGAAGAGAGAAAAAAAACAAATCTGAACATTTAAAGGATTTTTTTTTCATTTGGATAATTCTTCGGCGATTTGTATACATATAAGAATTTCTTTGAGCTGTATTGTCGTTGTTATTGTTTATTATGTGTACTTTTTATGCAGGTATCGTTTGTATTGTATTTTTTGGTAAGTTTATATTTTATGTTTTGTTACTCAACTACAAGCATTATAAATTCACCGACACCTAACCGGCAAGGGTCATTTTACAGTCGTCACTAACCCTGTAGTTGTTCCGTCCAACCCCTCATCATCATATCATAAAATTTTAGTGGGCAAAAAAATAACGTTCTGAGTATACCTTGGGTACCCATTCCTATTCAACGATTTCTTTAAGAATTTGTGATTTGAGCCCTTTGGCACTTACCACATCGACACCACTGCCGCGTCCACACATAGGCAACATCCAATACACATCAATACCGAATTTTTCCCCCTAACCTCTAAATTTGAAACAAATTGTTTTCGTGCCTGATTCCTACATTTCATTACAGACAACTACTCCACAACCAGCGTTTAGGCAAGCAGCACCGTTCCCCAGAAACATGTTGTACTCTACTTAACCTAATAATCATGTTTGCAGGTTTATCCAGAATGTCAAAATTGCGACCTTTGGTCCTTTGCGGCCCTTCAGGCTCCGGAAAAAGCACCTTGTTGAAAAAAATGATGGAGGATTTTCCAGATAAATTCGGCTTCAGCATTAGCCACACAACCAGAAAACCGCGACCTGGAGAAGTGGACGGACAACACTACCATTTCACCACAGTGGAAGACATGCAGAAAGCCATCCTGGATGGGCAGTTTATTGAACACGCCACGTTTTGTGGCAACATGTATGGAACAAGCAAAGCGGCGGTGAACTTTGTCAGAGAACAAGGGAAGATTTGTGTGCTGGATATTGATGTGCAGGGAGTAAAACAAGTAAAGAACACAGATCTCGATCCGCTTTATGTGTTCATAAAACCACCATCTTTGGACGAGTTGAAGAAAAGATTGACTGCACGGAAAACAGAAACTGAAGAAAGTTTGCTGCATAGACTGAAAGTTGCCAGTGAAGAGCTGGATTACGGGACTGAGGATAATTTTGATTGCATTGTTATCAATGACAATTTGGAACATGCATATGTACAGTTGAAAACATTTCTAGAAAGTCAGGTTTTTGGGGATAAATAATTTATTCCTGGAAGTTTACATCATTGTAGGTGTGTCATTAAACTTTGCATTCCTAGAGGAGCATGCATTAAAGCTAAGCATACATAAACTTGAGTTATGTTGATAAGTAATAGTAATGCCTAGAAACCAGTGTCAAATGTAAATGTTTAGAATGTTAGGAATTACCTAATTGTTTCGTTTCATATGTATATATAGGTTGCGATAATTCTGAAATGGTGATAAATGTGTAAGTAGCGTATTTGAATTATTGTTATGTATATATTAGTAAAAATTGCATTTACAAACAAATGGTCATACGTAGTTCTGTGATTATTGGTATTTTTTCTAGTTTATTTATATCTGTAACAATAACAATAAATAATACATCACACACATGAAGTTTTGTTTTTTATATTCAGTGATTATTATTATATATTTACTACATGGGCAAAACCGTATTATAAAAGACTAAAACTACAAACAAAGTACTCAAACCTAGACCTAAGGCTGGTTCTTACTTACAGTTAAGTATCTAATTGCAAATGGTTTCTTTTAATAATACTGCTACCTAGTGTTCTGGTCATTCAAATGCTGAGAATGTGTGTCTTTTTAGATTAGAATTTCATTCAGTTTTGTATGAACCAGGGGCGGCTTGTCCTATGAGGCAGGTGAGGCAGTGCCTCACCAATGAATTTTACGCCTTATTAGGATTTTTATTATTTTATACGGACACATTTCGGCCAATAATTTGTGTCTTTTTTCTAAAATTTTAAAAATAAATATAGAAAATTATATTCTTATTTTTATCTCGGTAGGTACTCGTTGCTCCCTTAATTAAACAGCGCGCTTAAACACTCCGCACAACATGTATTTTGTGACGCGAATGAGGCCGACTCGAAGCTTGCCTCTACAGCATATATAGAAATCATGTCGTTAATAGGCAAGCAACCTGCAATACACTTATAAGCGGTATGAGTTGAAAAAAGACAAAATTGAGGCTAGCCTCATTTCCGTGCTTGCAAAAGAGATGGACAACTATAATATTTGCGCGCGGGGAACGTGCGATTGCAATGCAGTCTGCATTCGCAGGAGTATTCAAAATTAGGCCGTTGATTGTTTTGCCACAAATCTGTGTGTGTATAAATTGATTCAAAATTTCGGTAACAGAATTTTGTCTTAAAAGTGCCTACGTTTGCGTGGGTCGCGTTAGTGCTTTGTGCTTGTCATAATTTGATTTCGGTAATCGTTATTTAAGATTACGAGTAAATCGGAATTTTTCTCTACTAACGTTAAATGACAATGGCAGTTCTGTTTTTTCTACTTTCACGTATGATGATAAATTGTATGTAGTTAAGGAATTAAAACCGCCGGTTCCTGATTTGAGTAAATCGTTAATTGATCCATAAAAAAAATTTAAAATAAATCCGTATTTATATTTTATATTTTTTTCATTTTGTTTTTTGTTATAAATCAAATTAGCTTTATTTTATGTTGTATTTGATCTTTTTCGATATGTTTCCTTTAAAGTTTATTTTAATTTTGTTTTTTGTTAGAAGTTGTGATAACCCAAACTTCCCGCCTTAAAAATTTGACCTTGAAACAGTTTGAAAGGCCCGCGAAAAATTCAAAAATTCAAAGTTTGGCCTTGGCTGTGATCGTCTAACAAATGAGAACCTACGTTGTGTGTTTTTTTTTGTGGTTTTGAAAAATGGCGGGAAGAAGTTCTTTCATACAAGTGCATACACTGTCGAGAGCGCAAGAAATAATAGACAAAATTAGGAGCCTTCCTAAGGAGGAAAAAGAAACGAAGAACGACAGACGCTCGATTTGCCCTTCTGGCGAGTCCGCAGGGCCAAGGTGTCATCGGTCTTCATTCCCCAAAACCCCCTGGGGTTTTATTCACCGACATATTACATGTCAGACACCTTAAGATATGTGAAAGAAAACACTCGCGAATTGACAGACATACACATATGAAAACCGAACAAACACAAGACCTACACATATGTAAATTGGATGGCAGAACCCGAATCATTATGAGAGTGTGGCGATCGAACAAAATATATATCAATTTCATTTATGAGCACAGCAAAATACCCAGAGGGGGTGTCGTAGCGTGAGCGAAGTTTGGAGCTCCCGGTCTGGGCTGGTTTCCCCCGCGACGGTGATTCTATCTACACCAAGCCTGCCAGACAGCACCCCTCCATGACGAACATGCCGTCCAAGCAGGCCGTTTCGGCCTAAAACTAGCGGTGAAGTCTGGTCAACTACTACCTCGTCGTCAAGACCGTTCCCACTGAAATCTAGTTCAAAGCCTGCACATATGTGCAGAGAGCGCGACACATTCCGCTACCGCAACTAGGAACTGCGCCCATCGCCGACACTACGTGTTATTGTGTTATTTACCTTCAATTCTATTTAAATGTTCAAACTCTATGACTCTAATATTAAATGACAACCGAACAAGTGTTAAAGTTTCAACAAAGAGCAATAAACAACATTTAAATTCGCCATACTCTCTTACGGAAATTCAGTCAACAAATAATTCTTAATTGAGATTAAATTTGGACATCAGATAATTTACATGATAGAAATATTCATCAACAAAATATTTACAAGAGCAAAACTTAGCAAAGATTTATAAAATAAAGATCTGGTGTGAAATAAGCTTGTACAAATTAAATATCATGTTAAGTCAGAACTGCAGAGCATGGAAATTTACGTTCAATTCAAATTATACAGCAAAGAAAATTACTGAAGCTAAAATTGTGAGACAAAGACAAATTGCATGAGGTGAAAGATTGTAAAGTTAACAGATTTACGCATTGCAGGTTTGCGGATCACCGAAACTATCTGTAACAAAAAATGTGAAGCTGCATCTTTGTATTCATATGATTAATATTAATTCGTGTCCAGTCAAGTTATTGGTTAAAATTCAAAACGTGAAATTATTCAGCTACATTGTGGGCCATCATTACACATACATTTCCCCAAACAAAACACATAAACAAACATGGCAGACAATCTGCAGTTGCAAAATGGCGTTGGACGAATTCGTCATTCCAAATAATAGGCGTCGAAAATATGCGATGCAAAAATACGATGAATCCTGTGGCGTTGTATAAACGATGGGCTAAATAAAAAGGAATAGAAGGCACGTCCCCCCATGACCCACAATGTTGTTAATTTTGTTCAATAGATTCAGTTAAAACATGTGCTCGGTTAAAAGAAACAAAATGGACGCTCCAAAATGGCTGCTGCCTGAACAAAGAACGGTGAAAATAACAACTCGTTTGCCGCCATCCAAAATACAGATTTCACAAATAAAGCTAAATAAAGCATGGCCCGAACTAGAAATCACTTCCTGTAAAGCCCTACTGCGATGGATTTTAAATGAAAGATAAAAAAAACGAGATTAGTGGAAAAAAGCGCACGCGTCGAAGTGTCACGAGGTCAGAAGCATCGTCGGGGCTTGAAACTCGCCGCGAAACAGGTGTTCAAAACATACCTCTCCAAAGATGCGAAGATTTCGACACGGCTTACCGCCAACAGGAACACAAAAACCTCGTCGTAAGAACGATGAGAAGTCAGGAACACCCAATGGCTCAACGGGGCTGCTAGGTTTTCAATGGAACAGATCAACACTGTTGCTCGAAGCGCTCGAAAGGAAGTCGACTGTTCTCTCGAAGCGATGAAAAGGAAGTGGGCGGTTTTACCCGAGACAAAACCACCCTCGCTTTGCGCACGTCTGTTTCCTTGGGGTGGTTGGTTGCCAACCTCTCCTTCTTCTCACTAACCGTTTCTTGTGCGCGCGGAATTCGTTTGAAATTTAAAAATTCGAATTGGATCCTTACAAAGTTATATTAGTTTTTTCTGACCACGCTTCCCTTTCCTTTTGTCCTGTCATTCTCATCCTTTCCTTGCAAGACCTCCTTACACCTTCTTGGTTCTTTGTGGACAGTTAAATGAGTTTACAAATTTGTTTATTTGACTAAATAGAAAATATTTAAGTAATCTTGATTTATTTATATTTTAGAGCGTTTTGTGCTGTGCCTCATCAATTTTTCAAGTCATGAGCCGCCCCTGGTATGAACACTTTTTGCATTTGAATGGTTATGATTAGAGCTGTGCGGTTGAAATTTATTTACCCCCACTATCGGCCCACAGTGCAGATCGCTACACAGCCTTGCCTTGCTCGCTTCTCGCTTTTCAGTTGTGGATTATTTTTGCTAATTCACACAAATAGTTTTATTGTCAGCGAGACGGACACCTGAACATTATTAAAATTATGATTACTCTTATTTCGTGAATATGGATTTTAAAATCATCAACTGACATGCCGTTAACATTATTTTTCGCGTAATTTTCTTCGCGATACATAACGTCGGTGCAAGCCTCTGGCCTGCCGGAGTGGGGGTCAATTCGCAGCGTTTAAATTTCAACCGCACAGCTCTAGTTATGATACTTCTGAGTTAAAAATTTAGCAGCCAATGTGTCAGTCTTGAGCTGCAATTTCTGTCCACTTTTCTGTGCTCTTATAGAACTGATTAACTTCTGATTTCCTTCATTGTTTAAACATTTTATATTATGCTGAAACCACTTCCAAAAAAATTTGTTCCAAATCCACACTTGTCACAAATGTAGTTTTTAGTTCTGTATCCCGCATTTGGTAAGACTTCTTGGGTTTCTTTGTTATTGTTATTACATTTTTGAATGTGTTGTTTGAAGTGTAGTGTTAGTTTGGTTTGGAAATTGCAGTCCTTGCAGTAATAAATTTCCATGTTAAAAGATAGCGTGGGACACTGATGTCTAATGTGGTTCATCATGAGGACAATTGATGTGGTATGTATTTGGATAAGGTTCACAAACTACGTTTAGAAGTTTAGAACTAAGGGCATTGTTGTAATTGAGGGAAACAAAATTCTCAGATTTTCCAGAATCTGGTTCACGAAAATTTATTATTAGTTTTGAAAAAACAAAGTGTATTTTCTGCTCACCTAAATTGTTTATTTTTTTCTGTACACATAACCTCAATTTATAAAACAATATAGGCAACAATAATGCACAATTTTGAAATAAATTTACATATAGACCCCCACGTAAAATTTGAAGCAGAACCTGAAAGACGTCAAAAATGTATTATTGGAGTGGAAATGGGAGAGAAAAAATTATATATTCAACCCGTATCATTACTTTCTAGTATATTGTTGGTTGCATATACAAAAGTTTAATATGTATTCTTTAATAAAAATATTCCGATATTGCAACTTGTGTTTATGTTGGCAGACATATAAGTCATCACATACGATAAATTTATGTTTTGGATACATTTGCATACATTTTGAACAAGTAAAAACTGAGAGATCCAAAAAATCCAATTTATTAATTTTTGTTGCCACATTTTTCCATAATTTGATTTTTTAAATTGCAGTTGTTTCATACTTATGCTTCCTCTTCATGTGCTGTCTTAAAGTTCCTATTACTTTAGCCTTGTACGGACACTTCTCACATTCATACCATGTAATATCTTGTTCATCCAAATGGTGTGCACTTACGTGATTTTTTAAAGCATAATTGTACTTACATTTATAGGAACACTTTTTGCATTCATACCATTTAATATCCTGTTCATCCAAATGGCGTCCACGTATGTGTCTCTTCAAATTACCTTTTAATCTAGCTTTGAATGGACATTGTTTACATTCATACCACTGGATTTTATTTTCATCCAAATGGTACGCATTCATGTGACTGTCTAAATAACGGCTGCGTCTGGTTTTATACGGGCACTTTATACATTCATACCATTTAATATCTTTTTTGTTCCAGTGGCTTCTTTTCATATGTTGTCTTAAAGCTTCTGGTCTTTTAGCTTTGTATAGACACTTCTCACATTCATACCATTTAACGTATTGCTCATCCAAATGGTGTGCATTTATGTGGTTTTTTAGCATATAGTTGAATCTAGCTTTGTATGGACATTTTTCACATTTAAGCCATTTAATGTCTTGTTCATCTACGTGGCGTGCAGTTATGTGTTTGTTCAAATATGTTTTCAAGGTAGCTTTGAATGAACATTTTTTGCACTCATACCATTTCATTTCATGTCTAGCCAAATGCTGTACTTTTATATGCCTTTTTAGATTATATGGTGTTTTAGATTTGTATGGACATTTTTTACATTCATACCACTGGATTTGCTCCTCTTCTAGATGGTGTATATTTACGTGATTTTTTAACATATACTTGAACCTAAATTTATACAAGCATATTGTGCATTCATGGCGTTTAATCTTCTGGTGGTTCAAGTGGCACACCTTGATATGATAAAGCAACCACGAATATATTTTTGTTTTGTACAGACATTGTTTACATTCATACCACTTAATATTTTGTTGGTTAGTATGGGACACATCTCTGTGTTTTTTAAGCTGTTTCTTTGTGTGTATTGGTAAATGTTCTCACATGTTAAATTTATCTGCGAGTTTTCGTTATTTTCCAAACATTCTGTGCTATGTTGTAGCCATTTCAACGAAAACTGTGTTTCAAAACCACACTTTTTACACATGTAGTTTTTAATGGTATATTCCACGTCAGGTGATTCTTCCTGTATTTCTTTTTTAAAGATACATTGTTGAATGTGCTGTTTAAAAACTAGTGTTAGCTGTGTTTGGAAATTACAATCTTTGCAATAATAAATTTCAATGTTTGTGTTTTCGCAGTAAAAAGGTATTGAGGCTGAACAGTGATGCATGGCGTGATTCTTCATAAGAAAAAATTGTGTAGTGAAATATGGGCAAAGTTCACATTTATGGACATGGCTTAACCAAGGTTTCGCAAATGCATAATTCCTGGAGTATTCAAACATGGGCATTTTGAGTCACCTAAATTTATCAGTTAATTTCAGACTACAACATAGAAAGGTATTTGTGAGTTTTCTTACCTAATATTATTTGTGAATAGTAATTTACTTAATGTTTAGATCTCTTTAAATTTGCTTGCTACAAATATAACCTCAAAAGCAGAGGCCAAAAATGTGGATTCATATGTCAATTTTAAATATACTAGCAGCCCAAAGTAATTTAATTGATTCTTTATTAACGACTTGCTAGCAGTGCTTGCCACAAGTGCCTTAAATGATAATTTGATTTTAAATGCCTGTTTTACAGATAATACGTTTCTACAAATTCGGCACTAAATGTTATCGAAATTATCGCACAGACATCATTAAACTAACAGGAAATGATACAAGGCATGAAGGCAGGATTATCAACTTGATACATTTAAATATGTTGTATAACAGAATTTTCCTTTTTCCAAAGACATTGCTCTACTATATTATACATTATACTCTGGAAAAAGAAAACTGTAGATCGTATATTTTGTGGTACAGAAAAAAGCGCTAGCTACATCGGAAATGCATACGTTTCTAGGTAAACAAACCTCTAGAACAAACGTCATTATTATTATTATGAAGCAGATGAGTAGTTTTAGAAAATTCATTCATAACTATTTACACTTTCAATTACGTGTACAATTGGTTGCATACACAAATTTATTTCATAAACGTGATCAAAAAGTTTTCAGATTAAAGTTAGCCACGAAAGTATTTGTTATGTCTTTGATTAAACTGCAAATGTCATACATAACTTCATTTGTATTTCAATAGTTTGAATTTCCATGGCGATCTCTAATCTGAATATTTTTGATCACCCGTTTTAAATAAATATTTATAAAATCAAAAGTTTTTTGGTGGTCTTTGAACACGCATTGTAAAAAATTGGTCGAAGGTTATTTCAAGAGAACTTTTCTTGCCCCTGAAAAATTATCGTTTTTTTGCGATTTTTGTTTTCTGATAACAGTGATAACCTCTATAAAGTAAAAACCTGTGGCGTAAATAACGCTCCCGCAGCTTATTTGACTTGATTTTATTTTCAATTTTTCATTTTTTTGTTCCTTCATTTTTTCGTTTTGCATTTTTTCTAGTTTTCAATTTTAAATTTTTCAACTTTCCAATTCGATTTCTAGAGCTTTCAATTCTTAATTTTTGTGCAATTTTTCGTTTCAATTTTTTATTTTCTTTATTTCTACAGATTTTTCTCATTTTTTGTTTTTTCAATTTCAATTTTTTCAATTTTCGGTTTGCAATGTTTCAAATTTTCTTTTTTCTTTCTTCAATTTTCCTATATGTAGCTCATTAAATTTTTAGATTTTGCAGCTTTTCGATTTAAAGTTTCACGAGTTTTTAATTTTCAATTTTTAGATTTTTCATTTCTTCAATTTTTCGAAAAAAACGAGAAAGTACAAGTTATTTTACGTGACATACATTACGAGTACAGCCCAAAATTACTAAATAATAGATCGACTTTATGTTTTTTTATTATAATATCTGTTGTTCTTTGCACCAAAAAATTGTTGAAAGTAAACTACGTATAAAAAAAAAACAAAGATTTAGCTCCACCCACCCGCCCCGATCTCAATTGTGATGAGATTTTCATTCCTAATTAGACTGAAGAATAAAGCATTCATCAGAATTGAGGAGGGGTGGGTGGGCGGGGCTTATATTTTGTCCATTTTTTCTTAATATACGAAGTCTTCTTTTCCCAACAAGAAACTGAAAACATGTTTAACTTTCCTGTTGTTGAAAGAAAACTCTATATATTAAAAAAAAAAAAGATAACGTTATTATACCGTGCAATTGTTTTTGCGAAGATTTGAACGTTAAGCGAAAAAACTGAAAGCGGATTCGTATACTACAAGAGTGTGGGGGTATTTTTGTAAAACATTCAACTTATTATAAAACACGGTTCATTGAGATGACGTCATCAAATTGTTGATGAGGACGATTAACCAAATTCTGGCTAGCATTTAACCATCTACATGATATTTCTAACATACAAACAAAATTTGACAACAATTGGTCCAGCAATTTCGGAGATTACGGGTCTAATAAAAATGGATACAGACAGACAGACGAAAACGAGAGACTACTTTTTTCGTACTGTAGGGGTCATGAAACGTCGAGAAAACATAAAAGTGGCAATTCGTCCGATGGACTTGATTACTATGCTTCCTCAGCTTACGCTCGGGAAGTAAAAATTGGTCGAAAGTTGTTTTGACAGAACTTCCCACGCTCCTGAAGTAAACATATCCAGCATTTTCGAGTTGGGTTTTTTCTTTACACAATCATCAACATTTTTGCAAGGACACGTACATCAACAATTGGTAAATAACAGTGTTGTATTCCCAAATAAATAAATAAAATAAAGAAGGCGGCCATAGATCTGTTATAGTAGTAATACATATATCAAGGCAGTGGTTGAAGTAATTGTGTTTCAGAGGGTAAGGAAGTTAATACTTTTATTTATTTAAATTATATTATATATTTTATAAATTTAATTTAAAGAATTTTGTTATGTGGCGAATTTAATACTTTAAAAAGAAATTAATACAAAATTTCTTTTTCCCTTTTTAAAAGAAAAAAAAAAGTCAAAATTTTCACTGGTGGATAACACTATATAAATTTTTTGTGATGATTATGCATATGCCACAGTTTATCATATGCAGACCCTGATGCAGACAATATATTTTCGACGATTGGCAACATTGATCATAACAATATATAATATAAATTTTATGGTGATAGCATAGGGCGATGTGTGGGGTGGTAGGTGGTAGGTTATACACCATTGACACCAAACACCATTCACGCAAAGGCGCGAAATTTAGCGCCACTTCGCGAAACTAGTAACATTTTGTTTTTACACCACCGATTATTTTACTATTGGTATCACTAGCTGTCAGCTACGGGTGAGATTTACTGTATCCTAACATTCATAACAAATAATGACCTTGCAACGTAATTCCAATAAATACGTGCGGTCAAATATTTTACCAATAACCCATTTGGACAACTATTTAAAAATTAACTTCCATTTAAACTTTTACTTGTCCTAAACCTGCGCGGACAATTGTCAGCGTAAAACTGTTGCTTCTGAAATAATTAAATATCCACTTTTGAGGTTATGTTTACAAAAAATAGTCGGTCTGAGAATTTGGATTCTTTATTAAAGCTTGGGTAAGAAAATACGAATATTGCATTGTATAATCTGAGATATTAATGAATTCAGGCAAAACAAAATGTCCATTCTCGAATATTCAGAGAATTTTACCGCTGTGAAACCCTTGTTCAACAGTGTCCACAAATGCGAAGTTTGTCCGTATTTCACGTCGTCGTTTTTTCTCTTGGTGGATCATTCCAGGAACCACTGCTCCTCCTCGACACCTTTTGACTGTGAGAACACAAACATCGAAACTTATTACTGCAAAGACTGTGATTTTCAAACAGAACTAACAATTGTTTTCAAGCAGCACATCCAAAAATGGCATAGTGTTAAAAAGGAAATTGAAGAAGACCTACCAGACGTCGAATATACAATTAAAAACTATATTTGTGAAAAATGTGGCTTCGAAACACATTTCTTATTAAAATGGTTACGACACACTGCAGTATGTTCTGGAGATAAAACAAACTTTCATATAAATTCCCACGATTTCGACCAACAACTAATAAAGTGGCGTGAGTGCAAAATGTGCCCATACAGGTCCAAGTTTAATTATATGTTGAAAAAACACATAAATGCACATCATCTGGATGAGCAAGACATTCAGTGGTATAAATGTGAGAAGTGTTCGTACAAAGCGAAAGGACCTGAAGGTGTAAGACAGCATACGAACGCGCACCATAACATTAAGTGGTATAAATGTGAGAAATGTCCTTTTAAAACCAAGTGGAACGGTAATTTAAAATATCACATAAACGCACAGCATTTAGATGAACATGAAGCCAAATGGTACGAATGCAAAGTTTGCCCTTTTAAAACTAAAAAAAGATCGTCACTTTGTGATCATACTAAACGACATACTTTAACTGACGAAGATATTAAATGGTATGAATGTGAAAAATGCTCATTCAAGGCTAAATCAAAAGCTAATATAAAAAAGCACATGATTGCGCGGCATTTAGACGAACAGGACATTAAATGGCATGAATGCCAAATGTGTCCATACAGAGCTAAATATAACTATTTATTAAAAGATCACATAAATGCTCATCATCTGGATGAAGAAAATATTAAATGGTATAAATGTGAGAAGTGCTCTTACAAAGCTAAAGGTACAGCGGCTTTAAGAGGTCACATGAAGAGGAAACACTGGAATGACAAGGATTTTAAATGGTTTGAGTGCCAAAAATGCCCATATAAAACCAAATATAACCGTAATTTGAAAAGTCACATAAATGCCTACCATTTAGGTGAAAATGAAATTCAGTGGTTCAAATGCACGAGTTGCCCATTTAAAACTAAAAAAAAATCATCATTGAAAAATCATAACATAACTCGTCATTTAGACGAAAATGAAATTCAATGGTATGAATGCAAAGATTGTTCATTTAGAACTAAGATAAAATTGTCGCTAAATGATCATAACAGAACACATCATTTGGATGAAAATGGTATCAATTCCTTGATATGTGAAAAATGTTTGTTTAAAGCTAAATCAAGAGCTAGCTTGAAAAAGCACATATTTGCTCGTCATTTAGATGAACAGGAGATTAAATGGCACGTATGCAAAATGTGTCCATATAAAGCTAAGTATAACTACATGCTAAAAAACCACATAAATGCGCACCACTTAGATGAGCAACATATCAAGTGGTATGAATGTGATAAGTGCCCATACAAAGCTAAAGGACCAGAAGCTTTAAGAGGACACATAAAAAGAAACCACGTCGATGAAAAATCGGCAAGCCAACTAAATGAGCAAGAAATCAAATGGTATGAATGCGAAAAATGCTCACACAAAACTAAAAAAAAATCAAATCTAAGAAAACACATATATTCGCAGCACTTAGACGAACAGGATATTAAATGGTATGAATGCGAAAAGTGTCCATATAAATCAAAATTCAACTACATGTTAAAATACCACATAAATGCACACCATTTAGATGAACAGGACATTCAGTGGTACAAATGTGAGAAATGCCCATACAAGGCTAAAGGATCAGTAACTTTAAGAAGGCACATAAAGTCGAACCATTGGGATGAAAAGGATATTAAATGGTACGAATGTGATCAGTGCTCGTATAAAACCAAATACAACCGTAATTTAAAAAATCACGTAAATGCGCGGCATTTGGATGATAATGAAATTAATTGGTACGAGTGCGAAAACTGTCCATTTAAAACAAAAAAGAAGTCGTCGTTGCGCGATCATAACAAAAAACGTCATGTGGATGATAAAAATATCACAGAAGGAACGTGAAACGCAAAATTTTTCTACCATTCTATATTTAAGAGAATGAATAAAGTATTTTTCTAAATCTGAGTGTTCTTTGTTACTAATTGTAATCGTGTTTATTAAAAAAACTCGAATTATATCGAATTTTCCTGACTCTTCAGCTATGAATATGCCAAGTATGTGGTTTGAGTACGTTTCTTCGTCATACAAACTGACGAATTAAAATAAGTTAATTTTTAAATTAAGCTTAACTAAAAATACACGAGTGGCCACCCATTTTACATATTTTTGCTAATTCATTATAAATTATTTGAGTTTCATAAAATATCAGTAATTCCGAACAAGATTTCCATAAAATGGTATAATCATTATTACACACAGGTTGGTCTGTAAGATATGAAAAAGATTTTACAAGGAAACGTCACGAGTTGTAATTCTAGTTTTTTCTGACAGTATGAAAATTTGATGAGAAATTAAATTTTTCAAAGCGGGACACCAGAATAACAATCAGAAAAAATTTCCTATTATTTTTGAAATGTCTAGCTGAGCATTAACAGTGATATTAATTATTGATTAAGATTTCAGACAACTGAATTTAATAAAGATCCATATTGACAGTAGGGGATTTTATGTAAGTAGTTGTCCCAAATTAAGTCAAATTCCTTCCAAAATCTTCAATTGGGTGTAAATTAACCTTGTTAAATTAATTAACGGTATTGTCAGTTGTATTTTCAAGGTTTTATAAATAATTCTAAGGGCGTAGTTGGCCATGGATTTCAAAAATCCCGTTTCGCTGAAATTATGCCTCATTATGACAGTTCTCACTTGTCATTAATGTTATTTGTAACCTGTTACTTAAAGGTGTGGTGACCAAATTTGAATTAAAATTTCGCGCTAAAAAAAACGGCACGAAATCGCAATGGAATAATTTGAATAAAAAAAAAAAAATTAATCAAGAAAATCATTAAACATAGGCAACCGTGTGCAAGGTTAGTTCTTTTCTGGTATGTAGTTGTTTATTGTTTGTAAATTCACAGTTCATGTTAGGATTTTAATCGTCACTGGTTCTAACAAAACTTAACAGTTATGAGACTGTTTAGATAAGGCACTTGCTAGAAGATTTCATGAAATTCACTTAGTCAGGACTCATTCTTTGTTTATCAAGTTATAAATAAGGTTTCTGGATGCTTATGCTTAAGTGTTACATTATAACACTTCTTAATTCCTCACATAAGATTGCTAATAGTTCATTTACGGCAGTTAAATTCACCTAACGTTGTCCCAGTCTGGGAAAAGGATCGTGGAAAGTGCACTAGAATTCATAATATCGTGGACTGAGGGACGGGGAGATAAATTTTTTCCCTTAGGCAGTTATCATCATATCATCATCACGTTACCGAGAAGCATTTCTCGCGACGAGGGATGCGTTTTGTGTTTATTTATCATGTGTTTGTGGGGGATAAGCTGGAGACAGTCCACGATATAAACTCTCAAAGCTAATTGTTTTTAAGTAACCAATCACTTGGATCAAGGCATAATTTCACATCATGTAATTCTTTCTTTGAATCGTTGATAAAGTGTGGCATAATTTAACATAATGTAAATTTTTGTTTGAATCATTGATAAAGTGTGGCAAATATTAAACTCATGTAATTTTGTTAGCTTTGCAATTTTTCACCTCATGCAAATTTTCTCTATCTCGCAATTTAACCTCAGTAATTTTCTTTACTGTATAATTTAAAGTAAACGTAAATTTTCATGTTCTGCAGTTCCTAACCTCACGTAATTTGTTTACTCTGCACAAGTTTTACTTCACACCAGATCTTTATGTTTTTATAAATCTTTGCTAGTTTTTCTGATAACGTAAATATTTTGTTGATTAGTGCTTCCATCATATAAATTGTCTGCTGTCCGGTATTAATCTCAGATAGGAATTCTTCCCTGTTAAAATTTTACCAGAGTGTATAGCGAATTTAAATTTTGTTTATTGCTTTTTTTGAAACTTTAACACTTGTCCGGTTGTAGTTTAATATCAGAGCCATTGAAAGTGAACATTTAAATGGAACTGTGATAAATAACACAGGAACACGTGGCAGAAGTTGGCGGGATTTATCGGGTCATCTGCACAAAAGACGCGGAATAGAAGTCAGGGGAGCGGTTGGGATGACGTAACGCTCGCAAGATTTCCAACCACGAGTTTGCGACCGTACGGCCTGAACGGCACGTTTCTTCGTTAGGTATAGGGGTGCTGGGTGGTATGTGCTTGCCGAGTAGAATCACCGTCGTGGTGGAAGAACAGCCACAACCAGGAGCCCCAAAATTTTGCTGTGCTGTAGAATGAAATTGATATAGTTCGATGGCACACTCTTATAGCCCAATTTTGTTCTCTTGTTGACTACCAGAATTTAAATTTGCCGCCATACGCCCGTAACAACTTGTGTATTTGCATCCAGTTACTTTAATTCAGTCTTTGTTTTATTAAATTTGTGATTATTCTTGCATTAATTTAAAACGTTTAAATTGATTTCATTCAAAGTTAGGCAAGTTTTTTTTTGTAACGGAGCACTAAGAATTGTCAAACACAACGTAGGTTCCATTTTGTCAGACGATCACAGCCAAGGCCAAATTTTTTAATTTTTCGGGGCTTTTCATTTTTTTTTCACATATCATTTTAAGGCGGGATGTTTGAGTTGTCACAACCGTGATGTTTAACCACAATAAAGGTTTTTTTTTATTGTAATGAATTAGTTGTATTTTTTTGAGATATGAAGACGTTAGGCAACCAGTTATACAGATGCGTCTGATATCTGTCGTGAATTCTTGGACATGAAATAACATTCGCATAAAGTGATCGGCGGCACACACCTATTACCTACTTCGACCCTATAATCATTTATAGAAACCCTGTATTTCAAAGCTCAAATTCAAATTTTTACATTTTTCATTATTTCAAAATAATTATTCACGACTCAATTTCCCGCGCAATTTACCTACACTTGTGTTGTGGCTATTGTTTTTTATTTACATACTCGACTAATTTCCATTCGATACAAAGAACGTTCACCTTTTGCATAGAAACTCCCATTTTTTACGACGACCTAGGCCAATTGAGTAATGAAAACGCAATGCACTTTTATACAACGTACGTATGTCATATAACAAAAACGAGAGAAAGATGCAAACTCCTTTAATAGACATAATAGAGTTACAATATAATATGATTAGTAAGAATAGTATCAATTTATAAGAATAATAGAACAATACGATAATTAGTTCTCCTAAAATATTTCAAACATGTTAAGAGTATCTATGGTACCAACCACAGTTGTAGAACAGATAGGAAGCATCGTACTAAACATGGAGGAAATAATATAAACTAATATAAAATATTCAATAACACTATAACGATTCATTAAGCTCCAAAACAGCTATACAGCGTGTTATTGAAAGGTACGTACAAAATAAAATCGGCAATTGGTCTCGAAGAATTGGTGCTAAAAGTAAAAAAAAAGTTCAGGTAAAAATGTTCTCCTTTTAGAGATAAAAATTATTAAAATTTATATCCAAATTCGGTGTACGCCTCTCATAAAAAGGTAATTTTTCGTTTCTATAGCAACAAAAGGGTCTTTTATTTTTTAATTATTGTTACAATTGCCAGGATTTACTAAAATAAATTAATTTTACCTATTTATCCTTCAGTAGCGTCTAAAAAGGTTGGATAAGGGTTAATTTTCCCCTTAAAATTTTGATAACACAAAATAAGTTTTTCAGACTTCTTAGACTCCGCGAACAACTGTCAATTTTGTTGTACGTACCTTTCAATAACAGCCTGTATATAAAGTAATATTACAACTAACAAATTAGGAAAAGAACATTGGATTTTTAGACGCAAATTTGCTATCGATTTTTACCAAACCTTGATTCAAGTTGTCCAAATTAATATTCTTCTTGTAGAGATACCCTTTAGCTCTATCTGCCGCCAAATGTGCGAAGTAGGTCGGAGCTGGATAACTCACCGCCCTATTACATCTCGTGTACACATGACACAAATAATACGCCAACTTTTCCACATCGTCATTACTTAAATTATTTTCATCATGTAGAACACAATATTTTGTTGGCCTTCCAACACCTTTAATACTTTGATGCGACATCAAATAAAAATTGGGTATAGTTGGATCCGTAATCACAGTGTCCACATAGGTCCCCACTGGTACGTTTTCATATTTACCCGTACTATATCTCTTATCAGTGGGGAAAAATCTCGTATTGTGCCTTTTCTGCACTACGATGAATGTAAGATGAGGATTGCAGTCGTAACTTGCACATGCTCTCTTAATTGCGTTGATTTCAATCTCCTTGACTCTTTCAAACTCACCATCGGATACTCCATCTCGGAAGAAATAGATTCTCTTAGGTTTTTGACCAGTTTGATTGTGGAAGATTTTCAATTTGTCTCTGGTGATGGTTTCCAGACTCTGGATGATCTCCGACAGCGTGGTTCTTGGTTCTTGCAAGCCGACGTGGATGTTGTAATTCGTAGCTTTCAGGTTGTGAGAGGCAGTGACGGCAATGACGCTGGGTATAGTTCTGGCTTGTGGACTGGGATGAGTGACGTCAGCACCCATCACCATGCAGGACTCTTTGTCTATGAGGTCCAAGTTGGCCAAGACGTGATTAATACCGTTCATCTTGCAGTTGATTTTAAGAAGAATATTTCGAATTGTTGTCTGATCGTCGAGCTTGAACAAAGTGTCGACTTTGACACATTGAGTCAAAAGACCAACGCGTTGTTCGGCTTCTTGCTTTACGAAGTAATACGAATCTTTATTGTTTGGAATTATGACCACAACCAAGTCGTAGTTCTTCTTCTTTTCCAAACAACTAATAAGGGAGCGCTTATCGCTGGAGATGTACTCAAAGGGTTCGTCCGGTTTGGAGAAGATCATACCAGTAGATTGTCCAAAGTTCACCACCTGCAAAAACAATGGTTGATTATTGATTTTAAACTACCATAAATTTTAAAGTTGTACCTGTCGTGCCAACTCGTTTACTTTGGTACCAATCCGATCGTGTTGCACTCCGAAACCGATGATGGTCCACTGCCGGATTTCTGCCCCTACTTTAAATTTCTTCGCCCACCAGGTACCGTTTTTAGGGTCCACTTTGCCATCGCAGTATTCTAGACGTGGTGGATCCAATACCCTGGCATCTACACACTCAAATGTATCACTGATGGAGAAACCAAACTCACGGATGCATGGGTTGTCATTATGATTAGCTTTCTGCATGACATCTTGAATCTTCTTTTTTCGTTCTGAAGTTGATGTAGCTGATGAGTTCGTCATTATTGCCGTTTGATTCTTCAATAGACGAGAACCAGCAAGTGGTTGTCCGTCTTTTAGATGGCAGTACTCCATTGGTACACAAATCCGCTTTTTCTCGTTACCAACCCATAAGGTTGGCAACTTTGGATATTTTAGCGTACAGTGCCACTTTCTCTTGAAGTAGTGTTCCACAGTGAGGACTTGATCCTCAAACTGGAATTTCTCTTGAGAAGGTATATTTGCAAAACCATTCACTTTGTAGATTTTCTTAGAACCACATTGGTTTGGAATCTGGTACACGACCCTCAAACCTTTCAAGTACTCAGTTAATGGTTCTATCTGCCATTTTTGAAGGCCATTATTTTGCAAATCTTGAGCTTGAACCGGTTTGTATTTTGTTGAAAACATTTCTTTGATTAAGTCAATGATAGAAGTTGAATTGGTAAAGGCTTTGTGAGCCACATCTACATTTAAGAAGGGTATCCAACCACTAACTGCTGCTTGGTAACCTCCTAAATACATAACAGCTCCTGACCCCAGAGGGTACTCGTTTCCAGTAGATGGGGTATAGAAACGTCTTCCTATACTCAAAAAAGAGTTTGTATAAGCTTGTTTAAAAACCGTCTCAACACACTGAAATGCTTCACCCAAACCAATATTTTTCTTTTGCAGTAAATTGTATAAAGGAGAAAGATCTATAGTTCCCGTTAGTCGTATCGTTATTTCAAATTTAACTTCATAGGGAGAATCTTTTTCCTGAAAAGCTACATTTCCACTTACAGTATCATTAACCAACGGCAACTTCCTCGCACTATACAGAATGTGCTGACCATCATAACATGGCTCATAGTCGGGAACATGATTTTTCAAAAAAATTGTCACTGCTCGTTTTAATAGCCTTTTCACACTCTTCTCTGGTGAAAAATCAACACTATAACGATAAGCAGTTGTTAAAGTACCCAAATTTAATCGAAAGTGGTTAGTTTCAATGCGGATTTTCCTTCCGGAAACACCAGGTTTAAAAGGTACTAAATCAGCAATTTCTGACAACGACAACGATTGTGTGGGAAATTCATACTCGGTAGTTTCTTTTAGTTGTACTTTGGCAGCTTCGTGTCTTGCTCCACCCTGCGACTGCTTTGGTGACGCCTCAATGCAAGTTTGCGCACGCGTATATCCAGGTTTGTGTGGAACCACGCCTCTGCCCTTTCCTCTTCCTTGGGGCGGTTTCTCCTGGATTTGTTGATCTCCACCTCTGCCCCTGCCCCTACCCAACACGTTTGGAGTTTCTTGGGGAGGTCTTGCTGCTTTTTGAGTGGGCGGTTGTGATGGGCGGCCTCTTCCCCAAGTTGTTTCTTCTATCTCTTGAGGTGCTGGTTGCGGCCGTTCTCGGGGGGTGGGAGTGGACGTGGTTTGGATTTCAGAGGTGGAAGGCGGGGTTTCTTCTTGTGGGGGAGGTTGACTTTCCGGAGCGGTTGCTGCTTTTCCGCGACGTCCTGAAACAAAACGCAAAAATCAAATAATACAACGTCGTATTTAAAGTCTTTTGTGTGTATATTTTACTTTTAAGTGAGAATACAAGCTTTTTTCGAATGAAGTTACACCTCTTTAGGCATAGATCTAGAATTAACTTTTTAATTCTAGATTTTTTGGTATCAATCTGAGGCAACAACCAGGGCCTAAATTAATGTGCACTTCTACACATTTTGTGCAGTTCAAAAATGCATTTGTGCAGCTGGAAATTGCAATTTGTGCAGTAACTTTTTCACATTATTAATATTTTTACTTCCCGAGCGTAACCTACTACTACCGACGCCGGTTCATCCCTTCACCGAAAAGAATCGAGGAATTTTTATGATTTTGTTTGTCAAGTTGGAACCGCAAGAAACCCCAGATGTGCTATTTTCGCTCTGTCACGTACCTGCTTAACAATAACACTTGTCTCAGTGATTTCTAAAAAGTGAACAACAAAAATTTATCAGTCGTACTTGCGGAGTCGTACTGCCTTCACAGCTGTTATCACTAGACAGCGGATTTCTGTCGGGCTACGTCACGATTATAGGTGGGGACGCGCTGGATCGCCGGGACTCAGTAGCGGGTGATCGATAATCACTGAATTTAATTGTCACTTATTCCATAAATACAATTAACGATTTATTAATCAAGCGGACAAGTAAATGGGAACGGGAATTAACAGCAGAGTGCAACGAAGCAGCGTTATTCTAATCTCAAATAAACCAAGTGCAGCCCGTAACTGCAATGAATTCCCATCCCGTACGAGCCGTACCGAATTTGGCCTTGCCTAGTCCGACAGAAATCCGCTCTCTAGTTATCACTTTAGTTTTTTCTTGCATTGGTAATGCGCTGTGACTAATTTTCTTTTGTGCTATGACAAGTATTATTTACGTTATTGGCGTCATCACAAATTTTTTATTGATCCAATTAAGAACGTGTCACCCCATTTTCTCAAAAATATGAGAATACGCAAGTCTTTATTTAATGACAAAATAAGAATTATAATAATAAAATTCAGAACATTTTGTTCTTGTGGCTTAATTAATTATTTTAGTCTTCTGTTTTGGGAAGACAACACACAAACTTTTGTGATGTACTTTTAAATACTGATATATGTATGTATTAATAGTGTCGGTATTATGCCTTTTTTAGATTTTTAGGTTTATATCTTTACAATATATTTATTTTGAATTTGCGTTTTGCTACTATTTATTTATTATTATTAATGCTGTAGGTATTCTCACAAAATCGACAAAATCATAGTGGACCTTAAGGGGGGGGGGGGGGGGGGGAGAAGTACTATTAAGGACACAGGGAGGATTATTGCGATTGTACAGTTGGAAATTTTCCTTAATTTAGGCGCTGGCAACAACTTATCTTTTAATTGGTGGTATAATGGATTTGAATTGAAATCGAAAGACGGGATTAGTTAAATAAAAAGTAAGCTGATGAGGAATGAGGTCAGTTTTCTTTCAAAACTTGTAAAAAAAAAAACAAAAAATTGAGCAGCATATTACATAAACATCATTGAAAAAATATTAGAACTTAGATTTTTTTTCTATAATCACAATTACCGTAAGTGTGCTTTACTTAACAATATTTTGGGATTTCGTCATCAATTTTTAGAAAGGAGAAAAAAGTTTAATTAGTGGAATCGAAGCGCGAAGGGCCTGAGTTATTGACAGAAGGACGCTTCTCGAGTTTGGATCGTATCAATTTTGAAAAAGATTTTGATGTTTCGCTCATGTTCGTAAGGAGCATCTTCCAGGGACAACGTGGAAACTTTTTCCAAAACCCACACGACCCAAACTTGGACAAGGTCTTTCTGTTACAGATTTTGAACTTAAAACTTCAGTTTATTCTTCAAAGATATTTTTTTATGTAAATTAACGTGAATGGTCTATCTCTGGAAGTACCTACTTTTGATTTGTAGAACGGAAACAAACAGTATCTTAAAAATTATGTAATACAAAGGATAGGAGTGACAGGACTTTAGAGGACATGACAGTCGAGAAAGAGAAAGAGGTGTGCAAGGATAGGGGTCAACGGTACTCTGTCGTTACTGCCTATTCTTTTGGGAAATCGGTGTGATGACTGATGATAAATATCGCTAAAATGCATGGCAACGGTTAAATATCTTGAGAACCAACTGTACAAATCAATTGAAATTAGGTATAGGGGTACAAGAAGTTGTGCTTTAATTATTTGTCAAAAAAAAAAATTAATCACGTCTGCCATATGTAATAACAGAGGTGTGACTGAACACTGAACTGGTACTCGTAACTTAAGACAAATAGCGATAACACTTATCAACCTGTAGACGTGGGAGTAAAACAGGAACTAAACTAAAAAATGTTTTCTACGAATTGCAATAACCGGATCACAATGCCGACGGTCCAGACTTTTTTATTGCTCTGACTTTCGCTTATTGAACACTACATTTTATTTTGATTTTCGATGTTGTAATTTACATTTGGTTACTTATAATTTGTCTAAATCTAGGGGAAGCTCAGCATCCCCTAGCTTCTCCTTAGCTACGGCCTTGTCTAGGGGTTATGAAATATCGAGAAAATATGAAAGTACCAAATTGCCCAATGAACTCCATGACTGTACGTTCTTAGCTTATCCTCGATAAGAAAAACAATTTGAAAGTGTTTATGTTTATACATCGAAAGAATGTCATGTATAAATTAGTTTGATTTGAATGAGTTCGTCCCTTCAAAACAGAGGATCAAAACTATTAAGTAATAAGCTACAATCGACAAAATGTTCTGAACATCATTATTATAATTCTTATTAAATAAAGACGTTTGTTTTTACACATTTTCGGGAAAATGGGGTGACTCGTTTTTAATTTGATCAATAAAAAATATGAATGCAATGATGAGTCACAAGTAAAAACTCATCATATCTTGCACATTTTGGGTTGAATTTATTCGGCAAAATTTTGAGATAACGTTATCAATTTTTTGGCGGGAATAAACAGATTTATTTTGATTAACAATTTACCATGCAATGATTTTAAAACGTCTGCAAGATTTCAAAGCATTCAGTTTTACAATTCTTGATTTATTCAATAAAATAAATTGACTGATTTATTAATTTTTTGAGTCACCCTGTATAGGCAAATCTAAAAAAATATGAATGCAATGATAAATTACAAGTTACTGATCATTACTGATAATATTTTGCACATTTTACATAGGATTTATTCAGCAAAATTTTCACGTGACGTCATCAATTTTTTTTAGGGGAGATGAGCAAATACGTTTTGATAAAAAAAATTACCATGCTTATGATAGCTTTTAAACATCTCCAAAATTTCAAAGTATGTATTCGATTTTGTTGTTCATGATTAAATCAATAAAATAAATTCACGCATTCATCAATTTATAATTCCTATCTAAAATGTACAAAAGATGTCTGTACTTGTGATTTATATTCATATTTTTTGGATTTGCATATATAGGGTGACTCAAAAAAATTAATGAATGGGTGAATTTATTTAATTGATTTAATCAGGAACTGAAAAACCGAATGCTTTGAAACCTTGGAGATGTTTTACGGTTATCATAGGCATGGTAAATTTTTAGTCAAAATATATTTCCTCATTCCCCCTCTAAAAAATTGATGACGTCACCTCAAAATTTTGCTGAATAAGTCCTATCTAAAATGTACAAAATATGATGAGTCTTGTGATTTACCATTCCATTCATATTTTTTAGATTTGCTAAACAGGTGGCTCAAAAAAATTACTGAATGAGTCAATTTATTTTATTGATTAAATCAGGAATAGTTCACTAAATTTTCCCGAAAATTTGGAGATACAACACTGTTATTATTAGTATTACATTGCACCAACCCAATTTGGTAGACACAAAATTTTGTAAAGTAAAAACTCGTTTGAAACATAGGCGTAGCACGCTTATTTACATTTACTTTAACATTACAGACGCGCATTTGTTTTGTTGCGCTGACTAGGTTCCGTGAATGTGGTATAGACAAGTTATAATCAACCAATCGTGAATTACACCATCAAAAATTAAAATAAAATCCACTGTTTTATATAATAAGCGGAAATCGAGCAATAAAAAAGTCTGGGCGACCATCGGTATTGTTTGCAGTTTCTCTGTTTGACCCTCACGTGTACAATCTCAACATCTGTTACCGCTTGTTGTCTTAAATTAAGAATGCTTATACATAAATGATTTTGAGTCGCCTCTGTTAAAACACGCGGCATACGTGAGTACACTGTTTCGTTATTTTATTGATTATAAATCAATATTCAAGACGACCCAATTCATTTTCCCAAAAATTGGGAATACAGTACCTTTATTTTTAGTAGCACACTACATCGATCCAAAATGATATACATGTCCTTGCAAAAATGTTGATGACGTCATCACAATTTTTTTTAAATTGGCCCGCTACAAAAATGTAATGAGAAAAAAATATTTATAATAGGTATGCAGTCGTCATGTTTCCGACAGCCAGGGAAGTACTGTCTAAACTCTTTAGACCATTTTATTTCTGTAATTGCTATGATTGCTTATTAAAAAAAAGACTTGACAACGTCTACAAGATTTCAAAGTATCCAGTTTTGCAATTACTGATTTAATCAATAAAATTAATTTACTCATTCATTAATTGTAATACTTTCGGAGATTATCTGTCTAATAAAAATCCGTGACGGCAGACAGACGGACAAACAGACGGAAATGGGCGACCTATTTCTTCGTCCTGTAGGAGATGCATAGGTATATACGTGTATGATATGTATGATAGTGTTACGAAAGTAAACCCATACGCCACCCCGGTAACGAGGCCTATGAGTTTTCGCGAGGGTTTTCTAGTACGCATGCCGTCACCGACTTATCGTCGGTGACGGCAGCCGATGGATATTTCAGAAAAAAACTCGATGGCCGAAAATCTAGAAAGGGAGTACGGGTTTAAATGTGGTTTAAATACAGACCACCTTCGGAAATTCAGTTAAGACAGATGCCAATAAAGTTACGCCGAAATTATTTTGTACATAATCGCTGTGTAATTAATAGTGTAAATTTGATCCTCTTTAAATTATCGATCTCTTAGAAACCATACTTATACTTTGCCAACAGCAAGACATAACCTTTACAATAATTTATACGCCGTTTAAAAATTATTATTGCTCTTATATTATATCGAACAATTATAAAAACAAAAACGCGATAACAAATAAAAAATAAAAACAACCCACAATGATGAACTAAGGAATAAGGAACAAAACAAAGAATGTTTCTTATTTTTTATGTTTTACTTCTTGCATTGTGTTTGGGCCTTATCAGATACATCTAGCGATAGGAAATTATTGTTATCGCAGCGAATATTCTGGAACGTGATTTAGGTATTTCCCCGATCGAGTTGTGCACACCACCATAGTGTCAGAATATTGCTCAACATGATGCAATAACAACTCTTTCTTTATGGACATGATGATGCTATTATTTGGGATCCCCCTGCCTCCACGACCGAAGAATTTTGGCAGTGTTGTGTTTTTGTGGGTGGTCGATAACGAAAAATTTGTACTTAAAATTACAGCTAGGTCGAACGTTGTGGAATGTAAAGTGAATGAAATATTCCGTGATGAATAATGTTCTGAAATGTACACTGGGCATTTGCGAGAGCTTTTGCAAATTATACTCTCTATTACTGCATCATTATAAAATATTTTGTGTAAATCCCATAATCAGCGTACTTTTTTGGTCATTAAAATAAAGTTACACTTACCTCCACGTTTTTTTCCCATTTTTAAAGCTTGGCAGCTTAACAAGAATCGGCTTCGGCAACAAAACTGATCACTGATAAAAAATTAACACAATTAGACTTGCAATGTTTGCACAACTTCTGCTGCGAATGCGAATACACGCGAATATAAATGATGATTCAGGATTTAGGAAAGAAGAGTTTGCGCAATGTGAACAACAAATAATTGGAAGTAAATACAATATCGCCGGTGGTAATAATAAAATATCGATATAATAACCGCCAGAAACAGTTGAATGATTAAACTATATTTGCATAAATCAGAAATTATTGACTAGACTTGGACCCAGAACATTATCAACATATTCATATAAAGCCAAACACTTGTTCTTCGTGTTGACGTCATTACTACTGCCCCATATCACTAAACCATCGACTTCCGTAGCAGATATGGTCAAAAATGTGTTGAAGAGATCCTCCTACAATAAAATTTACATTTTACACCACATTACACGCCATCCAACAAAAAACTAAACTTTTGAAAAATATCAACTAATTTTTAGAACCTAAAAACTATTTACCTTTGTAAGAAATTGTTTTCCTCCATGGTACTTGTACCAAAAATACGGAATTACCTTGGGAATATGTGTTTTTGTCTTAACAGAACTAGCAATCCGGTGAGCCTCATTTACACGTCCTTCTATCATCTGCATTTTCTCTTTGGCGTTAAGACGTTGGTCGAAATAGATAGAAGGGTAAAAGTTGTCGCTGAGGCGAAATAGCCAGTCAATCCTACAAACCCCACCTTAAAACTAAACACACCGGGGATTCCCTCACCTGTCATTCTCTTTTTGAACATCATTCGGACACGCCATTTTCATATTATTGGGCGCCATATTGAAACAGTATGGATAAGCGTAGTAGCCCCAAGTTGCATTCTCCCTTAACTTTTTCGCCAAAAAAAGCGTCTCTTCCATAAATTTCTCTGCGTGGAATTCAAATCTTCTTCTTGCTTCTTTCTCTATAAGAAAACTCGGCCAAAATGGATGATTCTGCTGCTCGATCTCGATCGAAAGATCTTTGTAAGGTGCCAGCGTTCCGAAATTTTGTCTAAAAATCGGGCGCCAACTTTCAAAGTCGATAATCCCCAAGCCGGAGAAGTCTTCGGTGATAAGTTCTTCAACCAGTTCTTCAAAGAGAGTTAAATGGAGGGTTAAATTACCCTCTTGGGGCACACCGCCGTTGCGCTTAATTATCTGAGTGTTGTCTTTCAATAGTGCAGGAAAGCTGCCTGGGTCATACAAAATCACGATTTCGTCGCCTCGAAATCTGTCATTTGCGTTCTGGATTATTCCGTATTTTTCGGCAAGACCTGTGAAGTTAAGTTTGTGGGAATCGCACTGGAATGTTGGGACGTTCCAGTAGTAGTTGATTTTTTTCGTGCGTAGTGGAGTTTTCTTATAGTTACTACAATTTTTTTTTTTTTTAGTTTGGGTAACACTCGGCTGGATAATTACCTGTTAGTTCCAAGTTCCATAGTCGCAAGGAGCAACCTCAGCAGTACAAACACAACGAAAATCGTTGACATGACGGATTCTTTGAGTGAACATTCAAGCTGGTAAAAGCGGACTAATTTGTTTATTTGAAATGAAATATGGTACGTCTCCAAAACAATATCACGAAGTTCCTGCGGAAACTTCTAATTTAAATATGGGAAACAATGAATATGTACATATTTTACACACATTCTACACCTACAATGAAAATGCGATACTAATTATTGCACGACTGATTGTTTTGATATTATACACACCAGTGGCGCAAAATTTACAAAATTTCGCCAAAACGGAAATTCCACTGAATATTTTTTCCTACTTTTCTCTTTTTATAGCGGACCTTTTATTGAACGACATAATAAGAAACCATAAACATTCTAACCAATGTCATGAAACCAGTTCAAGAGCAATAGTTTATCGCGCCCGAGCTGATTACATTTTTTACAGCACACTATGATTTTCTATTTTTCGAATTTTCACCTGTGGGGGCTCTGCTACGCCACTGGCAGGAATGCAAATCACACCTAGCAAACAAAGCCTATTAATTCTGTACACAAATACTAATTAGCGCGATGCCTTACCATTCTTTATCTTTCCGCAGCGATACTCTTAGCCCCATTACCTTAATTAATTTAAAATTGCTAATGACTTTGACGTAACCTTAAACTGACAGCCTGCCGAAATTTTAGCCACCGTCGGGCCATAAACGTCAGAATGGCAAACGCACTTTTGAACACAATTTTACGAAAAATCGGCCCTTTTTCCACCTCCAAGGCCGTTCTGAGTAATGGTGCCGCCTTAATACATACAAGGTAGGGTAATCAATCGCGAAATCGATCGATTTTACCCTTAAAACAATTATGTAATAAAAGTGAGGTTATGGCATTTGTTTTTAATTTTCAAGTGGCAACCATCAGGCTAAATGGTACCCCGATTCGGAATGGATGAAGCAGTTCGAAGGCCCCGTTATGTATCCAGATGAAGTTACTAGTAAATGGGCTCTACCTCCATGGAGTGCCCAGAAAGCCCCTGTCGAAAAGTCCGTAAAAAATATGACCCTAAATTTTGGTCCACAGCATCCAGCCGCCCACGGGGTGTTGCGTCTGGTTCTGGATCTCGATGGAGAGGTCAGACACTCGCATGTGGTATTTCATACTCAAAACATCGTTTTTAGATAGTGAAAAGGGCTGATCCCCACATTGGTTTATTACACAGAGGCACAGAAAAGTTAATTGAATATAAAACTTATACACAAGCTCTCCCATATTTCGACCGTCTTGACTATGTTTCCATGATGTGTAACGAACAGTGTTACAGCTTAGCCATAGAAAAATTGCTGAATATAGATGTCCCTATTCGAGCTAAGTACATCAGAAGTAAGTTACCAGAAGAGTGACTTTAGTTATTCACACCACATTTTAGCATTGTTTGCGGAAATTACGCGAATCTTGAACCACATTATGGCTGTTGGCACCCACGCTCTAGACGTGGGGGCTCTAACCCCCTTCTTCTGGTTGTTTGAGGAACGTGAGAAGATGATGGAATTTTACGAAAGAGTCTCTGGGGCGCGTATGCACGCTGCGTATATCAGACCAGGAGGTGTCTCTCTCGATTTACCTCTCGGACTAATGGACGATATTTATGAATTTTCCGCAAAATTTGGTGAACGACTTGACGAAGTTGAAGACGTGCTGACGACGAACAGGATTTGGGTGCAGCGCACGGAAGATATTGGTGTTGTGTCAGCGGAAGATGCTCTCAATTATGGATTCAGGTTTAGTTATTTAAAAATTTGATTTTTGTGTATTGTTTTTTTTTTGTAGTGGTGTTATGTTGCGAGGTTCAGGAATTAAATGGGACTTGCGCAAAGTCCAGCCTTATGATGCTTATGATTTGGTTGATTTTGATGTGCCTATTGGCGTGAAAGGGGATTGCTACGATAGGTATTTGTGTCGTGTTGAAGAGATGAGGCAGTCACTTAAGATTATTGAACAGTGTTTGAATAATATGCCTCCGGGTGAAATTAAGACGGACGATGCGAAATTGACGCCCCCAAGTCGAGCCGAAATGAAGGTGAGTAGATGTTTGACAGGTTATGCCAATTCTGGGATTTGGAAATTATCCAGTAGGCTTATACAGTGCAACCAATAAGAAAACAAAGTTGGCTAATAAATTGAATTTTAAAATGTGATTCTAAGCAATAATTGCAGAGGTACTGCTTGTGGTATTTAAAAAATGTTTTAAGCGAATGAAATGTGCCAGAATGAAAAATTCTGGCACATTTTTTATTTTTCATGTAACTAAGATTATATCATTTTGATCAGATTTTTCCATAAATTAACGTAGTAGGCGCGTTTGCAGTTGACATTTCATTTCAAAATTTGGTTAAGATCTAGTTGGCTTTACTGTTCATGATAAAAATGGATGTTTGTGTGTAAAAAACGTTTATTATACGATTTTTGTGTCAAACTTACCTTCAAAAAGTAGGTATCTTGAAAACTTGCAATCAAAGTGTATTCAAAAGATTGCAAAGCAACTATAAACTAAGAATTGTGTGATAGTTCTACTTGAGAGTTCTCAGTTGTATGAGAACTCCATAAGCCTCTTTAATATGCACAGTTATAGGCGCGAAACCGTAGAACGTTGTGAAAGTATTGTAGCATATAATTAATCCAAAAACGACGACCTTTCCTAAAATTTTGGCAATGCAGTACTGGCTCTGACAACGCGCAGTAATACACTGACCGCCAAAAAAAACCGGCCACCCTGAAAAATTTCGCAAAACCACTTTAAAAATTATTAATTTAACTAGTGATCGTTATTTTATTAAATAACCATTCACTATTGACACATGATGTACAAATTACCAAAAAAAGAAGACAAATAAACGTAGAATTAAATTTAATTTAACAAAATAACAAACAGACCAAGTATGATATTTTTTTAAAAAAACAATAAAGGAGGCTGTTGATGTAAACAGTGTTTTTCATCAATTGATTATAAGTTTTGCAATTAATAAACGTTTTCACGCGAAAACAATTCCATTAACTCCTACAGACGTCTCTCAAATTGTCCCTCTGTTTATGTTATTTTGTTAAATTAAATTTAATTCTGCGTTTATTTGTCTTTTTTTTTGTGTCACGAGTGAATGGTTCTTTAATAAAATAACGATCACTAGTTAAATTAATAGTTTTTAAAGTTTGGTTTTGCGAAATTTTTCAGGGTGGCCGGTTTTTTTGCCAGTTAGTGTATGTGTGTGGGCCGTGGGTTGCGAACATCAAGGCCGGGAGTTTACGTTGACAATTGCTCTGAAAATTTGCCTTAAAGCTTATCGCCACCCTTGCAAGTGTAGGGAGACCAAAGTTGGCCTATATACGCCTGCGGTATTTGTATTTTTATTGCGTAATAAATAACGCGAATGACCTCATTTAGTTACGTTGTACTTAAAAAAAAATCGCTGGATTTGTTTGATTGTACTATATGGGCGAGGAAAGTTCTGTTTAAATAACTTTAAATTAATTGTTTACTTCCCGTTTTTTCAGAGTAGCGGGTAGTAATGTAGAGTTTATAAGAGTATCATGCTTTCTTTTTGCCCATAAAATCATTATGAAATATCTATAATATCACAATAAATGTTCAGCTACTCACTCCGGACTACTTGCGATTTACCGATAAGTGACTTACATTACATTAATAAGTGGAGTTTAAATCTGTTCAGTACACTATCGGACAGGAATTTTTTTTTACTATTATCAACCTGTAATTGGTGTGATCAATAAATATTAAATTTTGTTGACCCATTCTTAATTTTTTCTTTTTTTTTAAGACGTCCATGGAAGCGCTGATCCACCACTTCAAACTATTCACCCAAGGTTATCAGGTGCCCCCTGGCGCCACATACACGGCTATCGAAGCACCGAAGGGTGAATTTGGCGTCTACTTAGTGTCAGACGGCGGTTCAAAGCCCTACAGGTGCAAAATTAAAGCTCCAGGCTTCGCCCACTTGGCAGCTTTAGAAAAAATAGGTAAAAACCACATGCTGGCAGACATCGTCGCCATCATCGGTACTCTCGACGTAGTATTTGGTGAAATCGATCGATAAGCTTAAACTGTATTTTTCCAATTATTTAAGTGTAAATAATGTCATAAGTTTAAATAAACTAAAAAATAGTGTATATTTACAGCTTTTTTTTAAATAAAATATACAGTGGTATTTGTACTATGGGGTCACGAGGATTTTGAATTGGAAGAACTGCACGATTCCGACCTTCTCCTTTTCTTCTTCGACTTCTTCTTGCTTCTCGAATCGTGCTTGCTCTTTGAATGTTTCCTGAAAGAACCACTCCTGATAACGCCACGACTAAACCGCCACAGATGTTACCTTTTGTGTGATTTTTTCTTTTTGGAAGCCCTCTTTTTTCGTTCCTCTTCGTCCCCAGAGTCGTCGATTTGCACCACTTCCTTTTTCCTTTCTCTGCTCTTTGACCGTTTCCTGCTCTCCTTCGCTTCTTCGGCTGGCGGTGTTGACTCTTTCTTCGCCTCTTCAGGAACGCTGGTTTCTGCCGACTTCAACTTGAGGAAGGCCGCCGCTTTCTTCTTTCGCTCGAGCTGCAAGGCGCGATCTCGCGCCACAGAAACCATCTTCTCGCGAGCGGCTGCTGCCAGTTTGTCTTTGATTTTGTCTTCAGCTGGAGAAGAAGAAACTTTCAGTGTGTTCTCACGAATTTGTTTCTTACCTCTTTTCGCGTCTTTCCTCTCTTCTATGTCATCGGTAAGATCGATCATTTCTAGAAGAGGGTCATCAGCGTCGAAGATTGTACCGTTCTTGTTATGACTAGATTCTGAGGCGTCATTAGACGAGTCTGCTTCTTTAATGGCTGTGTCGCTAGTGGGCGTGGCAACAGACGCCACTGGTTCCGACATGTTTGTGTCTTCATCATCGCTTTCTTCTACGGGTAACGCACTCTTAATTTCTTTAGCACCATCGTCTTTGGGTTTCTTGATAGAGAAGCTTACAGGTGCTAAATTCGCATTAGTTTGTGCACAAACAAGAAATACTACAACTAACCTATGACTTTCTTTTCCTTTGGTTTGGGTGGCGTGGGGGGTGTAGGTTTGACGTCCTTTTTCTCGGTATCTAGGGTGTTCTTAATCTTGTTCTTATAGTACTTGTAGTACTCGTGATTTTCGTTCAAGAACTCGAACCTCGGGTCGCCCTTAGCTTTGACGATTTCTTCAAATTGGACGCCGTTTTTCGCCACATAGCTCGCCATTTTGTCAATGACGATCTGGACTTCTCCCGATGGTACTTTAAAGTCGTTCTCCTCTTGCTCGGATTCGGAATCAGACCCGTATTGTGCTAACGAAAGAATAGTATTTCTTACGGGTTCCACTTCTTGAACTTCTGGTTCTGTTTTTGGCACTTGTGCTTTAGTTTCACTGGTGGGATTGATCTGATCAGTTAAAGGAGGGTACGGATTTGACACTTCTTTATTGCTGACGTTTGAAACGATTTGAGCGTAAGGATTATTGTTCGATGACTGATGCTGCATGTATTGAGTGTACGCCATCTGCTGGATGTAATTTTGCACGGCTGGGTCCAGATGCGTATCTGGGGGTTGAATATTGGGCCCTAGATGGCCGATTATCCACTACGATTGACACCGACGTGATACTCACCTTGTCCATTTCCTTGTTGGTACTGCGCCAATTGCTTGTAGTATTCATAGTACTGCGTAGTGTAGTAGTACTGGTAGTACTGCTGTTGCTCGTACGTCATTTGGGTGAACGCTTCCGGCGGCTTGGCAGCTTCGGCTTGTGCAGTGTCCGTTTGGTTGCTCCCTTGAATCCTGTTAACCAATTGTGAATAGGAACAATTGGCCGAAGGCTTGTATGGTATTGTCGGTATTGCACTGGTTTGTACATCCTGTTAGACAATAAGTAAAAGTTATTTTTCTGATTAACCAGTAGCAATGTTTAAATTAAATCTTTTTTCGTTAAAAATTAAAATAAAATCCCTAAAAAATTGTTCCAAAGACAATTTTTTTAAACGAGTCGTTAACTTTCGACACACAACGAAAATCACCTTAGTACCTGCAAACAGAAAAAAACGTTATTAGTTGTTCACGACATTAAAACTAAGATATAGTATGGAAGCGTTTATTTTAAGACTAGTGGTACAAAGACGTATAATTATCACAAAGTAGGCTACTTTAAGGCCGCGGAAACCTACCGGTTGGGAGGTGGTCGACACGAGGCTTGGATGAAGGTAGTGCTCCTCGGTAGTACTTGTGTCTGTACTCTCCTCGCGCTTTTCCTCTACAAGAAAAAACGTGTTTAGAGTATCAGCAATAAAATAGGTTGTAATTTAATATTTGAAGTTTGTCTGGCCATGGCCATGACTATCTTCGTATCCGCTGACACGCATCCCATTTTCAAAATAATATATAAATATATTTTATTTTTGAAGTTGTAGGAAATGTTTATATGCTCAGAGAACTGAGGAATCCAACTATCACAGAATGTAAGGATGATAGTAGCAAATTTTGGTTCGTAACAACTATATAAGTCGGTGCCAGAAAATCTTGAACGTCATTGTCATTCCAATCTTTTAAACTTCAAACGTCAAAGTAACACTACAGCATGGCCTATATAAAAATGACGTCCAAGATTTTCTGACCGCGACTGTAAATGAAGTTGGTTATGGTTTGGTATATTTTCATATTCAACTAAAATTTGTTAGCAATTAACTAATCGGTTTGAAATTGATGTGAAGTTTATTTTTTGTTTTACATTACATGTAAAATTTTGTTATTTGGAATTCAAATTTTACGATTAATCTAAAAAAACTGGATTTGTTAGATTGTGCTGGAGACGCGAGGGAAGTTCTGTCTAAATAATTTTAGACAAATTTTTTTGCTTTATGTTACATTTAAAATTTTGTTACTTCGAATGTTTGTGGTTTAAGTAAATGTGTTTTATTGGTAGTAATGGCTGTTTCCTAAGAGTTAATTTCGTCATTTTCAACGGATTCATACAATTTTTCTTCATACTTTTCAAATACGTTTTACGCAAACAGGAATACGCATTGATTAAGTAAACTAAACTTAGTGTTGACGCTGTATTTAAAGGGGTTTTAGAAGAAAAATGGAGGCTTTAAGTTGATCACTACAAAATTTACCATTTTAGACATATTTAAAGTTTCTTATTTTCGAAATAAGTCTACACATATTAAGAAAAAAAAAAGGCAAAATGTACCCCGCCCACCCACCCTATCTCAATTGTAATGATTTTTTTATTCATCGTGAGCCAAGAGGCTGGAGCTTAACTGCAAAATCCTTATTTCTCTACGAGAAATTAAAAACATGTTTTTGAGTATCGTGTTGTTTAATGAATACTATGTTTATTAAGAAAAAAATAAAGCCAAAGATTAGGCCCCACTCATACCCGCCCCGATCTCAATTCTCAATTGTGATGAATTTTTCAGTCGTTGTCAGATGGAACGGCGGGGCTTAATTGCAAGATCCATATTTGTCTACAAGAATTTACAATCTTAAACATGTTTTAAGATTCTTGTTCTGAAAAGACGACTACGTATGTTAAGAAAAAACGCAAAATATAAGCCTCGCCCACCTATCTCAATTGTGATGATTTTTTTTTAATCGTCGAAAGCCAGAGGAACGGAATTTAATTTCAAAATCCTTATTATTTCTCTACAAGAAAAGTAAGACATGTTTTTGAGTATCGTCTTATTCAAAAAATACTATGTAGATTAAGAAAAAATTAAAGCTAAAGATTAAGCCCCACCCATTCCTGCCCTGATCTAAATAGCAATGAAGTTTTCATTCGTTGGCAGACCTAGGGGCGGAGCCTAATTGCAAACGTGTTTTAAATTTCTAAGAATTAAAAAAATCATCACAATTAAGATGGGGTGGTGGGCGGGGTTTATATTTTGCCTTTTTTTTTCGTATTATAAGTAGTATTCTTTGAACAACACGATACTCAAAAACATGTTTGTAATTTCTTGTAAAGAAATAAGTATTTTGCAGTTAAGCTCCGCCCCCTTGGTTCTCGGCGAATAAAAAAAATCATCACAATTAAGACAGGGCGGGTGGGCGGGCTTGCATTTTGTCTTTTTGTTTTAATATATACTTCTTTTCACAACAAGAAACTTAAAACATGTTTAAAATGGCAAGTTTGTATAAGCAAATATACATTTTGGTATTAGGCTTCGCCTCATAATTGCAAAATCCATATTTCCTTGCAAAAATGTACCATTTTAACCATGTTTTAAGTTTCTTGTTGTGGAAAAACGGTTATGTATATCAAGAAAAAAAAGCAAAAGTATAAGCCCCCCACCCGCCCTATCTCAATTCTAATGATTTTTTTTATTCGTCGTGAGCCGAGGAGCTACGAAAAGTTACCATGTAAAATATGTTCTTAAGTAATCGTGTTATACAAAGAAAACTAATTGTATTAATTAAAAAAGAAAACCAAAAGAGAAGCCCCACCCATCCGTCTTGATTTCAATCGTGATAAATTTTTCATTCGTTGTCAGATCGAGGGGCAGAGCGTAATTGCAAAATCGATACATTCCTATAAAAATTTACCATTTTAAAAATATCTTTTACCTTTCTTGCTGTAAAAAGAAGACTACACTACACATATTAACAAAAAAGGGCAAAATGTAAGCATTTGTAGTTATAATACCTAATATTTTTTTGAGATGAATAGCAATAAATCTTGTTGATTTAAACGTCGAGACCTATTTTTAATAATGCATATACAATATAAGAAATGTTTTAGACAAGATTTTGAAAATTTAGTACATATTTCTCAACCTATTAAAAATGCCAGGAGCATTAATTTTTTTGAAGGAGAAGCGTACGCTACTGGAATATTTCTGATTAATGTGGTTAATAAACGGGGGCAAAAAAAATAAAAACTTTATCAGGGAAAAAACCTTCACTGATTTACGTGAATTTAAATTAATTCTTTACGCATATCAGTAAAATATATTTGATTGTCAAACGTGGTGTGTTTTCACACAATTGTGTTACTGGTACAAGGTTACTTGGAAATTCGCAAGCGCTCAAAAGAAAATCGACGAGTTAGTTCAAAGACCACATTTAATACAAATTAGCTTTTTTCTTTTAAATTTGCATCTAAATTGTATTTTTTATTTTATATATTTTTCAAATTCAGGTAAACACAGTTTTGCATTTTGTGTTTTCGTGGTTTATGCGAGTTCTTCGTACTTTATTCAATCAGTTCTTTTCATAGCTAAAAGTTTTCCAAGTTTTGTTAAAATATATTTTAAATTACCCGCACTTCACAACAAAAATGATACGCCACTGGTTAAAGCCTAAGTGATTACTACCCTACGTTCTTCTCAAAATATTTTCACTCTACTTTATCTTTATCTCTAAATTCAAAACCATTGAAGATACAGTCAAACGTTTCAACGTAGATATCACAAGATCTATGAAAATTATTTAAAATTAGTTGAGACAATTATAGTTTCTAGACATCTTTGTAAATCTGGAACTACTTAACAACATGATTATCAAAGATATAAAATGTTTGATGAATGTATGCCAAATAGGAGTGTTATGAGCCAAAAAAGTTATTCAAATATCTGCTGCAGCCATCTTGATGTACTTTGACAATTATATTTTATCTTGCCATTAAGACAATTTAGAGTGTAGAAATAACTCTATGGACATTAATTTTGCTTATTTTCTTCATTTCAGCACTTACCTTTTTTAAGAGATGAGGTCACTTGATAACGCCCACTTTTGATGGCTGTTAGCACATGCCGGTAATACTTGTACAACTGATGTCCCTGATTTAGAAAACCAAACTGGGGATTATCTGCTTGCTTCGCCTTGATCAGGATCTCCATCTGCGGTCCCTGCTTGCACACGAACAGCGCTGTTTTCTCAATCCGGATGTTTTCTTTCAAAGTTTTAGGCTACCAAAAAAAAAAAACAATAAAATTCCAGTACTCATCACACTCAAAACTTACAATTGCAATGTCAACGGGCACATCCAAATTTGGCGGCGGTACAAACTTCTCGTCCTTCTCTTCAGCCTCTGGTACAGTCGGTGCCATTTCTTGAGCAGGATCAGTAGGAACATCGTAACTATACTGGAACTCATTGGCCTTTTGTCTCTTTTGTTCTTCCTCTAACCATTCAACTCATAATTACATAATAATCGCACTACTGTGTGAATACCTTTGTACATCTGTTCCTCCTCTTCATTGATATGCAAAGAATAGTACCGCTCTTTATCACATAGTTGTTCAAGCTTCCTTTCTGATTCACTCAAACCAAGCCATCTCATGGCGTCGAAACCCTCTCTGCTGGCTTCGTACGGGGAAAGATCCGACAAAGCCCCTCTGCAGTCGTACCTATAAGAATTTCGTAATTCCACGTGAGAGCCACTTTTTGCTTAAATAACAACTAACCTATCAATTTTGAGTTTTTCGTCACCCATCCATGGAATAAGATGGTGGCCTTTATCAATGTAGGAAGCTTTGTCATCATCGCGGAACAGTTTACAAGCGTACCCGAAGACTAGGAGATCTTCGTGGTTTTCTTTGGGTTTGTTTTTACGCAAAATTCCTGATTCTGAACTCGTTCCCCATTGCGCCATGTTTGTTTTTATGGATTGACGTTTGAGAAAACTACGAAAATGTCAAAGCGTGCGCCGGTAGCAACGCCAACATGATGGTGATAATTCTACTAACTCATCATTTGGCGGAAAATTTAAATAAAACATTATTATTTTTATTATTACTCCCAGCAGAACGTTTTTTGGTATTCACAAAAATGTTACCGCCCTGTGAAGTTAAGGACACTAATAAGCAGATCTTAAATGTAAATGACACTGTATCATTGTACCAGTCGCAGGTATGTATAAACTCATGTTAGGATTTCTGCCACAGAATTTTCTGCATTAGCACAGTAGTCTGCCGTAATATCGTACTTAACGCAACCCTTTAATTGGGTGGTTTAAGCTCCGCCTCTCCATTGTCAGTGATTCTTGATTTCATATACAATTACCTAGGTCTTGACACTGGAAGGAACTTTGTCAGATGCTGGCCAAAATTTTTTTGAGTCACCCTGTATATTGTCCTTTTATAACAAATATGAATGCATTGATAAACCACAAATATAGACTCATAATACTTTGCCGAGGGCCCAAGAACGTTGTATTAATTAATTAATTTATAATATTTTGCTAAGGACCCAAGGACGTTGTATTAATAATCAAGTTTTAAAGGGGGAATAAACAGTAAAATTTTGCTTAAATAGCGATTTAAGTACCATGTTTTCGATGACTTTCAAAACTTTGCAACATTTCCGAGCATTCGTCTTGCAGTTTCTATGTTAAACTGTAAAATGTTGTTATACCTACATTTTTTTTTTGAAAATCTGAATACCCGAGAGAAAAAATCAAGGCGGATTCACAAACCAAAAGTACAGGATTGTGTTATTTTATAAAATTTAAATAACATTCACTACAAATTTTGGTTAGCATTTTACCATCTACACTATATTCCTAAAATGCATTTAAAATTTGGCAAAAATCAGATCGAAAGTTTATCTGTCTAATAAAATTCAACACCTATTAAGATGTTTCCCTATCAGGGAGAACTATTTTTTCGTACTTTAGGGGTCATGAAACGTCGAGAAGAAAACATGAAAGTAACCAAGTAACAGAAAATAACCCATATCTCTGTTGGTCGTCAAGGCACGATAGGATAGAAGCTTTTCGACTTAAATATGGGGTTGTGTTAAAGGCACTTTCAAAAATTGTTTTAATATCCAATAATAAATCTGAGATACATTAAGTCAAAACTCTAAAAAATTGATCGACGATTACTTCGACAGAACTTCCCTCGCCCATAAAATACAGCTTGTCAAATCCAGCTCTTTCGAAGAATTAAAAGATTTGATTTCTCGATTTTTATTGTTTTTTTATAGCAACCATTATAAGCTAAAATAAAAATATGTATCTAATGTTTGAGTAAAGAAACGTGCTAACCGTTTTTCTATTAAAAAAATTTTCCACATTTTTACAAGGACGCATATATCAGTTTGGATACATGAATTGTAATACATACTAATAATAAAAGTTTTGTATTATTGTTATTATTAAATAGTGATTTATTATTATCAATAAAATAACGAAACAATTTAATCATGTCTGCAGTATGTAGGTAATAGTCGGTGCGACTGAAGTCTGAACTGAAAATCATTTATGATATTCGTAACTTAAGACAAATAACGATAATACTTATCAACATGTAGACGTGAGACTGAAACAGAAACTAAACTAAAAGATGTTTTCTACGAATTCCAATAACCGGATCGCAATGCCCACGGGCCAGATTTTTTTATTGCTCTGACTTCCGCTTATTGAATAAAACACTTTTTTGATCTTCGATGTTGTGGTTCACATTTGGTTAATTATAATAATCTGTCTAGATCTAGGGGAGGCTCAGCATCCTCTAGCCTCCCTCGAGCTACGGCCTTGTCTAGGGGTTATGAAATATCGAGAAAATATGAAAGTACCAAATTGCCCGACGGACTCCATTACTGTACGTCCTTAAGTTATCCTCGATAAGAAAAACAACTTAAAACTGTTTATGTTTATACATCGGAAGAATGTCACGTAGACATTAGTTTGATTTGAATGAGTTCGTCTCCTCAAAACAGAGGATTAAAACTATTAATTACTAAGCTACAACCGACAAAATGTTCTGAATATAATGAGAAAATGGGGTGACTCGTTCTAAATTTGTTCAGTAAAAAATATGAATACAATGAGGAATCAGAAGTAAAAATTCATCATATTTTGCACATTTTGCGTAGAATTTATTCGACAAAATTTTAAGATAACGTCATCAATTTTTTGGGGGGAATACACAATTTACCATGCTTACATTGACTTTAAAACGTCAATTTCAAATCGTTTAGTTTTACAATTCTTGATTTATTCAATAGAATAAATTGACTGATTTATTAATTTTTTTGAGTCACTCTGTATAAGCTAATTTAAAAAATATGCGTGCAATGAAAAATTACAAGTATAGACTGATCATATTTTGTACATTTTAGATATGATTTATTCGGCAAAATTTTGAGATGACGTCATCAATTTTTTGGAGGGGATAAGTAAATATATTTTGATTAAAAATTTATCATGACTACCATAACCTTAAAATATATGTAAGATTTCAAATCATTCAAAATTAAATTGCAAAATTGCAATTAGGAAATTTCGGGACGATGTTTTTAATTTTTCTGGAAAGTAAAATTTTAAAAAATATTGATGATGCTAGTATGCTTTGGTAGACAATAGGAAAATATTGAATAAGAGTAAAAATATTGTTACGTTATATGGGCGAATAAAATCGGCGTGGGTTAAACTCAACAATTTATTTCTCAATAACTCAGATTTACACGACTGATTATACAGCGATTATGTACAAAATAATCCAGGCGCAACTTAGCTGGACTCTGTCTTCACTCAACTCGATTCGTTAACTGAATGATCTCGTTCCCGAAGGTAGCCTCCATTTAAACCCATATTCCTTCCTCGATGTTTCGCAATCGAGGTCTTTCTCGAATCCATCGCGACTGCCGCTTCCAGGCATTTCTTTAGAGAACGCCGCTTCGAGGGTTTTTTGGGCCCGTCGCGACATCCGCTTCAAGGATTTCCTTTTGTGAACGCGGCGTCGCGCGGCCGATGAGTCATACTACATATTGGAAGAAACACATACATACTAGAAGACCCATAGACGTCGTACCGGGGCGGCGTATTGTTTTATTTCGTAACAATATATAACAATTTTAAATTAATTTGAAAATATGAAATATGTAGTGTATAAGGAACAAATTTCGTGTGATTAAAAACTGGGCCAGGAGACTTTGGCAAGAGAGGGCCCAGCATAGAGTTTGTGAGAGAAAGAATATTTCAACCAAAACGATTTTTTGTTGTCGAGCTAACTGTTGACAGTTTCAATTTTAACTTTAGGCCAAACTATATACATATGGTAATAGGGTTCTTTTGATGTTCTTTTCATTTACTTCCAACGGTATATCTTCAACAAAAATTTGTTCACTGTAATCATGGGTATAACATATTTTGTGGAATGACGTCATCAGTTTTTGTAACGAATGAATAAACAAATTTTAATCGAAGTTAATTATTAAGTACAGTGGTGTTTCAATATCTTGTTACAACGAGTTATATTTTTCGAAATTTTTACAACTGTTTGCTAGGTATTATAGCCATTTATTTGTTTCTATTTTAATGTAACAACAACTAAAAGAAATGAAAAACTTAACATTATCCCATGAGTGTATCCTGAGATCATAATACTTGTAGCAAAACCTTTACCGTCGTCATCATCGTCATCATCATTACTATTAGCCGGATCCAAATCAAAATTTCTTCCATAAATTCCAAAAGTTAACAGACGGTTTTGACTTTCTGCTATTGAGAAACTTCTTTCAATTAAATTTGTTCCCGTGTCTTCTACATTGACAGCATTCCAGACTGTCTTACTAGCATCTATAGGACGTATGGAGCTCAACAAAGAGTTAGGATATTGCGTCCTATTGTCAGTTTTCTCAAAATTCGCCTTAACTAAAATCTCTTCAAAAGTCACAGGCCACTGGACTTCTTCGTATTTAGAAAATCTTTCCCCACATGAAGATAATGAAGAATTCAAACATGCGATTACAGCGCATACGTCTATACTGCCATTGTAGACTCCATCATACGAACGAACGCCAGAATAAGCCACTAAATGGTACGTGTAGAAATTTAAATCTGTTTCTGGTTTTACAACCGACATCTTAATGGTAAAATTGCAACAAATTTGACTTTCATTTGTCTCGTTTCCGTGACAAAGTTCAGTTTGGAAGTCTGTGGTAGCAGACGTGTTCAAAATCTGTGAAGAATAATCTAAAACAAGCTATACATTTGGTGAAGATTTAAATATGAACTTGTTACCATCAATACTGGGATCTCTTTTCAAGTAAAAACCATCCATCTGCTTAGCTAGAGAGTCAGTATCTTCAGATGGAAGAGGTGCAACTTCCCCATTTTTACTCTCGTATATGAAAAATTGCGTTCCACCCTCTGCAATAACATCACGTATTACGGCCCCTGTCGCACCTGGAAAGTTTCATTGCTGATAAATACGTAAAAAAATAGACAGATGTACCTCTGTATACCCCACTGCCACCACTCCCAACGGCAGGGTTGTTAGCTCCGGCAGCGAAAAGTGTGACGTTATGAGTTTGAGCCCACATTTGTTGTGTTTGTATTGCTACAAAAAATTGCAACCATTTTAAAACAAAAATAAAAATAAATATATAAGTACCTGTTAGGAATGGGATTTCTGAGAACCACATAGTCGGAAAAATCACCGCATCTACACCCTGGTTAAGTAAATCCTGCGCAGGACTTTTGAATAAAATGTCAAAACAAGTAAATATTCCAAAAGTAACACCAAAGTCGGTTTTAATAATAACTTGATCAGGTTGTTCTGGCTGGTCTAATTCTCTTTCGCCAAAAAGATTATACTTTCGGTATCTACAAGTTTCGATGTTAACATTTTCAAAAAATGTGGTTATTTCACAAACTTGTTAATGATTGTACCACTTCGATCGAACACCACGTCTGTGTTGTAAAAGTGAAAACCATAATCTTTACAATTTTGACTTTCATCAGATTCGTCACATTTAGACTTTTCGACCAGATTTACGACAACGTAAGTTTGAAACATGAGTGCTGTGTATGGAACGGCATGTATTTGTGCATCTACACAAATTGTGGTAGTGGTACAAGAGGCGCCAATTTCAATTTCTACCGCGGTTTCTGGATTGTTTCCCAATGTGGCTTCCGGAAATATGATCATGTCAATTTTCTGAAATATAATTGGTTTTGACGCAAGTTCAGTAATGGATTCGTTTAGAGTAGGCTCATAATAATTATTTTAAGTTTGCAGAGCCTACTTTAAACCTAAAAATTTTTGAACACTTGTTATCTTACGTACTGTTTTATCCCGTATTTCGTACATTTGCGTCATATAGTTTACGCTGTTTGCAATTACTTTGTCACGAGATGTTACATTATTGTAAACGGGTTGGTACTCTACAACTGCGATACTTGCAGTTAAGTTGTCCCACACGGATGCCTAAAATGTGGTGGTGGGGTATATATACTTAGTTTTTTCGGTCGACTTACCTGTGAAAACGTAACTAAAATCGAAAAAATTATAAAAAACATTTTGTCTGACCCTTTAGAACTTTCACCCGACATTAGAAATTAATTGTGTTATTAGTTTTATAAAAATGACTAGGATGATAAGATAAAAGAAAATACACTTCACTTTAATCTGCCTTTTATTGTCTGAAATCTCAGTGAATTAAGACACGTGTATAAAGAGCAAAAATGACTTAATAATAATTCATTTTTAATAGAGATTGTAGAGTTATCGGTTAACTTTGATAATCGAAATAAAAAAATGTTGTTTCCTCATATTTTTTTGTCAAATCTCCTGAATTGTGACAATAACAAACAAGAGGAAATAAGTAAATTTTAATTATACCACACTCTTTGGAGTTAATGATTAAATCAAAATTATTTCATCAAAACTACATAGTGGATTCAACAAAACCACTAACATGTAAACAAAGCACATATTAAGTACAGTCAAAATAAAAATAATAATTCGAGAATAAATGTTCAAATTCAAGCTGTGAGAAAATAATTTAGCTCGTACGAAAATAGTAGGTACATTAATATAATACAACATAAATATAAAATACACCTGTCATTTTGAGCTTACAACGATGTTAATTTGACTGATAATAATTTTCAAGGTACTTTCTTTCAAAATGGATTAACGTTGAAGATTCGTTTAATACCATAAAATGTTATAAATCTCGAGTGAGAAGTTATGAAGTGTTGCGATAATCTGATAACCCAAACATCCCGCCATAATTTGGTAATTGAACTACGTTTTAAAACCCGTTTAAAAAAAATGGAAGCCTGCCTTTTTCATGGCGGAATGTATTCAAAGTTCTTGTTTTCTTGTGTAGAATTTGTTGTTCTGCGTTGCAGTCTATTTAAGATAGGTAATACAAGTAATTAAATCACCTTTAGACCTATCAAACCTTATGTCGATATCAAAGTTCAGCACTAAATTCAAACTTCAGCTGATAACTATCATATTATTTTACAATAAGGTCTAAATTGTGGACAAACAACATACGATTTCACACCCAATAATTTATCTTAATTACTCGACGTAATAATAAAATTGTAGTAAACATATAAACCTTTAGTTCATTATTCACTTGTACAATAAAATGTAAAAGGTCCAAAGAATTTTCTTGAAATATTTTCTGAGTGTATTGTTTTTGTCTTTAAAAAATAATGTCCATGCAAACATCTAATCCAGAAGGTTCTTCTGAAAAATTACTTGAGAAAGGGAAAGACATATATTTAGTTCACATACCTACTTAAGCAGATTACTTTTTACTTTATTCAGAACTATGTTATAGTAACAGTAGATAAAACTATAACACAAATTAACAAAAACCAAGTAACAGCCCCTGAACTGCTAGTGTTCCTCTCTGGTGGTGAATCATTTCCAAAATTTCTGCCATAAATTCCAAAAGTTAAAAGTCGATTTTGAGGTTTTCTCAAAGCAAAAGTTACTTCAACAACTTTTTCCTCGTTGTCTTTTTTCCGGCGTGTCCAGATGGTTTCGCTAGCATTAATCGGACGTATAGAACTCAACAAAGAATTAGGAAATTGAGTCTTATTCTCATGATTTTCAAAATTTGCTCGAATGGAAATTTTTTCGAATACTATAGGCCACCGAATGTCTTCATAATTTGAAAATCTGTGTCCACAGGACGATAATGAATCGTTCAAACACGCTACCACAGCGCATAACTCTATTCCTCCGTTGTATACACTCATGAAAGAACGAATTCCTGAAAATGCTACTATGTGGTAAGTGTAAGAATGAAGATCTCGATTTAATTCTTGCGTAGACACAGTAACATCAAAATTACAACAAAGGCGATCTTTTTGATTGCCATGACATAGCTCCTTCTGTAAATTTGTTGCAGAAATGTTTAAAACTGTGGAATTAAATTCTAGAAACATAAATGTTTAAACAAGTTTGTATAAAACCTCTTAATGCGTTACCTCTTAAACTATTGTCAGTATACAGTTTAAATGAATCCATTTCTTTTCCTAAAACATCGATGTCTTCATGTGGAGGAGGAGAGATTTCCCCATTTTTGCTTTCATATAAAAAAAGTCGAGAATCACCATTTGCCACAATTCCTTCTGATACTGTGCCTCTGGAACCTACGTAACGACACATATCAAATTAAGAACCAGTCAAAATGTAGAGACGGGGCTTAAATCATCCAATTAAATAGTTACGTTAAATACAACACCAGGAGTTAATAGTGGTAACATGATGCGATTGGTTACCTGCGTAAATTCCACTCCCCCCACTACCAGCAGAAGGCGTGTTAGCTCCAGCCCCAAAGAAGGTGACGTCATGTGCGTAAGCCCACATTTGTTGGGCTTGGAGAGCTACAATTTCATTATTTTACAAAAAATTACAATAGTAAAAAGTTTACCTGTTAAAAAGGGCAACTCTGAGTACCACATGCTTGGAAAAATAATTCCATCAACGTCTTTCTCCAATAAATCTTCTGCTGGATTTTTGAACATAATGTCGAAACATGTGAAAACGCCAAACTTTATACCAAAATCGGTGTCAAACGTCACATTTTCAGATATTGTAGGTTTGTCTAACTCATATTCGCCAAATAAATTATATTTTCGATATTTACAAATAATAATGCCCTTTCGATCAAAAATTACGTCAGTATTGTAGAAGTAAAAGCTATCATTTTTACAGTTTTGGTTATCGTCACACTTTGATTTTTCAACGAGGTTTACAACGAGGTAAGTCCGGAATTTTCGAGCTGTGCATGATAGGTCGCTTAAAAATTGAGGGTAAGTTACAGAACTGCAAGGGTTGCTTTTTATTTGGATTTCCACTGCTGTTTCGGGGTTGTTTCGTAAGCTCGCTTCAGGAAAAATGATCAAATCAAGTTTACTCTAAAAATAGAACTGACTAAAAGGGTTGAAAAGCAACTGCCGTACTTACAACAGAATTGGTGTCTGTTACTATTTCAACGTATTTTTTGGTGTTTTGTAAAATTCTTTCATTTGTTGAAAGGGAGGGATCTCTTATTGGCTGAAACTCTACGACTGCAATGTTTGCAGTGAGATTATTCCACGGTGTAGCCTGAAAAAAGGTTTTGGTTCTACATTTATTATAATAGATTATAATAAATAAATTTAATAACAATAAATAAAAAATGTATGTTTTCATTTCTTATTAATTACCTACTACTGACCTCATTAAAATATTGTAAACAAATCTTGCTAGATACCAACGCGCTATGTAATGTGACGTTTTGTCTGTGGCTTAAAAAAATGTTTTTGCGTCGTGTTTTTCTCTACGTGAATGAATTATTCTAAAAAAAAGTATGTTTTTATTTTATTCTACACTTTATGTCAGCAATTTCATAACGGATTTGCTTGAAATAATTATCTGATCAATAATATTGATTTGGGGATTATAGAACTTATCTCAAAGGCAAAAAATCTGAAGTGTGGCACTACTCCTGTTTCAGTTTGATTGATTTTGTATTAATTTTTCAACAGATCGCTACCGTCTTTCCTGTTTCACAAAGTAAATTTACAGATATTCTTAGAGGTAGGAATTTCTCCCTAACAACATTAAGTAAATTATGCGAATCTACAAGCAGTCACGATTTTTTAAATACAATTTATGAGAAACTTGACATTAATAATTTACCGCCGAAACGTCCTCAAGGAAATGAAAAATGATGTCATATCTCAACATTTTGTGTAGTAACTTTCATAAAAACCCCTGTACTTGTGGTTTACGAATCCGCCTTGATTTTTTTCGCAATTTTTTGAAAAATCTGTATTTGTTCACCTGTTTGTACTTTAGGGGTGAATAACTTTAGACATTTCTTTAATTTACGATAAGGGGTATCACAAAATAGGTAAAAATTTCGCAAAACCAAACTTTATATTTTTTCGAAGAAGCTGGATTTGTTCAGAGGCGAGGGACAATCTTGTTGTCGAATTCTACTTGTAAATATGTTTGACAGGAATAGGAAGGTACACTAGATATTATTCAAAGTTTATAAAAGAATAATAAACTGCTACTCTTACAGTTGTGGTTTATGAATTGACTTTTTCTCTTAGGCAAAGAAATTTTCACAAAAAAAAATGTAGGATAACAACCTTTTTTTATACTAATAAACTAATATACCTACGAGGTTGGTTCGATAAATCCCTGCAAAAGTAAGGAAAATAGCAAAAATATGTTTAAATTTGTTTTTACTTTACTATATAATCTCCTTTGAAATTAACACATTTAGTCCAACGGTATTCGAGTTTTTTAATCCCTTTCATAAAGTAGGATTTCTTCAACTCTTCGAAATAGCACTGTCGTCATTTGACGTAAATTTGGTCCCAGCAACATAATTTTTCAGGTTTGGAGATACATTATAGTCGGACGGGGCCAAATATGGAAAGTACGGTGCGTGAGGTACCTACAATTTCATAACGTAACTTCAGGAGTTTAGTCGGAGCAATAACAGAGGAATGAGTCGGCGCGTTATCGTGATGGAAAATATTTTTTTTGTAAATGCGGCCTTTTGAGCTTCACTTCTGTGTTTCACTAATCTAATAAGGCTGCATAATATTCTCCTGTGATGGTTTTGTCCTTTTATAAACAGTCAATAAAGATGATGCCACGAGTGTCCCAAAAAACCAAACAGCAGTCAAAACAGTGAGTTCCACGTTCACCTGGTCCAACCCACTGTTTTGACGGCTGTTTGGTTTGGGGCTGGTACTGATGTATCCATCTTTCATCAACTGTTACAAATCGACTCAAAAATTCACTAGGATTTCTTTGAAACAACTCCAAATTTTGTTTAGAAGTGTTCACTGAAGATCTGATGTATCCGTTCTAATGAGATGTCAACAGCCTCAGAAATCTCACTGTCAATAGTTTCTTGGGTAGAGACTTCAACAGGACACAATGAAAATCAGAATACCACTTAGGTAGGCGAAGGTGCAGACTCTTCATAATATTCTTCTCTATTGTGCAAACAACAGAACTAAACCAGCGTGGATAAAACTCAACAATTTATTTCGCAGTAATACGAAACTACACGACTAACTATACAGCGATTATGTACTGAATAATTCCGAGTGGAATGGATTTGACTAGACTCTACTTCTCCCATTGTCTGGACTTCACTCGTTGACTGAGACTGACTCGTTCTTGAAGGTTGCCTCTATTTAAACCCATACTCCTCTGGATGGTTCGCGAACGCCGCTCCGAGGTTTATTCTGGATCCCGCAATCCAGACTTCCGGCAATCCGCTCCCGGCTTGTCTTTATGCAAACGCCGCCCGGCCGCCGTCACCGATGATCCCATCTTCGCCGCGCATACTAGAAAACCCATAGACATCGTACCGGGGCGGGGTATGGGTTTATTTCGCAACAATATTGTATCTTTGTTCCAAAGTGAAAATTAAAATAAAATAAATTATTTATTGAAATCAAGGCAGTTTCTTTTTTGGTAAATTGTCTGTTTTCCCTCACTTGTTTCAACTTTCATCTGTTAAGACCTTAAGACGTTCCTCCGTTTTATTGCACAACAAGCATAACGTATTTAGAGAAGTCTTCCAGTTTAATGACATCATAGGTTCTGATGGGTTATGGTTTCCAATAGAATTAATAATAAGTAACTAGTATAATATAGCAGTAGTACCAGAGGTTAGTAACGCAATAAGATTATGGAACTAAATGAGTAATTACGTGGAATAATATTGGGTGGTAATATTTCAATGTTCTTAATCGTTATAATATTATTATCTACCATTACCTTAAGATAACCTATAAGGATTAGCCAGATCGGAAAAAATTTCATCTTCAAAAAATGTTTTCAGCGATGGACAGGTAAATTCTTTGCGATAAACTTATGTCCTTCCCGTTACAAATACAGTGGCAGGATTTTTCATTAGTTTTCAAAAAGTGTTTGTGTTATGGCACTCACATTGTAATGACTAATAACTCCATGAAAATACTGACTACATATTATACAGTCCATGCAAACGTTTGCATAATCTTTTCATAGAAAACACAAAAACATAACCTGTCACACTTTGGATATCTTTATAATTTATTCTATTAATAGAAGGGATTTTCCAGTCATCTTTGTGTGCATTGCGACACATTTATAATCTTCGTAGAAAAAAGAAAAAAACAAAAGTGATCTTAGACCTTTATTTATTGACTCCATTACATTACACAATGAATAAAAAAAAGAAATTGAAACACTTAATACTCTTTCCTGTGATCTCTGCGTTGACGATTCCAATCTTGATTAGTACCTCTATAATTCTGTCTATCCCCTCTGAAATTCCCCTAAAAAAAAAAATGTAGAACCTCAACCCTTGCCTGAGTACCGCGCGTACCTGATTCATTCCCCTTGAGAAGAAATTGCCTTGTTTCGTTTCCAAAATCCTTTCATTAGAATCCACAAAATTGTTAATTTTGTCCGCCAACTGCAACGCCAGTGACTGCAGACGCGACGGCTCACTGCGATGCATCACGACAGTTTGAGTAGGATCATCAAGTGAAGCCTAAAAAAACGTGTACTATACTCGACCTCACAACTTCACCGCCACACTCACCATCAACTCCTCGTTAATAATCATTTTGGAGATAATGGAATGTACCACTGGTTTATCCAATTCGAACATCTGCGCCAACGTAGCCATGGAAATCGAGTCATATACGTGCGAATACGTGAAGAGGTAAGTCCTTAGAGACTCTTCTTTGATCAGTCGAGTCAACATAGCTCTTACAGCATCCGCTTGATAGAACAAATCCCAAACTTTCGCGTTCATTTTCTCGTTTATAATGTAGCCATTACAAGCCGACCAGTTACCATTTCGCATCGCCTTTGCGGCTGCTACCACATGTTCTCTCATGCTCTCTGGAGGCCCCACCAAACTCTGCCTTTCGGAGCTTCTCAACTGCTGGTAGAAAGTTTTTGAAATCATGCGACGTCTAGCGTCAAATTCGTGCGCCGCCATGTACGGTATTTCGATCAACATCGCAGACACCAAGTACACACACTCCAGGAGTTCTAAATTGATGTGCATATGGAACGGCATCTGCAATACCACGCAACAGAAGAAATTATAATAAGAAACCTTGAGGAGTGATCCTCACCTGTCTCTGCTTCTCGATTTTTTCTTGTTCCTTGCTTCTTTCGTGTTGGCGTTGTGGCAACAACCCTTGGGCTAGCAATTCCTTGGGTTTACCAGTCATCATCAGATCAACGAGGCAGTTGTGGGCGTCTTTGATATTGGCATGCCGGAAAGCGCAAAGTCCCAGATGGGCCATGGTACGGTTGTAGAGGATTTGGGTACTAGGGTCGGAATGGTGGATGGTTTCTTGGAGATGGGACATGAGGACGAGGTCACGTGCTTGGAACCAGTTGTCGTGTAGGGCGTGATGGTAGATGTGGGAGAGAATAGCACGTGTGCGCAGACGGTCGGTGCCGTCCTTCGCGTAGATGAATTTGCAAAGTTTTTCCATTTCTTGGACTGAGGTGTAAACGTCCTTGGGAATCTCACCCTGTACAACAAGAATTGCTTTGGTTATTGTAAATTCTAAAAGGGGCGGACCTGACGAACCGCCACTGATTATGTGACAATTTAAACTTACCGCTTTCTGCTGTAGTACTCTTGGGTCAAATTTATAATACAAATGCTCGATTTTCCTCAAGTAAATTCTGCAAATCTCTGACGGAAGATTCGCCCTCTCTAAATATTTCATTGTCTTATCAATAATCCCCGACACTCTCGCTTCATCCTTCAACCTCTCCACATATTCATTACTGTGAGGATCACACTCCTTCAACAACTTGGTAAACTCGTCGTCCAGACGTTCAACAGATGTCAAAACGCAACCCCTAATCTTATACGGAGGTTCTTCCAAATTTTCCGTTTCTTCTGTAACCGTCTCAGAAACCAATAAATTACTGCTAACAAGCAACGCATCAAGCATTTCAGACATCCTATCCAGCAATTTCATCCAATATTCCGGCTTCATCGCGTCGGAAACCTTCGGGTTATAATCGAAAATCGCCGAAATGATGGCAAACTTAATTTTCACGAAGATAGCAGGTCCTAGTTGATGCTGATCCGAAACGTTTTGCAACTCGTGGAGAAGCTCAATTTGCTCGCGTCTATCTGTGCGTTTTTTGCCTCTAGCGGCCATTATTTCGGTCAGTTTTTTGATCACGAGACTCAGGTCAATCTCAGCGTCTTTGGCGAACATTTTCGGTTTTTCCTACAAGTAATAAATTATGTTTTGTCTGGTTTGCATACATTTTTACTTACACTGGGAATTGCAATGCCACCTTTGACGTACTCCCATTCGCCTTCGCCATCTTCTTCATCTTCTTTCTTCGCTTTCCTGCGTTCCTTCTCTTTACGTTCTTTTCTGCGTTCTTCTTTACGCCGTTCTCGTTCCTCGTCATCTTCGTGCGCTGGACCAGTTTTCTTCAAGAAGCGCTCCCTCATGCTCTGGTACTTGCTTTCGTCTTCATCAGAGCTATCGGAGCTCGAGTCACTGTCAGATGGCCAATCATCAGACTCAGATGATCCTTCGTCATCCATTACTTGCTTGGATGAGGCTTTAGTAACGGATTTTGATGGGGCTTCGGTCTCAGAGTCAGGCTCAGGCTCATCTGTTGCATGATATAAAAAATTATAAATATATACACAACGATCTACACATTTGAGAAAGTCTAAAAAAACTTACGTTTCTCTTCTTCCTCTTCATCATCAGGCTGATCCGGGTTCTCTCTAAACTTGCCAATATCCTCTTCAAAGTCCTTAATATACTTCCTCAATTTTTGCCGCATCGAAGCCAGAGATTTACTATTATTCTTGCTCATATTCTTTCTTCCTTCTCTATCCTCCCACATTTCGTTTATGAAATCCTCCATCTCCACCAAGCATCTCGTGAAAAAGCGCGGAGTTTGGCCGGCCTCCTCCTTCGCTATCACCGGCAACGCCTTAACATATGCTTTCTGAAGATCCTCGAAACTTGTCAACATACTACTCATGTCTTTAATCTTCTTGAAGTTACGTATTTGCTTGATGATGTTAGTGAGTTCCTCATATCGTTTCTCCTTAGCTGAACGCACAACGCGTTTGACTTCTTCTTCTTCATCGCTAAACTAAGTTTGAGGTTAGGTTTGATTAGCTTTGTCAGAAAGGCACTTACGGTGTAAACTTGCGCTGGCGCGCGCTGAATTGGCTCGTCATCGGTCGAGCTGTCGGAATCTGAGTCCGAACCGGCGAAAAAACGACTCATTTTTTAAGTTTTATACCTGGAATTAGAAGCAACATAACCTCAACGTTTGTACACAAACATGCAGCGTAGTGATAAAACATACACAATGTAACACGAATATGTCCAAAATTAACTAATGTGTCTATTTTGCTTTGATTTTGGCTTGAATTTGAATTCTCAAGTGCAAATTGAGGTCCATGTGGTGAATAACAGAATGGGGTAATGTGGCATAAGTACATGATAAGATATATCTTGGACATAACAGTTAATTTACCAATAACTTCAAAAGGTGTTTTAATCAATAGGAAAAAGTTAAACTTACTTATTTCACCGCTTTATTGAGTTCACAGATTTCGTGAAACGTAACCAGAAAATGGCACAAAGTGGCCAAAGATCGAGAGATCTGTCAAACTGGTGTTTTTGGTTGATGTCAGTTGGTACCACTAGACTAATGACATGAATTGACATCCAACGTCGCGCTAATTTGGAATTGTGCGTTTTTTCGTTTTTGATTTTGAAGTTATACTAGAAGTGTGAAGGGACTCAGATGGCCAATTTAAGGTAACTAATTTATTAAAAATATCAAACATGGGTTTTTTTAGTCTATAAAGCTTTATTGAGTATTTTATCGCTACAGAAGAATCCTTCATTGCTTAGCAATTATACATATTACTATTATTCACAGCTTAAAAAAATCATGTACAAATCCTTAACAATATATTCATTATAAGCTACCTGCATATAGGTACAATCAAGTATACAATTATAAATACAATAAATTACTTCTTTTTAATGATACTTTGAATCTTCTGCCACTCCCTATCTAAATGAGCTTTCTCATTTTTGTCTTTATGTTTCCTTGATCTTCGCCCATCTGCCATTTTCAACCCATACTGGAATGCCGCTTTGGGCAAAGCCTCCTTTTGGTTCATGTAGTCAGAATACTCCTCAGCGGTATCAAAGTCCCACCTTCCAATAGGTCCTTTTTTGTTACCCAAGTCCATCTTTGAGTAATCCACTTCATCATCAGAATCATCAATAGCGTCGTTCATTTCCTCTAATCCTGGGTAACACTCGGCATAACCCTCAGGTTCTTGTGCTAACTTATTCAAAATTTGTGCTGACTTATTGACTTTGAATGATGGAGCATTATTATCTAGAGGTTCTTCTTGTTTATCAAAGTATGATTGCTTATTGTGGTGCTCCCTTGAACCATGCTTGCTGTTTCTAGTTGGTACATAATCCCCAATTTCTCCATAAATGGAGTCATCCATCGTGGGGCGCTTCGCCGGCTTTTTACCTTCCTGTTCTTCAGTTTGTTCATTCTCACGAGATTCCGGAACCCCCCTTTTCGTCTTTTTGTTTTTGCGATTACCTTGACGTAGGTAACTCAGAATTTGCGTAAGCTTGTTGATGACTATATCATTGGTAGTTAAGGTTGTGGTAAGTTCAAACGATGGCACGTCTGCAATTGAACGTATGAGGGTAGTCGGGATGTCACTTTCAGCTTCATCATCTGAAAATATTAATTAGTATTTGCATATTATGACTGAAAAAAAAAACCTAAATCGATGACGTACGCCATGCGCCCGGGCACAAAAATTTCGGACCTCTCAATATGCCGACTCTTTAAAGAACAAATCGTGTGATAAATCGACTTCCCAATTTTTGTTTTAAATTTAAGTTCATCCTCTTCCCTCTTCTGCGTTTCCTTTTTTTCTTTTTCTTCTGAATGTTTCGTCGCTATTCTCTCCAACTCCTGTTCTTGCTCCTGCTCAATTTGTTGAATCTCGCTCCTCACTTTCTGCAATAAAGCATAATCCAACCCTTTTACCAAATGGGTGTGTTCCATATCACCACCCAAGAACTTCGATTCTTGAATCATTTGTCTTCTGCGTTCCGCTGCATCGAACCCTGATTTTAAATCGGGGGCAACTGCTCGGTAAGCTTGTGCCGTTGCCACAGGATCGTCATTCTGGTAGTCGGGATTAACCCCCTGTCTCCTCTCATGCGCTCGATCTCTGTATTTCTCGGCAAGTTCTGCCATTTTGTTGTCTTCCTGTTTTTTCAGTTTAGCGTAATAACTTTTCTTTTTCCGTCGAGCCTCATTTTTGTCCTCTTTGGGGGGCGCCATGGATGAAGAATTAGCCATGGCTTCACGAATTGACCCTGGGGCTGGGGCATTCGCGGGGGTTGCCCGTGGGGTCATTAGTAATTTTCTGAAGTCATCGTTCGTCAAACGCTGAGAGCCGGGGGCGGCGTCTGACGGCATTTTGGAAATTGAGCCGCCAACAACCACGAAAAATGAAAATACAAAGGAGCACAAAACGACTCAAGACAAGTGACAGTATTGACACTATTGACAGATATCAAATGTCAATTGTCAAAATTTTTGCCGCCCTCTGGATTGATTTTATTAGCCACTGCTATATTATTTATAGTCACTAAAAGTGATTCTTTTGGTGAAGTGTTGTTTAATTGCTGTTTCAACGGTAGAAGGTTGTTTACTAACTTTAAACTTAATAAATAATGCGTTTTGGTAATTTTTTGAAAGGAAAGTTGTTTTCTTGAGTTGTTGGTAAAGTAGTAATCTGTAACACATACCGGCCGAACACGCCGACAAACGCCATGTTTGTTTGATTTTCCATTTGGAAGCGTCTGTTTTTGTCGGCATTTGACGGAATTCTAGTGACTGTGTGTTCTACAGGGATACAGGAGCCCCCACAGCAATTCTGTAAGTACCATAACTGCGAAATATTCTACTTACGTGGTTAGAGTTTGCTTAATTCCTAAGTAGCGGTTTTTATTGCAGCCCCGCCAAAACTTCTAAAAATGAGCAAAAGCAAAAGAAACAGCCCTTCACCGGATGAAGAAACAGCGCCAGAAGAATATGTAGTAGAAAAAATAATCGACAGCAGAATTAATGCACACGGCGTTAAAGAATATTTTTTGAAGTGGATTGGTTATGATGACAAAGACAACACATGGGAGCCAGAAGAGAATCTCGATTGTCCGGGTTTAATCGCAGCTTTTGAAGCCGAGAGGGTCGCTAAAGAAAAGGAAAGGAGTAAAAAACGCAAAGCGTCAGGTACTCCAACTCAAGAACTAAAGGGTACAAAGAGGAAGAATGAAGAAAAGAAAGTGCACGGGTTTGATCGAGGGTTAGAACCAGAAAAAATTATAGGAGCTACAGATAGTTCAGGACAGTTGATGTTTTTGATGAAGTGGGAGGGTACAGATGAGGCTGACTTAGTACCAGCTAAACAAGCAAATGTCAAGTGCCCACAAGTTGTTATTAGGTTCTATGAGGAACGTTTAACATGGCATTCACCTACTAACGATGAAAATAAAGCGGAATGAGGAGCTTAGTTGTAAGGATATTTTATAATGTACATATATGACTCAAATAATCTCAGTTGTAGTGATTTTATTGGCAATCGTTTCATTTCCGTTCACTAATCAAATCTCTATAGTATTTTACGTTCATTTTTCAAAACCCTGTAAGTTAGTGAGTTTAATAAGAATATTTTCTTTAGTTTATGTTGTTTTAGTATTGTTTCCCCATAGAAAATTTGTAATAATTTTTTAAAAATTTAATAAACCCAAAACACCAGTTAACTACTTGAATACATTTAAATAACATGTTTTAACCCCCAAAGATGTCATGGAAGGTTGTTCCATTATACCCTACATCACTTGTTGTGGCGTTAATGAAGTGGATGTACATTCTACAAAAAAAGTACAACTGATGTAATAATATTGATTATACCATTGTTAACAATTACCTATCACTGGGCACTCCTAGCTCTTTAGATACCAGTTCATACAATGCTTTTGCATGCTTTTTATTCTGTTCAACCCCTAAAGCCCCAATGCTCATTAAAGTAGCTTGCGCAGCTGGTTCCGTTGTGCCACCCCATGACATGTTGACACCCCCAATGACCGTCGCTACGCAATACTACAATAAAAATATGTAAACAAAAAGTGATTACATAACCTCAAACTTACGTTTAACGGTTTTCCCAGTGACTGCGATACTACTTTGCACAACTTTTGAGGTAAATCAGCTGGTATTTTATTTTGTGGCACGTTAGTTTCTAAACGGAAATGCGGCATTTTGTACTTATTTTTTACAAGGTGAAAAATGCACTATCGGTTTTAACCTTTGGAAATGACCTTGTTACTGGATAGGGGATTGCTATTGGTTGGCTCTGGTCTTAAGTGTGGGAGGGTTTTGTAATCGATATGACTTAATTAAAGCGGGATATTTAAAAGGTATATTATGATATTGATATTAGTTTATACTGCAAGGGATTATGGCATGAATGAAACTTTAGCGCACGAGCCCAGCGGGCTTTAAACATTCCCTCGTGCCATAATCTCCCTAATTATGCTCTTAATACATGAATAACTATTACGTTTGTAATTTCTCCGTCTTGATTGAAAATTAGTGATGAGTGAAATTTGTGCTTGGTTACTTTTAATCTAAATTTAAAGCAAGTTCTATATTTTTCAAAGTAGCGACAACGAGCCATTTTTATGTTTATAGTTGTAATAACGTGTTTGTTACATTCCATACCCCAACTTCCGTTTCTTAGTACCTACTTTTATAAAACTCTATAATAAAAATTCCGGAATAGAAATTTCTGTTCTAATTTTTATTTCATTGTCTTATAAAATGTATGTATAAAGAGGTATGACGGACCAAGTTATAAGAACATTTTATCTTCATGCACGGATCATTATCCTAAGTAAGTCGAGAGGGACAAAACAGACAACACGAAGTCAATGATAAAAATCGAGGATTGTCCTCCTAAGGTCTTAAGCCATCGGAGCATTGTTTTCGGTTGGAATTTCTTAAAAACAGCTATGTAATTCATTTATTTGTTTACACAAAAGCAACTGCATAAAACGGATACTCTTATGTTTTGTCAAGAATATCACATGCTAATCTTGCTATGCAGAAAACGTTGCTTAATTTTAATTTTTTATTAGGCAATTTAAAGCTACTCCCTACCCCTACAATAAAAAAATGGATATTTTTAACTGTAAAAAATGTCGCGAATGGTCGGTTTTTAGTACCTCGTTATTTATAGTGAGATATGAATGAAATGTGGGTATATTCTAGAATAAAAGTAGCAGGGACAGTAGCCGAACGAATATGTCATTAAAACAACACTAATCACTTATTAATCACCTATTATCGAGCACCCTTAGCTCTTTTGCCAGTACTTCAATACATAAAACAATGTTTTATTGCTCAGCTCTTGAGGCTCTAATGCTCATTACTTCATTAGGGTTTCAATAAGATAGGTATGGTAAAATACCGCGTTTTGTATTTAATACTGTTTGTAAAATTGAATGACCTTCTCTGTTACCGCGAAAGTAATTCCTATTGGCTAATAGTGGCCTTGGACGTAGGATGTTCATGCATTCCCGCTATCATTGAGTGTACTTAAATATCATTGATTACGATGACTTAGCGGCATATTTTAAATTATACGGTTGTTTTCATCTTTTTAACAGGCTTTTTACTCATGTGTGGACGTGAAACAAAAACAGCAAGTTGTTATGCTCGTGAATGATTATGAGTTCATTATTACGTATTAAATTAATTTATTTATAGTTTCTTGTGTTATATAATATCTGTTGATTCTTTTGTTTTCTTCTTCGTTTTTTAATCAGTGGTTTGCTCTTTGAACAGGAAACACTTTTAATCTTAATACATTCTATAGTACACATTCTATTGATGTAATCTAATGCTAATTATCGTTGCTATCATTTTATTCAATAAAGTGTGTCCAGGTTTGAACTTTCATAATTTTGCTGTGAGATTTTTTATTTTAACATTTATAACATTATTTGTATTTATTAAAAAAATCGAGGGCAAAATTTTTATATTTTTGAATTTGGAAAGGGAATTTTTATGAAGAACTTAGAAATCTTTGCTACGCAAACTCAAACATATAAAATAAAAATTGGTCCAAAACAATTTCTTTGCTAGTAAGGGGTTCGAGGACCCGATTTTATTATAACCATGTTTTTAAAATATCGTAAACTCAGAATAATAGGTAGGAAGTGGAGACGGCGGAAATTTTACGATTGTTTCTGCTTGTTTGATGACTATCCTAAAATAGCAGTACTGTATTTTCAAATTTTCGGGAAAAATATGATAAACCGTTCTTGATTTCATTAATAAAAAAAAAGTTGAGGCCCGGTAGCCTTTGATGCGAGGACCTCTCGTCTGTGAAGCTGATCCCTTGACTATCGCAGTGGTAATGGAAATTCGTAATATGTATCTAAAGAACAAGACGGATTAAAAAATACAGGGTTAGTCACGAGAGAATTACTTCTGAAAATTATTTTTACGCAACCCAAAATACTAATACCCTGTACCACTTGATATTATCTAAATTTAAAATGAAATGCCTAATCCATGATTGCTTTGGCTTTGGCAGTGTCACTTTGACGTTAATTAATTTTTAACTTTTTTTTTTCATCGTTGACTCGCCTCTAGAGCCCCATTGGATCGACGACATACAGTCAGATCAATCTGGGCTATCCTGAAGCCGTAAGTCCTCTACCAATGTTGTTCGCCACTAATGTGCATGTGTTAATTCGCCATCTCTGCGTCACCTAGACCCTCTTTGAAGTGCAAATCTGCAACCTCTGGACTTCTTCGGCCATTTATTTACAAAAAAGCCGTAGCATCTCTCCAAAATGCCCAACATTTTCAACAGATTAGTAGTTAAATTATTTACTTACTTGTTTGAGTTTGTGTTGTAACCTTTGAATAAAATGCCGTAAAAGGAATTTTTGGAAATAATTTTCTCGTGATTAATCGGTTGCAAAAGATCAAGAGGCACACTGACAAATTTATTAGCGGCGCCAGAGGAGATTTCCGACTGGATGCGGTACCACCATGGACACTCGCGTAACCTCCTTTTCCACAATTGTCAAAATGAGATTGCCAAACTCAAAGCAATCATGGATTAAGCATTTCATTTTAAATTCAGTTAGTATCAAATGGTATATGGTATTCGTATTTTGGGTTGCGTAAAAATAATTTTCAGAAGTAATTCTCTCGTGACTAACCCTGTATATACTCGTAATAATAATAAACAAAATCAAGGTAGATTCATAAGTCACAAGTACAGGAGTCATCACATTGTTGGTGGGGATGATCAGACACATTTTGGTTAGCGTTTTACCCTCTACCTCTTCTATCTACCTACCTATCTATTCTTAAAATACATATAAAATTTAACAACAATTGATCTAGTAGTTTTGGAGATTAAATACAAATCGCCACAGACAGAAGGCAAACGGAAACGGGAGACCTATTTCTTCGTACTCTAGGAACGAAACTGTGAGAAAACACGAGAGTACCTATTCGCCGAAAACACGAGAGTAAACGACGTGGTAAGTTAGCTAGGTTAAGTTTAGTTGGTTTGATAGTTAGAAAAAGGGGGAAGCCTTTGTTTAACGACAACTAATCACAACGACGACGACGCCACAGTTTCCCCAACACGCATAGCTAATTCTTGAGGTTTTTTCAAGTGGAAATATGCGAATTTTCGACCGACGCTAACACGTGGTGTAAATTTGTTTTATTGTTTGTAAATTCACAGTTCATGTTAGGATTTTAATCGTTAACTGGTTCTAACACAATTTAACAGTCAGGAGTTTGTTTAGATACAGCACTTGTTAGGAGGTTTCATGAAATTCACTTAGTCAGGACTCATACTTTGTTTATCAAATTGTGAATAAGGTTTCTGGGTGCTTTTACTTAAGTGTTACATTATAACCCTTCTTGACTCCTCACACAAGGTTACGGGGGATTGTAAATTTTTCCCTTTAGGCAGTTAGCATCGCTATCACCGAGACATTTTTCTCGCAACGTTGAAAATTACATCACCGAGACGCATATTTCTCGCAACACAGGATGCATTTTATGTTTATTTAGCATGTGTTTTGGGGATAAGCTGGGGACAGTTCACGATATAAACTCTCAAAGCTAATTGTTTTTAAGTAACCAATCACTTGGATCAATGCATAATTTAACATAATGTAAATTCTTTGTTTGAACCGTTGATAAAGTGTGGCATAATTTAACATCAGATAAATTCTTTGTGCTGGCAGCGGCCATGTTGAAAGAGTTTTTTTAAACCGAGCGCATGTTGGAACTGTAAAATCTCGTTGAACCAAGTAACAATATTGTGAGTCATGTGGGACGTGCATTTTATTCCTTTGATTTAGACCATTATTTGCAGAGCGCCACAGCATTGTTCGCATTTCTGGGAGACATACTTTTGACGCAGTTTTTTGAACGACGCATTCGTCCGACGCCATTTTGAACCTCCGATTGCCTGTTATGTTTTTTATGTGTTTGTTTGGGGAATGTAAAAGGATGGCCCACAATGCAGCTGTATAACTTCACTTTTGAAAATTAACCAATAACTCGAATGGCCATAAAATATTAATCTCATGTAATTTTGTTAGCTTTGCAATTTTTGACCTCATCCCATTTTTTTTTTCTATTTCACAATTTTAACTTCAGTAATTTTCTTTGTTGTATAATTTAAATTGAATATAAATTTTGATGCTATACTAACCTCCCGTAATATTTTTTTGGTCTGCGCAAGTTTTACTTCACACCAGACCTTTTTTGTTTGATAAATCTTTGGTAGTTTTTTTCATGTAAATATTTTGTTGATTAATGTTTCCATCATATAAATTGTCTGATGTCCAATCTTAATCTCAGATCATTCTTTGCTCTTTCAAATTTCACGAGAGTGTATGGCGAATTTAAATGGTGTTTATTGCTCTTTTTGAAACTTTAACACTTGTTCAGTTGTAGTTTAATATCAGAGTTATAGAAATTTAACATTTAAATAGAATTGAGGTAAATAACAAAATAACACGTGGCGGAAGCGGAGTGCGCGGTTCCATGTCGAGCTGGCGGTCGCGCTATCTGTATAAAGGATGCAGGTCTAGAGTGGAAGTCAGGGGCGGTCGAGATGACGTGACGCTGTTGGCTTGGCCCAACAACGAGTGTGCGACCGTAACGGCCTGTTCATCCAGGGTAGAGGGGTGTTGGACGGCAGTGCTTGCGATAGAATAGAATCACCGTCGTGGGGGGAGAACATCCACGACCAGGAGCCCCAAGCTCCTCCATATATTTTGTGTTTTATTTAGCGGTAGTTTTCCAACCTTAGGGTCCACCACTTGCATCCGAACGCATCCCGCCACTTTTTAAAAACACAATGTACGATACCATTTTGTTAGACGATCACAGCCAAGGTCAAATTTTGGAATTTCTGAATTTTTCGCGGGTTTTTAAAACCTGCTCACATGTCATTTTTAAGGCGGGAAGTTTGGGTTAACACAGTTTATTAAAATGAAGTGGTATTAATGCGACTTCAGATGATATTCAAATATTATCATCCAAAGTGTAATTCTGATAAATGGGTAAAAACACCACCAGTGTCTCAATTCCGATAACAAAAGTCAATAATGTTTCTTTTGTAATTTCCAGAGTTTTGTAAACTGAAAATTCGTAAAATTTATAAATAACTGAGATATTGACTTTTAAAGATATGTGACGAAAAATTTCACTTCACCAAAATTTTAAAAAGAGTAATGATGATAAATTGTTTTTAAAAAACTGCCATTGTGTCATGCAGAGAAAGTTATTGACACGTTATACATGTTTCTATAAATGATTATAGGGTCGCAGTAGGTCATGCAAGCGTGCCGCCTATCACTTTACGTGTATTTTACTTGTATGCCCAAGGACGCATGACAAATACCACACGCATCTGTATAACTGGTTGCCTAAATGATTCATACCGTATGTTATTAACAAATAAAACTCACAATAAAAATAAACAAATTTACTGTGATTAAACATCTTTTCTTATTTTCAAAAATGTTCTGTAACATCCTTTCGTTAATGTTTTGGACCCATTGTTCACTTTCATATTGCAAGTCATCAACCTCAGATACTGATGGTCTTCTAGGGGATAGGTGTCAACAAAAGTGTTGACACTGCCAGTTCGAACAAATCTATTGATTACATCTCTAATGTGAGTGTTTAACGTTTCTTGAACTTGCAAATCACGGTATTTGGCCAGATATTCTTGCTTACAAGCGGTTACCGAATACACAAACTCTTCCATTTGCGATAGGAGGTACAACCGTACAACTTTGGTTTTAATTTTTTTATTTTTTTTCTAATTTTAATAATTAATGAGGTATCGAGCAACACGCGCTTAGTAACTCACCCCACGCTGATAGAAGGAAAAATTTGCTTGCACCATTTCAATTGTAAAATTAATCTTTATTGAAAAAAAACTTCCTGAGGTGCTTGTGGTCTTTATTGTGCAAGTGAAATTTTATGTAAATAACTCTAATTACATATATTTTGCTAATTAAATTTTACTCTAACAGTCTATAATATATTCTGTACAATAAGTAACAGAAAAGAACGCAACTACAACAAAACTATCAACAAAAACAATTAATACTAAACTATTAACACTTCAATCGACTTCTAACTTTTTGAATGTGCCATCAACACCAAAAATCTCTCCAGCATTTTTCGGTTTTCCTGGACGTTTACTTTCATCTACTTTCAACGTATCTAACCATCTAAAAAAATCCATATTTTCCAGAAGATTTTTCCTGTTTTGCTCTAAAATTAAGTCAGTCATATTACAATAAAAAAAACAAGTATGTATTTACCATGTAGAGTAGCTAGTGAAGGACCTTCACCACCATAGTCTTCAGGCATAATTTCCTTTGGTACGAACTTGAACAAACTCTCCATAGAATCCGTATGGAAATTTAACTAAAAATGGTTAAGGTATATTTTTTAATGTGAAAGGTGCTTGGTTTGTTTTTACCAGTTGAACCAGCTCTTTCTTCATGAAGGGTTTTACCATTGCCATTATCTTGTCCATGAACGGAACGACATTAATGTAATGTACTCCTTTAATACGGATGGGGGCAGCTTCCTGAAATTTGTGTTTTAACGATCAAAGATAATATAACTAGCGTTAATTACGCACCTGAATATAGAACAAATGTTTCTTAATTGCCACCAAATTAAATCTGGTAAGGTGTCCGAAAGCCAACCCTTTCATATCAAAAACCGTTATGATACCCGTGCTGGTACCTTTCTGGTGCAGACTGAGCATCAAAGTTAAGTCAGAAAAATTAATTTGACTGACGTTGTGGTAATGTTCTGGGTTAGGATCTAGCAATTTCATTACTATCACACTGTAACCTTCTGGAGTTTTCTTGGGTAGAACATTGATGGTACTATAGAGATAAAAAAATGTCTATTATTACCGCACTTACAGGTAAGTTAAACATTACCTTACTGATAATTGTTGCTTAAGAGTTTCTACGCTTGGCGTACCAAAAATATCAGGACAGAGAGTTCTGACAGTGAAAAAATTATCAATGGCCGTTTTGGCAGCTTCCAGACGATAATAACAACTTTGGAGAAAAAGGACTAGTTGAAGTTCCGTCGCTTTGGGTAAATGTGGTTGTTTGTCCATCCATTCGGCTAAAATTTGAATGTCTTCTCGTTTGAGGTTTTTGTCTTTTTCGTACTCTGTTTCTACATCCATTAATTGAAAAGACATTTTCTAAAATCTTGACACGTTAAACGTTTTTGTAGCTGTAGGAATTTTAGTTCGAGATTTTATAAAATTTTGGGTTATGGTTTGTTTTCCTTTCTTTTTAAGTGTGGGGGACTTTTTCTTGTTATTTATTCTTTTATTAACGAAAATGTAAAAAATATTAGTAGGAACAACTATAGTAAAAATTTGATGGTAGGTAAAACAGTTTGATGTAGCATACACGAATTATTCGTTGTAAAGGAGTCAGTCACTCAAAATTGTTGTATCAGTTTAAATTAAATTCGTTTATTTTATTACAATTACTACAGAACAGAGAAATGAAAACCTGTTTTACAGTGTAATCTAAAAAAAGTCTATCTTGTATTTTTTGCTGTAATTAATAAATCAAATTAATGTGTTATTAATTAAGGTCATAAACGTCAATCTTTTGTTGTAATATTAGTGTACATGTAATTGTGTTGTGTAAGTATTTATTGTTTATTAAAGAAAAGTAGTCATTAATTTAACTAATTGCTATTATTTTCTGCACTTTTAATTTGAAAAATATAACCACGTAACTGCGGTTTAAAAGCAACCCATCATCAATAATAAATTTCAAGTATAAAGAAACATACTCATTTAATTAGCCTTATATAAAAATGATGACTGTTCGTATTCCATTAAAAGTCTTCTTAAATTATCTTTAATTGCGTTGTGGTTATTTTCTGTCACTGTAAATAAAGCTTTCCAAATGAATCATTTACAGCTGAGGCAAAAGTCGTTAATACTCGGTACTAAATTAGTGGAAATGTATTTAATGTTGCATCGAAAAGTAGTTTATTACAAATTAAAGAACAAAGGCAAGACTGATTAGAAATTTTGTCATAGGTATTACAGTTTTAATTTGAACGTTTTTAGATCGTAAATTAACACATAAAAAAGCACAAAATTTTTTCAGAAAATGACGCCAAAAAGTCATTACCTACGCTATTTTCTATTCTATTTCTGTTTCATTTTAATGCATTTGTATGTCAAGTCATAAAAATTTTTGCAGAAAATACATAATCTTTGTGATTTTTTTGAATGAATTGACACAAAATAGTTATGATTTCACCTTATGACTGAATTTAACTTCTGGGGTAAAACCAAGAAATGCTACTGAGAGAACAACATTTATTTCAGTATTAGTATTTGCATGATGTGCAATTTTTCGTGTTAAACATTTCCTTAAATTGAGCTTTTATCTTACTAGAATATTTTCACTAATAAATAATACTGCAATATGTAAATTCCAAGTTTCTGATATGCGCAAAAATACAGCAGCTACATTTATTTAGTAGTTAGGCTGCTGAGCAGTACTCTATATCTGATTGATTTCTGATAAAGGGAAATTACCTTTTTTGTATGGGACACTATTTCAATATTATAATTCCGCGTGTGAATTTCTGAAAACTAATCTAATGTGGTTATTACACGCTTCAAATGTACTGCAAACTATAACAAACAATAAACTACTGACCTGGTAATTGTGTATCCAGTGCTGCACGTCCTGTTGGTGAATTGAAACTGACCATGAAAAAATAATGTACCTGTCATTAAGGCTATAGTCATCGTAAATTAGAACATTACTAATGATCAACATAATATATTGTTACTACAGTTATAATTATTACATCATATGCATCAGTCTATTTCTAATTTCTTGAAAGTACCCTCAACCCCAAATATATCACCAATATTTTTTGGTTTTCCAGGTCGCTTGCTTTCATCAACTTTTTGAGTTTCTTCCCATTCGAACAAAGCGGTATTGTTGCGCAAATCACCTTTAATTTTTTCTACAAAAAAGTGTCTCTGTTACGTAAGAGTCCGTATATTTTGAACATTATTTTTGTATCCACTCAAATTTTATTTCAGTTTTTTCTGTAGCATACTGCTACATGTGTTTCGGTATATAGTAGTACCTTCACCAGGCAGATGAACTTCAGGAAAAAGTTTAAAGTACCAAGTGTATGAAGACATCTTAATTGCGGTTAATAATTATAATTCATCATCATTATTATTGTTTGTTTAATGTTCATTTTGTGTATTGCCTAAATAATGCTTTGCCATTTGTTTCCTGTGGGTCTCATTCTCTATTAAAATAAAACCCCTATATTTTTATTCAAGGTTATCCGTTACTGTGCCACTATACCGGCTAGCCCTCCACAATCATATCATAAAATTTTAATGGATACAAAAATAACGTTCTGGGTATAGACTTACCGTGTAAAATAGGTACAGCCTCTACAGACCCGCCGTATTCTTGTGGAAGACAATCTTGCGGAACGTATTTAAACAATTCGTCTACAGTTGTGTGCAAAAATAACTAAAACAAACTTATGAGGTCAGAAATAAATTTCCCATTACATAATTACCACATCCATGAGTTCCTTTTTCATGAAGGGTCTCATCAACGCTAGAATTTTATCCATAAACGGGACAATATTAACAAAATGTAAGCCCTTCAATCTCACAGGCAGGGCATCCTGAAGGTAGAATAATAGCTTCTTCATGGTAATAGGCCCTAGTTTAGCTAAATGTGGGAAACTTATCCCCTTCATATCAAAAACGATCAAATGACCTTTTGATGTCCCTTTCTGGTACAAATGTAACATGGAAATCATATCAAAGTATCGGCACTGATCAACAAATATATATTTATCAGGAGTAGTATCTGTTAATTTGACGAAAAAAATTGTACTACCATCAGGCGTTTCTTTGGGAAGGGGTGTCATAACGCTAGAGCGGCACCAATGTTTAAATTATCAAAGTAACCGAATTGTACTTACCTCACATGTATTGTTTCTTTCATAGGTCCTGTTAAGGGATTCCTATTCCCAAACATTTCAGGACACAGAGCTTTGACAGTGAAGTAGGTATCAAGGGCAGTTTTTGCCGCTTCATTACTATAATAGCAACTTTGTAGGAAAAGAATGGCTTGCAGTTCTGCAATTTTGAGTTGACATTTATGAAAGGTACGACTTTTAAATAGGACCACTTACCATTAATTTTTGGTAGATGTGGCTGCTTGTTAACCCAGGTCATAAATAACTCAACATCCCCTTGTTTCAAATCTTTGTCTTTAGCGTACTCGCTCTTGATATCAATCAAGTTGAGGGTCATCGTGAACTGAGGTACCTACAATGGTCAAGGGCAAAGTGTAGTGCTTTCTTATGTTCGTGCGTTTGAGAAATCATTCTGATTGGTTAAAATATATGAAATATTTTTAGTCAAGGTTTATTTTTATTCTAACGAATACGGAACTACCTGGTTGTGAGTGAACGATGCACTTTCCGAATAACCGGTTAGAACGGAATTAATTTCCGTGTAGTTAATTTAGTTTTTAGTGATAGTTTTTGTGTATTTACAAAGAAGCTAAAGATAACGCAGCACGACAAAATGAACCTTGATGATTTCGCTATTTGGTGAAAAATTTAAAAAGCATGCATCGACTAGGTTGTGCATGTATATATTAATTCGCAGGAACTGAAATAAAGCACGGCGTAATAAACAAAACAAAACAAGAACATACGTTATTGCACAATCGTAAATGTTGTTATCGGGTAAAAAGTAGTAAAAAATATTGACATGCGGCGTTAATTTGAAATATTTCAGCACGGATAAATTGCGTGTTCTAAAATCGGTCGTAGGTACTTAATTAAAATAGGAACTCATAACCATATCATATGTATTTGAAAAACGAATTATATTTTTTGTTGAATGGTTGTATAAATTAGGTGCGCACGTATGTGAACACTTTCTTCACAAATTACAAATTAATAATACGTGTAAAGGTCATGAAATGCGCATTCCTTATTGAGTTTTAATGAGGTTTACGTTTAGTTCCTTACAAATTTGGTAAAATTTTGGGTTTTAAATTTTTAGATCTAATAAATAAGCTGTACAACAAGTATATATTAATCTACAGATTATATGCAAATTCATTTTTTAACTTTTTTAGAAGCTAAAAATTATAAAATTTAACTGGAGTGCCAATGTTATTTTAAATTACGAATTGTGACGTGTTAAAACACTTAAAACTAAACTTGTGCATATTCTGTCATGAAGTTACAAATAATTACACACGTTATATTCACGACCTTTTTAGATGTTAGTAGATCATGTATTTTTTTTTAATAGCTACTATGACTCACTGACATGTTTTTTTAATGTCATATCTCACATGTATCTTTCCCGCATGCTATATTTTACATATATACTGACAAGAAAAAAACCGGCCACCATGACATGTTTCGCAAAAAAACTTTAAAAATTATTTATTTAACTAACCAGTGATTGTTATTTTATTTAAAGAACAAGTCACTATCGACACAGGATATACAATTTACCTAAAAAAAAAACGAGACAAATAAAATACAATCACCAGTTAAAATATAATTTTTGAAGTGGTTTAAATTTGTTTTATTGTTTGTAAATTCACAGCTCATGTTAGGAGTTTAATCGTTAACACAATTTAACAGTCATGAGATTTGTTCAGGTAACGTACTTGTTAGGAGAATTCATGAGATGCACTTAGTCAGGACTCATCGTTTGTTTCCCAAGTTAAAAATAAGGTTTTTGGATACTTATACTTAAGTGTTGCATTATAATACTTCTTAATTCCTCACACAAGATTGCTAATAATTCATTTACGGCAGTTAAATCAATCTAAAGTGTGGGGAAAGGACCGTGAAAGTACGGTAGAATTCATAATATCGTGAACTGAGGTAAAGGAGGATTAAAAACTTAGGCAGTTATTATCATCATATCATCATCACATTATCGAGATATTTTTCTCGCAACGTGGAAAGCTATATCACCGAGAAGCTTTTCTCGCAACGCCGGATGCATTTTGTGTTTATTTTTCATGTGTTTGTTTGGGATGGGCTGGGGACATTCCACGTAATAAACTCTCAAAGCTAATGGTTTTAGGTTATCAGTCACTTGGATTAAGGCATCATTTAAGATAATGTAAATTCTTCGTTTGAATCGTTGATAAAGTGTGGCATAATTTAACATAATGTAAATTCTTTGTTTGAATTGTTGATAAAGTATGGCATAATTTAACATAATGTAAATTCTTTGTTTGTAGCGTTGATCAAGTGTGGCATAATTTAACATCAGGTAAATTCTTTGTTCTGGTAGCGGCCACGTTGAAAGACTATTTTCAAAGCAAGTACATGTTTGAACTGTAAGATCTCGTTCAACAAATTAACAACATTGTGGCTTATGGGGGACGTGCATTTTACTCCTTTTATTTAGACCATTATTTGCACAGCGCCATAGGATTGATCAGATTTCTGGAAGACATATTTTTGACGCCTATTTTTTGGAATGACGCATTCGTCCGACACCATTTAGAACCTCCAGATTGCCTGTTATGTTTTTATATATCTGTTTGGGGGGAATGTAAAGGGATGACCCACAATGCAGCTGAATGACTTCGCTTTTAAAATTTAACCAATAACTTGAATGGACATAAAGTATTAACCTCATGTAATTTTGTTAACTTTGCTATTTTCCACCTCATATATTTTTTTTTATCTGCACAAGTTTTACTTCACACCAGATCTTTTTTTTTATAAATTTTTGCTAGTTTTTTTACCATGTAAATATTTTGTTGATTTTCATCATGTAAATTGTCGGATGTCCAATCTTAATCTCAGAAAAAATTATTTGTTGTTTAAAATTTCACGAGAGCGTATGGTATGGCGAATTTAAATGTTGTTTATTGCTCTTTTGAAACTTTAACAGTTGTAGTTTAATATTAGAGTCATTGAAAGTGAACAATTATAATGGAATTAAGGTAAATAACACAGAAACACATGGCAGAAGCGGAGGGTGCGGTTCCTAGTCGAGCTGGCGGGATTTATCACGCCGTCTGGATGAAAGACGCAGATTTTGAATGGGCGTCAGGGGCGGTCGGGATGACGTGACGCTGTCGGCTTCTCCCCATAGCCGGGATCCAACCACGAGTTTGCGACTATAATGGCCTGCTCGTACGGCGTTCTACAATGAAATTGAAAATCGCGACACCCTTATAGCGCTCCGGTGCCGCTGCCGCCGCATAGAGTTAAATTTTGTTCTCTTGATGACTGCTATAATTTTAAATTTGTCGCCACACGCCTGTAATAACTTGTGTTTTTACATCCAGTTACTTTAATGCAGATTTTTCTTTGTTTTTATTAAATTAATGATATTCGAATATTTGCATTGATTTAGAACGTTTAATTTGATTTCATTCAAAGTTAGGCAAGTTTTTTTTTGTAGCTGAGGATTAAGAGGTGTCTTCAATCGGCACAACTTAGTCGCAGTTTTCTTTTCTTTTTTTTTGTCAGTGGAGGAATAAATAATTTTGTGTCCTCCATATAGTTTCTGTTTTATTTAGCCTTCCAACCTTGGGGTTGGAAAAGTACCGCTAAATAAAGTACCATTTGCATCTGAACGCATTCCGCCACAAAAAAAAAAAACAAACAAACACAATGTAGGGTTCTATGTATTTTGTTAAAGGATCACAGCCAAGGCTAAATTTTGAATTTTTGAAATTTTCACGAGCTTTTCATTTTTTTTTTCACATGTCAATTTGGGTTACCACAATTCACAATTGTGATGTTTAACCACAATAAAGTTCGTTTTTTCTATTGTAATGAATTAGTTTTGATAGTTCCTTGTTTTATTTGCGATTTTGTTTACTTTTTAAAAATTCTTGCTCAACTAAAAAAACTGGTTACGAAATTTTATCCTTGTGAAATATTCAGAACTATTAGGAATAATTGCAGAAACAAGTTTTAACAATTAGGTTACTATGAACAAGTGCGTTATTAAGAAGAGACAAAATGTTTTTGTAGCTCTACCTTGTTGGTAAAATAATTTTGTATATGTCAGTGGCGCCGAGTGGGGTCAAGATTTTGGATTATTTACCTCTGCATTATTTTTTTTTAATACTTGTTTAGTTATCAATTTAAATTCTAAATATATGCATGTATCAGATTTAAATTGAATCGGCATAAATACACGGGATCGGGTAGCAGAAGCGGAGTGCAAGGGCCCTAGCCTAAATTGATAATAATTTACCTCTCATTGTCATTGTTCATGTAAATGTTTATTCGCAATATTGGATTTCGCCAGTATAGCTTCAGAATAAATCAGGCCTCTAGATCTCGGCTATATTGGTGTGGTTTTTATGGAGCTGTGGTTGGTGCGAAAAAACAGAAAGCGAAGTGCTGGCGTCGCTACGGTTACTTGTTTCTCGGTTATCGATTTTGTTACGTTTAATTTTTGTTTTCTTTGTTCAATTGTTGTTTCGTGAACTTGTTTTTATGTCACTTTATCGAATAAATTGCATGACAGAACGCATTCTGCCATTTCAAAAATACAATGTAGGGTTCCAGTTTGTTTACGATCATAGCTCAGGACCAATTTTAAACTTTTGTGGGTTTTCAGATTTCTTGAATATATCTTAATTTTGGAGGAATATTTGGGTTATCACAACCTTAAGCAAAATAAAACAAAAATACTCGAAATTATTTGATCAGGAGAAAATGACGGAAGAAGTTAAAACCTAACAGTAAACGTGAAATAGTGATTCGGTGTGAAAATGAACAAGAACAAAATTTTGAAAATGGATAAAATTAATATAGATTTTGGAAGAGGGGTGAATCTTTATAATAAATCGGGGGTTGCTCTCTCTAAATTTTTCAACTGAATTCATTATTTTTATCCAAAATCAAACAATTTCACTCGCGCAGAATGAAAATGAAATCCCGCAACTCATGTGAGTTACTGGTAGTGGTCATTGTTTGAGTAGGACCTGATTCCAGCTGAATACCGCGACTATATGCACGGTTTCCATCGCAACGGTGTAAACAAAACGTCTAAATGAGGCATGATTTGGTCTCCGCTTTTATCAGCACTTCAGCAACGTAACATATCTCCAAGACACAACATCTTTAGATGTAAGTTTTGTTATATTTTATACAAATGGAGCAAGATAAAAAAATTAGTTTTGATAATTATGACGCAAATTTCCGGACAATTTTTTAAATATGAAAATTACTATTTTGCTATGTCCAGTGTGTTTGTAGACGTTGTAATTTTGGGGGGGTACGTGCCGTTGTGCCCCCTGGCACCAGTCGCGCCTGCAAATAACGAGACTTTAATGAAAAATGGTGCAAAGTTTCATGAACATTTTTGCATCTATATCGAAAACAACACCGAGAAAACAAAAACAATTGTATAGTATGAATAAAAAATAATAACAAAATTTGACATAAATGTATATGACAATTAATAAAAATATGTAAGTAGGTATGAATTGCGTACCAACAAGGTAGAGCAGCACGAAATCGACATAAGATATAAAATATGCGTAGAAAATATTTTTTATTATTTTTTTTTTTAATAAAAAAATCCAGAAATTCGAAGCGTTTGTCAGAAGTTTTGTGTTAAATTCGAAAAAATGAGAAAACATTCGAGACGTTCAACGATATTTCCGTTTTAGATGAAAATATTTAGAAAAAGAATTTAATTTGTTTAATTTATGCTCGTTCGATTTTTATTGTTTTATTTTACCAAAATCTTTTTGAAATTTAAATGCGATTGAAAAAATAAATTAATAGTATAAAGAAAAATTTTAAATAATGACATTTTCGCGTTTCAAATTTAAATTCCTTGAATTAGTTTCCTGATGTGTTGTTTGCCTTGGCGTTTGTTGCTTAAGTTCAACGGATTTTTGTTTATGTTTCTTCATGTTATTTTGTCGGTATTAGTTAAAATTCTTAATATATAGGGAAGTTCAACGATGTTTCCGCTTTAGATGAAAATATTTAGAAAAAGAATTTAGTTTTTATTTAATTTATGCTCGTTCGATTTTTACTGTTTCGCAAATATTGTTTTGTTTTAACAAAATCTTTTTCAAATTGAAATACGATTGAAAAACTAATTACTGATATAAAGAAAATTAAAACTAAGCATTGTTAAAATTAATGACTTTTTCACTTACCAAATTCTAATTTTTTTAATTAGTTTTTTCACTGTGTTGTTTGCCTTGACGTTTTTTGCTTAAGTTCAACAGTTTTTTGTTTACGTTTCCCTATGTTTTTTTGTGGGTTTTAGTTAAAATTCATAAAATGTATATGTATATTACCTACTCGTATAATATGGTGATTATGATAAAAACGTTTTAAATTTAGCATATTAATTTTACGCAACGATAATTTGCATATCAGCTTTTAGTACATTCTGGCACGTACCTGGTTACTCACTATAATCGTAATCTACTTAAAGTTCCTTTCTTCTTTCTCTTGGGTTATTAATGTTTTCAAAATTATGCGCTTGTCTTCATGTTTAAATGACGTATAACGCTATTTTCTTTTTCTCTCCCGCACTTCTTTTTTCAGTGACAAAATAAAAAAGTAGAACATTTTTCGAAATACTTCTAATTCAACATTCAACTTTCAAATTAAACTAAATTGTTATTTTGTACCAACGACACAATTTTCTTAGCCCCAACTAAACCAGTAGCTCTTCTTCTTCGGTCTTAGGCTTTCATCAACAACTTGTGTATCTTCCCACTCGAAAAAAGCTTCATTTTGGAGAAGTTTTTGTTTGCTCTTCTCTAAAAGAAAACGTTTTCGATTAGTTCATTTCTACTGACCACTAACGCACCATGTATAACTGATATAGCTTCGGCAGACCCACCGTAATCTTCTGGCAAACAGTCAATAGGGATAAATTCTGCTGAATCTTCAACCGTGCTGTGTACATGAATCTAAAAAATAATGTGTACAAACATAATTTTAAATTTGAAAATACATACGATGTCATAGATTTTTTTGCTTAGTAGAGGTTTAATCAAAGTTAAAACCTTGTTGATAATAAATGGTATAGTATTCACGAAGTGAAACTCCATTATCCGTCCAGGGATACCTTCGGATATATAATAAAGAAGCGCTTTTAAAGCAGATGGCGATAAACGGAATAAATGGCGAAGAGCCACTTCCTGCATATCCAACATGGCTACATAGCCCTCAGTAATTCCGGTCTGATGTAAATGCAACATACATGTCATATCAAAAATTTTGACCTGTGTTGCCATGTTCAAATGTCTGGGATCGGGATCAATTAATTTGATATATAGAATGGTATACCCTTTGGGAGTTTTCTTAGGCAACATAGACATAACACTGCAACTATATGTTAGACCAGGGTAACTATATTACCAACCACTTACGTAACGTCTAAACCTTCTGTAGTTGGTAATTTATGTGGATCTCTCATTCTGAACACATTAGGGTTTGAAGTTTTTACCGTAAAGAAAACATCCGCGGTCTTTTTGGCCGCGTCTTCGTCATAGTAACAGGAGTGTAAGAAAGTAAGGGCTTGAAACTCTACATACCTTGGTAAAATTAAAAGTATTACATATTTCTCCTTACCAGTGATTTTGGGTAGATGAGGCTGTTGGTTAATCCAATCCATAAATTTTCTGACTTGTTTCCTCTGCACTTGCTTGTTTTTTTCATATTCCGTTTCGATGTCAATGAATTGTACAGACATTGCGAGGCGTTTAATTAAAACTTGCTGTTACTATTTAAATATGATTTTATATAGTGCGTAAACTAATTTAACTTATTTAGCTTATGTGGCTTAAGGAATCGTGGTACTTAGTCGCAGTTTTAAAACTTAAATGATTAATCAATCCAGTTATAACCAATAGCGAACCTTGAAATCGCTACATGTACTTAAGTATCTAGTTTTTCAAGGTGATAACACTTTTTCAAAAACTGGAATTTTAATCAGGAACGGGTTTAAAATACCTAAATGGTAGAGGAAATACGACAATGTTTGAAACCGAGGGAAACTGTACGTGTAAACAATAGAATTTTTGATAATATATAATTTAAACTCAATAAATGTCATATTACTTTGTGACCTAACTACTGAAGTAACCAAAGAGTTAGTAGACGCTTATATATTCAATGACCGATTAAGATATTCACCTGGAAGTAATAAAAAATTGCTGTTATTGGTTCTTTCATAATTCATCGATAAATTATCATATAAAAAAACTCGGAAGTATCTTGTTACTAAAAAGTTTTCGAGTTATGGTAGACCATGATGTACGCTGTATAATGGACATGACAAAGGGTCATTCCAAAATATGTTTTTTTTTTTTGTCAGACAGATGACCTGTTCACGGACAACCCACTTTTGTGCGTACTTCGAAGGGCTGACGCAATACAAATTGGAGCTCCCACTTGTTCGAAAGCTTTTTATTAAAGGAATATAAGTTATATAGACTTACATAAATGGCATAAAGTGGATATACTGTGACGGGCTTGGGAGATTTTCAAAATTAACTTTTGTTAATTTATTAGATATACAACTGTAAAACTCTTGTCGTGGACTTTGGGCCCGACATATAGTGAAAATATTATTTATTTGTTCGTAGGCTGGTTCGTGATGATGGTAACACATTCTAGTGACTGGACAAAGGGACTACTTCAAATATATGCATTTTGCTTAAATGAATAATATATTTAATTTAGAAATGAGTATGTACAAAAGAGATTTAGTCATATGAGAATAATTTGGAATAACAATAAATTGTAGTGTAGTTTAACATGCAAATATAATTAACAGAAAATGAACTTCAGTATTAAAACATTTTTAAATAAATTCAAGAAAACCTTATAACTTTGAAACTAAATCATTGAAAGCATAATAAAACAAACATTTAAAAAAATCTAAAACAAAAATATAACAAAACTGAAAATTGATACCATAACTCAAAATTTGTAACAACTCAAATTTTGTAACATAACTCAAAATTTGGTAACAACTCAAAAATTTGGTAAGGAGCATTATAGTAGTTGCGTGGTCAGCGTTCATCAAACAATATAACTGTTTAACTAATAATTACAATGCAAATTAATCTTTAAAAATAGGTATAAATCTCAAAACGTTATCCAATCGAGAATACAAAGGGCGATTTATCATCAAAATTAAACTGAACTTTAAAAATATTAATAAAAACAAAAGTTTAAACATTTTATGAAATCGTGCACATTTTTGGAGATATAGATATAGATACTTACCCCCTTGTGTCACAACACAAACACACACTAAACAGGCAACTGGCTAGAGGACTCTGGTCTTTTTTGGATCTTTCGATCTTTTATAAGTAAAGACCCCTCCAAAGGAGTTGTTTTCGCAAAATTGTTTACAAGTTACCAGTTTATTTGGGGCGTCGTAAAAGTATTTGTTTTTCCACCAAATTAGGTTTAATTAACTGTAATATGAAGATTTTTAGTGGCTAAATATGCTTTTTGTTAAAATTAACAAATTTAGACCATGAAATTATAAAACTGGACAAAGACATCGTGTCCAGCCAAACGGCGGCAATATTTATTTAACTGTGAAATTATAAACCTTGATTAGCATGGTGTGAAATTATAAAATCCAAGTTTCACAAGGACAACCTTGAGCTTTACGACAATGACGATTGTTCTGATTTATACCAACATCTCCAAAAATAAGTAAATTTATCGCCCGTTACAATACTATACAGTTTTGTTTTAAACAATTGTCTGTGGAAAAAGTAAACAAACCTTTAGCGATATAAAGAAACCGTCTAACAAGTTATGATTTTTATAGAGTTACCTACTGGGAACACACGTTAACTAAAGTAAATAACCTGATGGTCTGATGTGCTTGTGATCACCTGAATTAAATGTAAAAGTATTATGAAGTGTCATAGGTTATGTATAGACATAGAAAATTTTACAGTATCTTACAACTGTGAAACAGGTTCAAATAATTATTCATGAATACATTTTTGTTTACAAAAAATGTTAATAAAAATGCTTGATTATGGCGATAGTTAAAAGTTCAAAGCCGCGTATAAATTTCATTCATTAATAAGATGCATTCATTAAGACAATAATAATATGCTTACATCTATTTCATTAGTAAAAAATAAAATGTGTTTTTAACTTTCAGTTTGAAGTTTTTGACAAGTTACAATGTGTTTAATATTCCAATTGTAATTATATAATATCCAAGATAGTGGTGAAAATGTATTTTAGGTTGCGTTTCAAATTTATTCATGCTCTTTATTACACGTGGACCATCCTGTATTTTACGTAAAGTTCATCTTTGTATCAGGTAGGTATCTAATGTGTAAATACAAAATACAATGGCTAGCATCCGAGGTAGGTAAGTACCTAGCTTTATTGCTACCTAGAAAAGTACAAAATAAACAAAAATGTTTACTTAAATATAAGACGATTACAAAAGATCTTTGGTTTTCAAATTTTGTGGATTTTGTCGCGTCGTTATAATTATTGATCACTATTAGCCACTCACGAGTGTCAACTTAATTTTCTTAACATTTCCAGCACATTTGCTGTCTGCTGGGTAGGCAACCACATAATTCAGGTACCATGATGCCTTTTTTCCATGTAGCCTATGCAGGCGGCAAATTCTTATTAAAAATGCAGCGACAGATTTTTCAAAGCCAACTTGATGCATGATCATGATAATTATTGTAATAAATTTGTATTTAATGACTTTGTTTATGTAATCTTTGGAACTGCACATTGCACAGTGAACAATAAACAATTATCTCTGCGGTAGCTCTGCCGGCTCTGTTCTATAATTTATTTCAATATTTAGTGTCCAAATTTTGATGTCCGAGTTTTTGCCGGTGGCCGTCACAAAAGGGGTGCCCCTTAGGTCCTGACTTGTGTAATCTATTAATAAACAAATGCTACAGTTAATATTATTATAAGACTGAACAAGAATAGGGCTCGTACATTTTATTCGTAACAACTAAGAAAAAATTGTGTATTATTAGAGAGAACAATAAATGGCAGTAAACATAAAGATTAAGTTAGGTTAAAATAAGCGGGCTTTCCTAGTACTGTGTTCAAAATATAACAGATTAGAGAGTTGTTGGAGTTGCCCTGGGTCGTGGCGCATCATTTGTGGGAACCCCGGGGAAAGTGGTATTAATCTAACCATTCGTATTGAATACGGCCCCGGTGTTGCGAATGCATACCTTATCAATGTCCGGTTGCTGAATTGAGTGCGTGTTTGAGATAAAAACGTGGGCAGTGCCCTATAGGGTAGAGTTTCCTGATACGGCATGGGGGTCCCGAATAGAACCGAAAGAATTTGATTTGATAAGGGGAGTCCATCATTTGGGGGCGAGATTCATAATGATGTGTTAAAATCACTAACCTGGTCTCCGCAAGGACAGAACAGGGTATACCGTAACTAGGTCAGTGAACCTTACATGTCATCGAGTTAGCAGCTCGGTAGAAGGTTGGAAGGGGAAGCTCGGGATGCGCCGTTGCAACCAGCTGAAGAAGGTCGGCTTGAAGATTGGAGAATGGAGATGCATTTGGCACTATTTTGCACGGGTTCGGCGCTCGGCGGCCGGAAGTTGGGGTATCGCGATCACACTAGGAAGTGGTCGGACCGACCGAAGGATTGAATTGGATTAGACTGAATTTTAATTCCAATCATGTCATGTTTATAGCGGCAAGTGTTTATAAAAATGCATTTCCCGTCATTAATTGCCGGCCGACCAACCAGAATGCTGGCGAATTCGTCAGATTTGTCGGCCTTGATCGTAAGTGTTTTGCAGTTGATCTCCGGGTCTTCCACGAACTGGTGCAATTTTGTAGATGAATTGCAGTTGGAGTGATTAGATTTTGTCGAAATCTAAAGAATAGGCGCATTCCCTAGATGGTGATGGACTATATTCATTCATGATATTCGTGGAAAGAAATCTTAGACAAAGAAACAAGCTCAATGTGAATCACTACTGAAGTGATTTGACTGGCCGCGGACAAGTGATTGCTTGCTTTGGTGATGATGTTAACTGGTACTAACTCACAAGTTCGGACTTTTTGTTTCCAGGATGACGAATGGTGGGCTTGTTATGAAAGGGACACCATGCGTCAAAATATGGGCTAAGATGGGATAGAACGACCTGGGTGGTTTGACACATCAGACGAGTCACCTTCTTTCAAGGCATTATGAGCTCAATGGGACTCCTTGCAGGTCGGGAAAGGATTGGTTAAGTGAGCCTGGCAAAGTCCGGATGGAAGGCATGTCACTATGCAGTTGGTGGTTCCGGCCATTAGAACCTAGGAAGTATTTCAAGAAATGCACAATGGAGGTTCGGGTGCTCATTATGGAACAAACAAGACGCTTTCCAAAGTTAGGGAGAGATTCTACTGGGTCCTTTGCTGGGAACACGTCGAGAGCTGGGGCAAGAAGTGTAGGACCTGTACGGCGGTTAAAAGATCTAAGATTAAGGCGAGAGGACCGATGCAACCATAGAACGTCGGTTCACCTTTTACAAGAACGGCAGGAGATGTAACGGGTCCCCTCTCAGTGACCGAAGAAGGGAATAAGTACATGAGTGGTGCTATTGCGAGGGATCGTGCCTTTCCCGCCGTTAGGCTTTAAGGCACGCCCAAGGAGCCAAACCACGATCAAGAAGCTTTTCACTACCCCCTCCAGTCCTACAAGAAAATATGGGTCGACAATCCATTCCCCAGTGGAGCTTGGCGCCCGCCTCTAGGTACCCGGTTTTGTTGCCATTGCCCCGTTACCTTGCTTGCTATGGACCGAACGGGCTACAAGTTCGTACCTTCGAAGGTGGGATTAGCTGACTTGATTGGGTACGAAATAAATTTGGATCCGCAAGTCTTTTAAAACAAGTGAAAAAAATAAGTCAACTCTGAGGTAGCCGCTACGCTCCCTAACTGCTCAGTTGACTCGCCCTAGACAACTTATTATTCGCATAGCTCCTTTACTAGAAAGTAGAGCCTTATCAGAACGCAAGTGTTCCGTCAAGTCCCTCTTACGGAGGTAACTCTTACCAGCCCCAGTTTCCCCGAAGGAGGTAGGCCACGGAATAAGTACAGGAAGAATGTCAAAGGGTACCGCGATGGCTTGCAGGAGAAGCTGCCGAGCCTTCACGAAATGCTGCACCACAAGAGTAGAGTGGCGAGTGGTAGAATGGGGACACGTTACTTAGGGACAACTCTGTAGAGTTCCAGGCAGGAGATTTGGTATGGCTTTGTAACCCACGAAGAAGGAATGGTCGTTGCCCTAAGTTGTCACCAGATTGGAAAAGCCCATATACTTTTGTGACGAGGATCAATGATTTCGTTTACAGGATTCGACAAGGGCCGAAGACGAAAATGAAGATTGTTCACTTAGACCGCCTCATGAAGTACGACAGTGACACCATTGATGTTTCAGGACGATTAGAACTAAGGAGGGGGCAGTGTTACGAAATAAACCCATACGCAGGCCCTGTACGACGTCTATGGGTTTTCTACATAACATGTGCCGCGATGATGGGTGACTCATCGTCGGTGACGGCGGTCAGGCGGCGTTCGCTAAAGAAAAGACTGGAAGCGGAAGTCGCGATGGGTATTCGAGAAAGACCTCGATCACGAAACATCTAGAAGGGAAGTTTGGATTTAAATAGAGGCCACCTTCGGGAACGATTATTATTCAATGAACGAATCGAGTCCAGTGAATGTTGAGAATCCAGTCATGTTGCGCCAAAATTATTTTGTACATAATCGCTGTGTAATTAGCCGTGTAAATTTGAGTTACTAACAACTAAATTGTTGAGTTTTACCCACGCCGATTTTAAATTCACAATTATCGTAACACTGTTTTAATTGAATTGGGTTTCGTTGAATTGCTGATGTGGGCTTCTGAGTGGTTTGTGAGTTTTGTAACGAATGTTTCAACAACTGTTCGCACGGGCGAAGTTTACCTCTGTAAAAAATGTGACGAAGGAATGACACTAGTGTCACTATTAGACAACTTAGTAAATGATATAAGGGAGAAGATTGACAAACTTTAGCATTAAAAAGATTACATAAAAACGAGGAAGACAGTATTGATGAAATCCAGGACAGAATAAACGGATCCAAAAACGTAGTAGTGTTCAATGTTTCAGAATCAATTGACGGTAAGGTTAAGAAAATATTTCGTGTGGGAAAAACAAGTACATACTTCTAAAACTAGACCAATAAAAATTGTCTTAAATGATTCCGACGAAACTTTAGAAAATTTGAAAAACAAATTTAAAATAAAATGTGACTACAAAGTCAGCTATGAGTAAACGTTCATGTAAAGAGATAGATTGAAAAAAATACGGTTAGAATTAGCGGATAGGGTAGCAAATGGAGAAAATGTTACTATTATACATATATCTAATACTACTATATTGCTAACTCTTCAGAAGTAACATAGAAACGGTGTTCACGGACAGAGAGAGACAGAAGATGTTTTTTTCTGTCTATAAGAGTACCGAGGGTCTGTGCGCATGTCCACAAAATAGAAGCGAAAGTACGAAATGTCAAAACGCATCCAGTCACGCTATCGACTACAAATCAACCAAGTACGAGTGTATGCGCAGTACTGTTTAGTACCACAGAGAGACAGAGAGGTCCGATATATTGCTCTGCCGTTATGTTTTCGGAATCTTTTGAGGCCAGTTAGCAATATAGTACTATTAGATATATGCTATTATACAGGGTTAGCCACGAGAGAATTACTTCTGAAAATTATTTTTACGCAACCCAAAATACGAATACCATGTACCATTTGATACTAACTGAATTTAAAATAAAATGCTTAATCCATGATTGCTTTGAGTTTGGCAATCTCATTTTGACAATTGTGGAAAAGGAGGTTACGCGAGTGTCCATGGTGGTACCGTAGCCAGTCGGAAATCTTCTCCGGCGCCGCTAATAAATTTTTCAGTGTGCTTCTTGATCTTTTGCAACCGATTAATCACGAGAAAATTATTTCTAAAAATTCCTTTTACGGAATTTTATTCAAAGGTTACAACACAAACTCAAACAAGTAAGTAAATAATTTAACTACTAATCTGTTGAAAATGTTGGGCATTTTGGGGGGATGCTACGGCTTTTTTGTAAATGGATGGCCGAAGAAGTCCAGAGGTTGCAGATTTGCACTTCGAAGAGGCTCTAGGTGACGCAGAGATCGCGAATTAACACATGCACATTAGCGGCGAACAACATTGGTAGAGCACTTACGGCTTCAGTATAGCCCAGATTGATCTGACTGTATGTCGTCGATCCAATGGGGCTCTAAAGGCGAGTCAACGATGAAAAAAAAATGTTAAAAATTAATTAACGTCAAAGTGACACTGCCAAAGTCAAAGCAATCATGGATGAGGCATTTCATTTTAAATTTAGATAATATCAAGTGGTACAGGGTATTAGTATTTTGGGTTGCGTAAAAATAATTTTCAGAAGTAATTCTCTCGTGACTAACCCTGTATATCGACGAGGCATATCTAATTTTTGTATGCAACTCATCAGTGTTGGAGGCAAGTTCTCGACATTGAGTATGGGCCACACGCCTCACTAGCATGAAAAGTAACATACTTTTCACATTAGTGCGAAAAGAAAGTACATGTAAGATAAATGGTTTAATTAAAAGTATGTATTTTGTTAGAACTGAAGGATATTAAAAAGTCACTTATTTTATTTGTAGGCCTGGAATTTAAAATAAAGTCCATTGCAAAGTGTTTAATTACACCGAAAGCTAGACAACCCGTTGGAAAGCTGTAGACTGCAGTTTCGATCTTGTTGGATCTCATCAGTACAGCACATTCCATCGAGTTGTCTAGCATTGCAGTATTCGACTTCCATGCACCGTATCTTTGACTCTGTTGAAGGCCGATGACTTTCGAGAACAGTGCCTTGTATATTGTGAAATATTAGCAGTTCGACGAATGTCACTATATTTTTATTCGTATTGCTTCTGAGATTGGACGATTAGTTTTCCATAGGAAATTAAAAATTGTTTTATGGTTTGGTCTTTGTGTTGGGTATTGCTATCGCACGAGCATCCTGTTCATCCTGCACTTAATTGAGTAATACCAGATTTAATTCGTCTTTCCTGAACGTATTCGAAATATTCGCACAATCTAAAAAAGTTTTCATTGATTAAATTATGTTGTTTACTTTCTTTGCACAATGAAATGTACCTTTATCATGTGTCTGCTTCTTCAACATCGGATTCCATACTACCATTGTCTGAATTCATATAATTCCCTGTATTAAACCAAAAGGTTGCAATAACATTATAAAAAAAATTGGATTTTTTTCTTACCTAAACCTACAAAATCTGTTTATAAAAAAAGCAGGAGCAAAAATTAATTTCCTCGAATTCAGAACTAATTCGCTAAGGTGAGGGAAAATCCCTATGTCCAGTGGAAATTCGTTGTGTGCGTAACCCAAATAGCTACGTGACACACAGGCGAAAAATTTCACAAAAATATTTTTAAAGTAATTGTGATAAATATCAAGGCGAATTCATAAACCACAAATACAGGAGTACGTTATTTTATAAAATGTAAATAGAAGTTACTATGACCAAAATTGATTTTTTACGTCATTTAATTGTTGGTGGAGATGATTAGACAAATTTAGGTTAGCGTCTTACCATTTAAATATATTATTAAGTCACTATAATATTTGATAACGGTCCAGTATTGTTTCGGAGATTATCTGTCTAATAAAAATCGACACAGATAGACAGACAGATGAACGGGAAACCTATTTTATTCGTACTCTAGAGGTAATGCAACGTCGAGAAAACATGAAAGTAGCCATTCGTCGATGGACCTTTGCTTGCGATCGGGAAGCAAAAATGGAAACGAAATTTAAATTACTCTTAGAGAATTTTTACAGAAACTTATTAAATATTTATTTAAATGAATAGAGTGTACTTTCAGATTTTAGTTGTGTTTTAAGACTATGATGAAGATTTTCTCGAACTTTTTGTAAATTGAGTGTTACATTGTGCATGTATTGACAGCGTACTTATGCCTTATGCTTTATATTTCGCTACTGATATACGTCATCGCCAATTAAACCAGTTCCTTTTGACTTTTGGCCTTTGACTTTCGTCCACACTTTGTTCATCCTCCCAATTAAAAAAGTCGACATTTTCAAACAGCGTTTTCTTCATTTTTTCTGCAGGCACACACAAACACTTATGTATTTATCTGCTGAATGTCGGTATATTTACCATGTAGCTCTGATACAGTTTCTGCGGAGCCTCCATAATCTTTCGGCAAACATTCAAGAGGAACATATTTTGTTAAATCGTCAATGGTATTGTGTAAATAAATCTAGAAATATAAAAACACAGCGATTTTCAATTTTAAATGAGCTATCATTAACATAGTACGTACTATATCGTAGAGTTCTTTTTTCATGAAGGGTTTCATTAAAGCCATAATCTTATCCATAAAAGACACAAGATTCATATAATGTAATCTTTTCAAACGTGCTGGTATACCTTCTTGTACGTAGTATAGAAATCTTTTTAAGGCAAGTGGTGATGTGCGGAACAAGTGTCCAAAACTTGTTCCTTTCATATCAAAAATAGCTACGTAACCATCAGAAGTACCGTACTGCTGTAGATGTAACATACACATCATGTCAAAAATTTTTAATTGTACTTCTGTGTTGTAATTACTGGGACTGACGTCTTGCAGCTTAACAAGTACGATGGTATAACCTTCAGGGGTTTTCTGGGGTAACGGAGTAAACAGCCTACGAATAACATACTACTTGTGGTTAATAAACCGAGTAGTAACTTACATAACATCAAGGGAATTGTTAATTGGAGAGTTCCGTGGGTTTCTCATTTTAAAAAGACCAGGATCCATAGTTTTTACAGTGAAAAAGGTGTCGATTGTTTTTTTCGCCGCATCCTCGTTGTAATTGCAAGCATGGAGGAAAAGTATGGCTTGAAGTTCTAAAAATAGTTGGTTAAAGTTGTGTAAGCGATTGAATTTGCGTTCACTTACCATTGATTTTGGGTAAATGAGGTTGTTCATTCACCCAGTCGTAAAATTTTTGGACTTCTTCCTTTTTTAAACGTTTGTTTTTCTCGTATTCGGCGTTTACGTCTGCCAGATGCAGAGACATTATTAGCACAAATACTCCGAGTAAACAAAACACTTCGATCTATTTGTGAGTGATAAGCTTTATCTCTTACAATCTGTTTTGATCGGGAGATTATACGATCTTGCTAAAAACGTGTTGTCTACTATTAAACAAGTTTAAAAATTCTGTCGGACACGTACTAAGAGAGCTTATTTCAAGCAATATTGCGAGTAGAACGATTCGTGTCAGATTTGTAGATATCTAGTTATAAACATTCTACGTAATAACAGCGAAAGTTTACCTTGAACAACTGTAAGTTTGCATCCTGTTTCTCGTGATTTTTGCTATTCATTTACATAGCGTTACGTTTATTGACGACAAGTTTGTTGCAGATGCCGGTTTTTTTATATATTTTATTGTATACTAAGTATATAATATATAGAGTAAAAGTGAGTTCTAATTATTAAAGATTATAATTACAGAAAATATAAAATACTTAAAAATAAAAATAAATGTAAGTAAACAATAAATATATATAAATATAAGTTCAGTGAATGCTTACCGGTACCTATTGAATAATTGAATATATATGAAGAAATAATAATAATAAAAAAACTAATAAAATTTCACACCAAAACAGTAAATAATTATGATTCCATAATTTTGACAAAACAATGAGCAATGTTTTTGAAAGAATCAGAATTAATCGCACAATATTTCGAAAAGACGTTGTACCCTAAAAACATTTTTTGAACAAGCCAAAAACAATCAATTCTATTATTAAGTAGTTCACATAAAAAATTTTCAACAATCATAAACTGCCGAGATGCTAAAGATACATAGTGAAATCTACCTAAAAGAAAATTATCGGGTCTCCTAGGGGGATAAGTAGCAATAATCACGTTTTCCGTTGACGTTACTATGGCAACTATTTTCGGTGGCCTAGGATATTATTTGGTCAATGACATAACTCAAATCCGGGCCTTTATAGAGCAATAATTAACCGGTAAGACATAAAGTATATTGTCGGATTCGGAACCGGATGCATTAACACTTTGGTGATAAAAATCTGAGGAATTTTTATCAAGAGGCAAAAAAAGAAACTAATAACTATTACCGACAAAAAATGATAAAGGAAAGACGAGAAAGGAAACTGATGGTAGATACGATATAAATAGTGAATCGATGGAAACAAAAATTTCAAATTGTATTAAGTAAATAGCAGCTATCCGGACAAAGAAACAGAAAACATAAATCTGGAAACTCCGCAAGAGAAAGAAAAAATGCCTACAAAAGAGAGTTGAAAGAAATAATTAAAAACTAAAGAAACGAGGAAAGTGCAGGGGAAAACCGAATAGTGAGTAAACTTATTAAAGATGGAGGACTGAAATTGAAAGAAGAACTCCAAAAACTTGTACTCCTAGTGTTTTGACTTACAAGGCCAGAAACCAAGATTTTACGAATATGAGCGTGTTCGCAAAAGCAGTTTCTGGCAGAGTGATTCACAGCATTTTGTGGGCGCGTAAATGCATGATTTATTAAACATGAAATGATTTCTATTTTTTGAAACAACAGAGTGTTAGGAATCATCGAGAGTGACAGTCAGTGCGGACTTTCTTTTGCATAGAGAGCAATGATATTGACTGTCATTTTTTACGGCCTAGGCCGGAAACATATATTTAGAGAATGATGGCCTGAAAATAACTTTTAGGTGCAGGAGCATATTACCTAGCAGCTCCTCCCGAACAGTGTTCAGTCTATCCGTAGCCTTTAATAAGAGAAATGATGTTAGACTTATGGGTCGAAAGTTCTTAGCTTAGGCATACGTACCATACAGGTTTTGTATTTAAAGCGATTTTACAAAAGATTTTAGTACCGATTTAAATTGAGCAAACAAGTTAATTGGCCATTTCAACTGGTCTGGGGTGACGAATTCAGACGCAAATCTCCATGCCTTTCGAGAAGAGGTGTGATTTGGTGCTTTCTGTATCTTCTCGTTACACTCTCATGAGTTCGGGAAGTGCGTATTTACTTAATAAGAGCCTCAAAAAGTCTTCTTCGGATAACGTGGATTTCCCTGACAGCGTACGCAGCGATCCCAGCCTAGCCGACGGGTCCTTCTGAAGTCTTGTTGCTTGTGAAAGTTTGTATATCTTTCTATAGAAGTCTTTTCATCTGTCTGTTTTCCTGCTTCGAATTGCAGATTTTAATTCTTTTTGAGCCCTCTTATAAAGCTTTCAAAAATTAAATGATTTGTCAAGTCGACCCCTATTTTAGAGCTCCTTGCAGTGTGTCTCAACCTACAGAGATAAGAATTTCACTATGGCACTACGAAGGTTGCGTGTTGGACAACTCTCCTTGTAAGCCTCGATAATTGGACTCTATTGTCAGCCCTCCTTATAGCAGTCGCAGTTTGTCGTTCTTGGATCTGTATACTTCCGTTCCGCCTGTTCATTCTTTTGAATACTCAAAGGGGTGTATCGATGAATCGATGAACTCAGTTCTTTCATCCAAGCCAGTCTTTGATTTCAAGAACCAACCAAGTTGAGCTTAAGGAGATGTCGATAACCTCTTCCTTCAGTTTAGTGACCAAAGTAGGTTCGTTTCCACGGTTCAGAATATCCAAAGCCGTTGTAGCAAGGTAATTCAGAAGAGCTTACCCTCTGGAATTGACATTAGAACTTTCCCACACCGATCTTAGGATAAGAGGCCGTCCCTTAGCCTTGCTAAAGTTGTATTACCGCCATCAGCTCAGTTGAGCGTGGCAGCATAGGTGGGTCATAAGGCAGATAAGCCGACCACACAGTTAGTGTTCTCGGCGTTTCACTACTTATGATATTTATATGGACAGCCACTACATCCCTACAGCACAGGTTTTCCAATGGAAGCATAGCTCCCTGATACCCAAGGTTCCTGAAGAAGCCTAATGTTCACACCCTAAATGTTGGTCTACCTGTGGTGCAAATTGGGCTACAGAAATGAGAGCCAGTCCTTAATCATGAAGCCCGTGAATATCATTTTCTGCTCTTTCGTCTTCCTGTCTACCCAGCAGCCTTTTAGTTGCCGGGTTAAAGAAGTAGAAAACCGTGAAGCCCAACAATGAGCTCAGTTGTGTTAGGTCCGACTCATTCTGTTCCATAGATGACCCAATTAGGGGTCCCTAGGTCAGGATTCTGGGCTTCTAAGAGCCTCCAGAGTTACTGTGGGAGTCAAGAGTGGTCCCTGGACAAGCACAAGGCTTTCCTTGGCCTTGGAAGTGGCTGGTGTATACCGCAGGGTAAACCCTCCAACTGTAGGTCCCTATTAACAAGCCCTAACCAGTCTCGGGTTCTCTCATCCTCACACTCTATGTGGATTACTTCCTGTCGGAGTTTTCCATATTCAGGAAGATTATCTGCAGCACGTAGCAGTGCATTGGGAATCTTGTCTTGGATAATATTCCAATGTGCATTTTCTAGTCGCCTCTCTCCAAAAATGCACATGCAGAGAGCAGGTACGACCATCCGCACAAAAGTGTCCGTGCAACAGTGGGAAGACTTTGAATCCGCTCCCGGTCTCGCTTGGTGCCAGGTAGCGGTTCAATTTCTCTGTCTGCGAGATTCCTTTTCCCACGGTTTGTTGTTGGAGGCCGTGGACCTGCGCCAGAGGGTCCAGGTTGGTTTGGCCCTTTTCGTGGAGCACCATTGGTCGTTCTTACTTTTTGCTTTGCGATTCTACTTGACCCGCCGATGATGTTGAGTTCATTTCTAAACTCTGGCAACCATTTCGTGTGCCACTCGAACCCAGCGCCGGCTCAACACGGTAAGCGAAAGATGCACCGCATCGGGGCGCCCGTGACAAGGGGCGCCGGGCGCCGCCTATGCTTTTATATTAACTCGACAAAAATAAATTAATATTAGATTTGCATTGCATCACCACGTACAAAACATTATAGCAGGAACAGACCAAGGCGCCCATCGAAAACTTTTCAGAAAAAGCTACATTTTAACATTCCACTATGAGGAGTGGTTCACCGAAATAGTTCCTAAGAAATCAATTCCTGGCACTTTCTGACTGTAATGATTGAAAAAGAGTGCGCCTTTCGGTTGGGTGATTGGACTTTTAGATCAATACCGACAAAAAATAACCATCAGATTTATGATTGCATTATCTGGGTAACAATTTGACGAGACAGCTGTGTGACCAAAACCAGATGTTTTTCCTAACATTTGTCACGTTTGTTTTTACCATAAAACTCCATGTTGGCACATACTTAAAAAAAATATTTTCCAAGTCTAATTGGCTGGTTATGGTAGTTGTTCAACAGTTTTGTTATATTTTTCACTGTTCCTGTTTGTAGCAGAATTTGATTCTGTGTATCATTCCGTGGATCTTTGTCATCTTTAATTTTAAATTTAAATTTCGATTAACATTGAGGTGAGTCTAAATTAAAAATAACTTTGAAATAGTATCAATTTTACAATATTAAAAATTGAGAAACTTTTGCAATGTAAATATTTTTATACTTATACTATGTAGAAGATTGTTGCCAGCAGCTCCGCTTGCGCATAATTCGCGATTAGGACACATCATTTTTCATCTCGTTCACTCTCCCCTCCCCAGTGAACCCGTCTAACTTAAAAATCACGGGATACCTACACAAATGTTCATCCCCTATTTTGTCCCCGTAGAGGCGGAATTTCCAAAAATCCTTTCTTAATGGGTGCTTATGGCACAAAAGGAACCTACTGTCCAAATTTCATGTTTGTAGCTTCAGTAATTTAGGCTTTGTGTTGATGAATCAGTCAGTCTGCCAGTAAGAACAAACACTTTTATACCTATACTAGCGTTTATAAGGCACAAAAGTTGGTAAATAGCTGTAGTTTATAGCTACTTATGTATCAAGAGTAGGTATTATGAAGTAGTTGATAGTTCGCCCGAGGGTATAAACTTCAAATAATACCCGTGCTAGACACAAAATTTTATGTCTGACCGTTTAATTTTTGATGTTTACAAAAAAAGTCTACATTTACTGTCTCGGACTTTTCTTTAGAAGTTTTAGAGGGGAACAATTTCATCATACATGATTTTTACGCAACTTTAACCGTTTAAGCAGCGTAAGCAACGGAAGCTGTCAAAGGAGGAATATTTTTTCCCGTTTTTCCGAATTTTTCATTGCTACTTCGCTCCTATTGATCGTAGCGTGATGTTATATAGCCTATATGTAGATACGATAAATGGACTATCCAACACAAAAAGATTTTTTGAATTCGAAGCAGTAGTTTCTGAGATTAGTGCGTTCAACTAAACAAACTCTTTCTTCAGCTTTATAATATAAGTATAGATTAAGATTGA